GTCGCGAAACGCCGACACGTCTTGGCAGGTTCCAACAAGACTTATTATTTCTTAATTTCGAGTTCCATTAAGAGACTGTAACAGAAACGAAATAACGATGCATTAAAGTACGCAAACGATTATTACAATTAAGTAATGCTTAAATCGAAACCGTATTGCAAGAGATCGTAAGTAGTAATACGCGAGTAATAATAGTGGAAGGATAAACAAGTTAGAAATGCGCACCTCGGTCGCGAAACGCCGATACGTCTCGACACGTCCTGCTATGTTTATTTTCAAAGTATGAATGATGGCCGTCCTAGGTGCTCGGCTACGCTCGCGAAATAGGTGGCGGGATGGGGGGAGCTCCGATGTCTCACGAAGCTTGTTTACGAACCCGAGGGATACCTCGGATAGAAACCGCGGATAGACTGATTTTAGTAAATTATTTACAACTTTAACTAGTCAAGGAATCGCGAATAATTTGTACTTTTTAATTGATATTCATTTACACGCACTAGCTGCTGCCTATCACACTAATTCAGTGAGTTTCTCAACTGACCGCCATCCATGAGAAGAGGCTGCGAAAATCACCTCCGAATTTTCAGGTCATTATGGCAGTCAGATTCGGCCACGAAAGTTCATAAGGTGAAAGGTCTACTCGTATACCTCGTGTGTGGTTGGGAGATACCTGTACCGATTCAGGCAGCGATCTGGAGGGACACTTTTAGTCAGAAATGGACAGAATTTCATTTGAATAATCGATAACCAATACGAACGACGTGTAATAATTTATTCGCGACATTTATTTGATCGAACAGTTATGCTTTTATTTGTTCAGAGTGGATGTATATTATTACGAATGGCTAAATGCGTGTGGAGGCCATCTCTTGTCGAAACTATAATTCAATTATTCGATGAAAAGGAGTTCCTTCCGAAGAATCTTTCGATTATGTGGCATTAAATAGAGTGGAACAATTGTAAGCGTATCCTCTTAAACGAGTTTACGAACGTTTTATCGTTCCCGAGGAAGGCCAGTAGCGTTAATAGACCGCTCGAAACTGATTTAAGTAGATCGCTATATTTGTTCTGCCGACTATAACGATTCTAGAAACTGGGCGCGGCTGTCGACCAAGTGTCGATGTTGCACGGAGGTTTATGATACGGCCTGCAAAGTCCAAGCCACGTGCGCCGTGTTTGCGTTGGTTTACAGTCGATTTTGAGCTATGGACTTTTTTCCAGGGATAGCGTTCGGTCCTAAAACCGAGATTCATTTTATTTTTCGCGTATCTTTTCCACGAGACCGTATTTATTCCAGTTTCCCTTTACGGTACCGTCGCAAGGATCTCGTTTGCCGGTTTTTCTTTTAAGAAATGTAACTGGTATTATTTAAGATATCCAACGAGCTAAATCGTAAGCGGAAAAGGAAATCCTGACGCCGCTGTAGTTCCAAAACTGGATTAAAACTTGCGATAGGATGTATACCTTCGACGAAGTTGGTACGAAAAAAACAGGTAATTAGTTATGACTCGTCCCGATACGCGATCGGTGAAACAACGACGCGAGGGTGGTTCGTCACGAAAAAAGTGCAAGGAAGAAGCGAACGTGGTTCATCGACGGAATAACGGCCGTGTTCTCGTTAACGTCGACATGCGCGTAGTTTGCTCGCCCGAGGTGATGCCTGCACGTGATCCTTGTCATCGTTATTAACTATTCTAACGAATACACGAATTCACCGTAGGGGGTTCATCAACGGACCCGTCTGTTTAGGCGGGAACTTTCGGTAGATAAACCCCTGACAGTGTCGTGTTTGATTGGTCTTTTGGTCGTCGAAAGTGGCGGGTAAATTGTATCCATACGCGGCGGTATTACGGAGATATCGTTCAAAATTTCCAGAGATAGTACACGGGACCGGGCGCGTTTAATTCGTACGTTCAAAGGTAAGAGCGTCGCGTGCAGCGCGTGTAAATGGAAATCGCGGCCGAACATGCGATACAAACATCCACGAATGGACAACTGGCCGAGTGTCATAGTGGCAATTGCAGTAACGACCAACAACGACATCGGGACGATTCGGTGCCGTTTACGCTAGAAATTCCCTCTTCTTCGGGGGGGAACGTAAATAACGCGGTAAATGAAGACCGTTCGCGGAGAAACGATCGGTGAAACTCAAAGAAAGAAAATTCTGATTCGCCCGTCGATATCGAGGTTTATCGATCATCGAACGATAACGCGTCGATTGGTTTCCAGTCGCGCAACGTTATAATTTAATCGGTAAACGGGCGGGTCGATTGCAATCGATTTGTCGTAATCGACGTTACCGGTGAAGCACGCTTCATTATTTACCGCAGGCTTCCGCCTCCCTTTGAAACGGATCGTCGGATATTCGTATTAACATTTATTCTATTCGCATGCATACGAAACGTACTAATTCGCATTCCCCGACCATAGCCAACCCATCTAAAAGCAAATCTAGTTACCGTTCAATTTCCACAATAGCCTTGAGACTTTGGCTAACTTTATTAGAGCTCAACAACTCGAAGCAACTTCCTGCAACAGGGCTGATCGATGCAACGAATCAGGATGCGTCTGCCTCGCCGTATAGAAAACGGCTGGCGGATTTATAACGAGGAAACTTCAATACATCAAACTTCGAGGATTCACAATTTTCCTGTAACGTTCTAGAAAAATCGAACGCTAGAAGAAACGCGACCTCCTCGATCGCGGGTACCGACATTTCCCTCGCGAATAGCTAATAATGGATTTAAATTAATTCTAAACGCAGTATCGTACTCCTTATATAAATTTAGAGTCTCTAAAAACTGTGAAGCCTCGACCAAGTAGTTGGACCACTCTGTGATAGAACCTGGTCCCGATTAGGAACCCGATACACCTCTCGTAAGAGGCGCCAGAACCACGGATGAAGCCCTAACTGGTTAATGGAACTTGGACAGACGAGCAAACGAGTTTAAGTAAACATAGTGTCCATAAACTAATCGTTTTCAAGATATCTAGTTCTTCATTTCCTAAGCTAAATTCTTTGTACCATTACTAGGGTCGTAGAATGACCAGCGTGTTTAGAAATAGATATCGAAACTGACTTCCATTCAATTGTGTTTGTTAGGGCGAGCTGCATCGACTAGTTAACATATTTCCTACAGGTCTGATGCACCCTGTACCTACGCTTTGAGCCAACAAGTGTTGCTCGCTGATGCGTTAAAAGTAAATACGTAGCTCGAGCTGTGTCAGCGGTTTCATAGGCTACCCCGCTACTGCCACCGAAATTTATGATACGTTTTACGCATTTCCACCGCCTTTCTCCGTATTTCCTCTTATCTACCACCTTACGTGTAACGCGCCGCCTCGTGACTTAGGTGATATAAAGGGATTCTCGTTCAACGAATGCAAAGGCATTCGAGACGGTAGAGTATCATAAAACTTCCTATACCTCTTCAAAGTATCGCGAAACTCATTCGAGTTTATGGAACGCATTCTCCAGATGGTATACCCGCGAGAAATCGCGAGGACGCGAATATATTTCTCAGACAAAATTCAACGAATCGTTCACGCTATCTACAACACGCTAACGTCCAAAGTCGCGAAAACGTTTGATAGTTTTAGCATAGCGTACGACAAGAACTAATCTGGAATACAATATACAAATTATACGATGTTATTCGTTCCTTATCTTGCTCGTCTGTTTGCCTACATTTCTACTCTTTGCAACAAATAGTGTCGCTCAATTATTTCAAATATTGCACTCACAGAAAGGATGAAACATCTTGACTCTGGCAGTATCTGGAAAACAATTTGTCCTTCACAGCTACCCTGGTCGGGGATTCCTTATTTGCAGCGTGTCCATGTCCAATTCCCTCCATTCCTTGAACTGCCTCTGCCTAAAACAGAACATTTAGTAAGAGACTATTTTGCTTTAATATACTATTTAAATACATAAAACCATGTGTATTAATATTTTTCTTAACTACGTAATACACCATATGACGCTATTTTATAATCATAACCTATATGGTACGCGTACATAATTTAAAAAATTTATAGTAAAAATTTCTATCCCGGGAGTACGGTTTGCAACATTAAAATGGCGGACCTAAAGGGTGAAGGTTAACGTAGATACAAATCCGTGCGTGCATCATGCTCTCGCACGCGCGCACATCTATTTCAGCAGGATGCTGTAAAACACGTTTAATTGCGAGGCCTTTAGGCAGGTGAGCATCTAGGTCAGAGTGTAAAGTTTAAGGGTTACTACTGAAATTTGCATATCGCCGAGGCCGGAGGCATGGAATCTTCATGTTCTCGAGGAAGCTGTATGTACATCGGATATAACGCGCCTGTGCACGCGCGCACGTATGTAATACGATGTAACACATATACGTATTACTTCGTTTCTACAAATACGGAATTATAAACGTACCGGCGCGAGATACGCCTCGAAGTCGTTATTCCCTGGCCAAAATGCTTCGCAATAAAAACGACGTTATTTAATATCTTTTATCCAGAACGTTCGGTTTATATTCTCTACCTATGACTACGCGCCATTCCGTTCGGCGAACATGGCTCCCTATGACGTCACGTTAACGTAATCGCTACATACTAAATCTTGATCGGCTTATTTAAACAAACTTTTGTCGAAAGTAAACGTACGAATATAATGCATTAACTTTAACCAGTAACAATCTAAGTATCAAAGCACGAGTATTGACACGATTGTACTAAAATGGTCGTTTTAACGGTCATACAAAGTTTGCTCTTATGCGATAGAAATAAGCGACAAATTCTTTTATTTACCGTCAATGCTTCAAGTTTCTCATATCTGATCCAAGTCTTGAAGCATAGCTTCTTTGATCTTACAACTTATTTAGTTTAAATAACACGAAATCGAGGAAAACGTTTCACATAAAGTACGAACAAATAATCTTCGTCGTGCACATACCGCCAAAATGAATAGAAACGAATAGGAAAGTTATTCGCCACCAGATGGCGATTTAATTTCCGTTAGAACGGAACGTACGGTGCTGCCATCGTTCAATCTTTTTAGGTTGGGTTTGGTGGCAAGCACATTTTGCGTACAGTGAGTATCTGATATTTTCTAAATTTGTTCAATATAAACTGATTTTGTAATATTAATGTGTGTGTAACGTTTTGCTCGTTTACCTAAAATTGATCAACTTTGCTAGTGATATATTATTGGGTAATCGACAGTTCAAACAAAAGGATTTCAAAAACAATTGCGATATGATACGTTGCTAGAATACCCATCTGTAAACGACACGTCGATTGTAAAATTCTCCAGTTACATTTACACACTTTCCAAACTTTAATATTACAAACAATAAGGTCTAAAGATATTGTCAATTAATCTATATCACGTTTCTTTTTCCATTATGATTACACATTGAATATACGAACGGTGCCTTCTTTGTATTGAAAATTAGATAAACCACGATGCAGATATTCGTGAAAACCCTAACGGGTAAAACTATTACCCTCGAAGTAGAAGCATCGGATACTATCGAAAATGTGAAAGCAAAGATTCAGGATAAAGAAGGAATTCCTCCGGATCAACAGCGTCTTATTTTTGCCGGAAAACAGCTAGAGGATGGACGCACTCTTTCCGATTACAACATTCAAAAGGGTATTCTATCAAATATCAAATACTTATTGATCTTTAACCAAGTTCCAAGTAACTAATTCATACATCTTTTACAGAGTCTACATTGCATCTTGTACTTCGACTTCGCGGAGGTGTTATCGAACCTACGCTTCGTATCCTGGCACAAAAATACAACTGTGACAAGATGATTTGTCGAAAGTGTTATGCCCGCCTTCATCCGCGTGCAACTAACTGCCGTAAGAAGAAATGTGGCCATACAAATAACATTCGCCCGAAGAAGAAGCTAAAGTAGACTATAGGCACCGCTTCTGCTTGCATACTTTGCAAGCTTATGTACCTCTGAAATTTTACTTTAATAAAATGTACATGAAAAAGTAACTGTGTATGCATTTTATATGTTTTACAGTATAAATTATATATATATATATTAACAAACTTCATTGTACAATTAATATTAATTTAAATTACAAAATAATATATGTACCAATTTTATAGAATCAACGCAAACGGCTAGACTTCGTAAGTAATTGTTGATGCTGCTTCGTATAATGTTCATATAGATTAATATTGTCTTGATTTGGCACTGATCCACCAATCTAAATATATAAAAATAATTCTATGAGTTATAGTTAATTCTTGGATTACATATATGAAACAAACATACTTACATTAGCTCTTTTAACATATTGTTCATATATATTTATACTGTGTTCTGTTACTACCGGTAATGTTACCATAGGAATTGTAGTTTCGGGAAACGATGTCTGCTGAATTAATTTCGACCGAAATTTCGTATAATCTAAATACGTTGCATTGCGTCCAATTAATACAAACCTATAAAAAATTAATACGTATTAAAAAAATACTTGAAGATGTGTGTAAATGAATTTTCTATCATTCCTACTTTTTATACAGTACTACATCGTTTCGTTTAGGATATTCGGGTTGAGTTCCATACACTTCTTTCATGGACGGAAATAATGACTCGAAAGACGTGAATTCCAAGCTTTCTTTCGAAGTTATTAGCTGAGACTCATTGGTATGTTGATGGCTTTCATCGTCGTCTGTACTCACATCTTCGCTAGAACTATATAACTATATGATAGATAAAATTAATTCTTGCATAATTATACGAATCTCACCTTGCACTTGAAGTCGTACTACTGGTACTACTTTGTCCAGTCATAGAAGGATTTTTCATACTTAAATTTTTATTACCCGATCCTTCTCTTCTTTTACCGGGCCGAACGCGTACAGCGAATGGACTAAAGCTCGTCGTACAATTCGGCATAAAATCTCTGACCGAATGACTAATTTTATACGCATAAATTTCAGACAGTAGAGACAACTCGTACGGCCTGCAAGAAGTAATCTTGAGTATAAATAAAACATTCCATATTTACGTGATAACATTGTTTTAAATACCTGTGATAATCGTAATAGACATCGATCATTTCTTCGGTCGAATTTTGTACCTGTATTATTTCGGCACAAGCTTTTGTCACTTCGTTTAAAGCATATGGAAGACATTTTAATACGTTAGTATCCCACCATTGTGTCAAAAGCTTTGTTCTGTGAGAATATTGACAAGCTGGTTTATGATGAAGGTAGTAATCTGTTACAAGTTCCCAAATCGGAGGCTTTCCTTCTTCGGGAATGAATAAACCTGTGAAATTTGTTTCCACAAATTTCATTTATAGATCCCCTTTATGCTATATTATTTATGCGTTTAATTATTTACCCAAGAATAAATTAATAGTATGTTGTTTCTCTTGATCATTGAAAGTGTTACTATAATATCTACTGAGTGTCTGCATAATGTCATTACCCTGACTAGTCCAAGGTGCAGTCTTCCTAAATGATAACGAATATTTTTTATAGCATTTTACAGCATTTACAAGTACCTTTAATGTTATATAATTTTACCTATAGGTTTTTATTCTGTGAACTAATTGAGAACCACCATATTGTAATGCTAATGTATCACCATGATCCTCGTATAACTCTTCCAACATTCTTACACAGTCAGAGTCAAATTCTAATTTAGGGGATTCTAAAACGCCCAAAGCACATAATTGAAATCCTAAAGCACATTTCCCTATTGCAAATTGTGCTGTATTTGTTCGATCTAAGCAATCTACGCAATTTGTTCTAATAATTCCAGTTTGTAATGTGCCTCTTGTGCTAAAACACTGTTTCACTGTATCTTCTATGTGACTTGATTCGTGAAAATTATTTTCTACCGTAAACTTAGAATTTGCGTTGTAATTTACAGATAAATTATTGCTATTCTCAGCTGCCAAATTTACAGAACTTTGAACATTATAGGAACTTTGTGATAAAACTGTGTTCGAGTTCGTTTTGTGAAGTTTCTTCGCGTTATTAGATTGAGAAGAAAATAAATTTCTTTGACTGTAATACGGGTTTTGCGATTGAAAAATACCCGTTTTTAATACCGCGTTATTTGCTATATTTGCTAAACGTGCCATAACATTAACATTTTTCCTGAAAAATATATTCGCTTATCGTTATTTATTCTTTTGCTCGACATATTCCATGGACTGTATTATAAATTAATTGTAATTGTACCTTTTGTTCATTCGAGCCATATCGAAAATTTTGTATTGAATATGATGCTCTGGAGGTAAAAATTGATTTAAATATTTAACAGCCATACATAGTTCTTCGCTCAGTGTGCTTTCATGTTTCTTTTTCTCCCGTTTTTTTACAAGATTAAGAATTATAATCGGCGAACCATACCTCTTTAGAAGTTGATTGAAATGTGCACCTGAATTTTTTTTTATCGACGATCAAATAACTGTTGTACAATACGCGTGAAAATATATACATATATTGCTACCTGCTGTTTCCACATATGGATCTGCCAAATCGCAAGCAATAGTGGGTTTAGGAACCATTTTACTAACATATTGGCTCCAATGACCAGGAACTGATCCGCGCATTTGAACAAAAGAACTAAAACGACCCTTGTTTAAAGAGCTTACTCCCGAATCGTGAACAATTTGTTCCGTTTCAACCTCGTTGGCAACGTCACCCTTGATATTTAAAGTTGTTATTTAATAACAAAATCATGGTAAAAAGCAGACGTAATTCAACAGTACTTACATCGAAGTTTGCCCCGCGTTTTAAAAATCTAGTACCCGCATATTTATTACTTCTTCTGGCTATAATAGTTACGTACATAGACCTTCCGAAAATACTGACATTCGATTGACCAATAAACCCGTGTGTAATATATAATATCCAATCTCGATGTAAATCCTTCTCAGCTGGCTTTAAAAGATGAGAATTCCATACAAATCGACGGTTTGGATTACTCCGTACACCATAGTCGATATATTTTTCTGTACCGCTAAAAATATTAATACTTAATACACGATTCTCAGACAGAAAAAATTCTGATTCTATATGCTATAACGGACCTATTACTCTGCTGGTTTTTTCTAAATGCCCACATATTAAAAAAGTCTGTGTCCTCGGTATCATCGTTTCCCGCTCTTTTCGAGGCTTCGTCGGAAGTATTAGGTATGTTTGATCGAATATGTTTCGGCGGAGTCATATTATTTTGTAGAGTGTGTGTCAAGTCGTATGAATAACTAAAGTAGAAATTACTGCTAAGATCAATACTTTGAAACATTTTTACGTATCTCTGTTCGTCGGGATGAAAGACGCGTACAGTGTCGTTTGGGATATAAATCATCGAAGTATCTAAAACTTTGTATATCGTATGATGCCCAACAACAGCCACCCTACATCGTTTTGTGACCAGGATAATATAGTATCCCTCCAAAAAACGTACAAAACCTGCCACAAGACGATTAATCATTAGATCGAAACTCTCTATTAAAATAGATAACATAATTATCTTCTATTATATTGGAACCACATAAAACTTGCATTAAGTATATTAATATACACCTAGCATATTGTGCATATAACATGCTTGATTCCATATTTGCACATAAAATGGCATGCAAATGTAATTTAATGTTACACCATACTAAAAACATACTCATATTGTAATATCTTACATATAGCATGATATGTTCATAGAATATCCAATATAAAAATATATTGCATATAAACCTGATGCAATTATTTAAATATCAAATTTTCATATTTAATTATTTATTACGAAGATGTAAAAACAGATGACTGTTAGCATGTTAAAGCTATGCTTTTGTTACAGAATGGTACAATTGATATACATTTTACCATTTTCATTGATTTTTCAATATCTTACAGTAATTTCTTATTACACTTATATCATTTTCATGTTTATCTGTGCAAATTAAACATACACAATTCTTAGAAGAAAAAAAAGAACCACTTGACTCCTTGCCAAGCATTATGTTATTATAGAAATGTAATATGTTTCACCCTACATATTAAGCTCAGTAGCCCTTACCAAGAAGACCGAAAGCTGACACTGGTCGAGGAAAACTGTCCCTTTGCCACATTGTTTTCCAGGTGAATTTAGTTTGAGTTGGTTTGTACATCGGCTTTTGAAATTCTTGGTGCTCAGACTCTTGTGATATACTGTTGTCTGGTGTAGATTCATTGTAATTGTTGCCTTTGTTAGCAAGCATATATAAAATAAGCTGTCTTACATAACAATTTTAGCAATAGCTTTGTTTTAGATACTATTAATATGTAAGATGTTTTGCATCTAATACTAAAGTACAATAAACATGCTATCAAAATGTGAAAAACATGCAAAATTGTGTGACTTAAGCTAACACCTCTATAATAATATAACATGAAGTATTTAAAACAAGCTACCTAAATAACTTGCCTACATTAGGCAATAGAAAAAAATAATAATTGTGTGCGTAGAGGTATAGAAGAGATACAAAGATCAACTCCATTTTTTAAACGAATGTGTCTTTTTACTTACCTGGTAATATAACAATTTAAAACAATTTTTAAAATTATCCCCTAGCATTCAAATGATTAATACAAGTGTTTAAAACATTGTTCTTGAGCATCAATGTATGGTCTAAAGCAATTTAATATGGGTAACATTTCACATTCAACATGCATATGCATAAAAATTAAACAAATTATTCAGAGAGCCTGTTTTAAATACCTTACCCTGTGTATTTATATGCCAATAAAAGATAATAGATTTGTGCATCAAATTGTGTATTATCTGAATGTTGCATATAATTATGCAAATATTAATAAAATCATTGCAAAATGTGGCAACCGCATACATAATAGAAGCATATACGTGCAACATTAGTTTATACCGCATGTAAGATTGAAGGAGATGCCTTGTGTTACTTACCAACAATACCAAAAGCTGAAATAACTCTTGAAACTCCACCCATGTTACTTCGCTGCCCAGCACGTGTAAGATTACCCATGTCTATCATATACACTAGATCTTTTATCTCATCCTTGGTGTATTCCCTTTTATCATCCACAACAATTAATTCTTTTGGTTCTGTACGATCGATTTTTAATACCCGAAAACGAGTCAAGGCATTATTTGATCCCATCAAATAAAATCTCTGCAACATAAATTGTACTTTATTTTTAACAACATTTACGTTTTATTTAAATGTGCGATAGATTAACTTACAGATTTCGTTTCGTAAAGTGCAATCTTCTGTATCGAAGAAATAATAGGATGAAACACTACAGTCGGCACTGAATTATTATCCATTGTAGAATATTTATTAATCACAGCCAAATATATATACACATAACCGCATAAACAACGGGTGACCGTGCTACTGTCAATGGGGGGTCGCGATCGAGACTCACTGTCTAATAATCCACCAAACCGTCCTGCTACAGCCATCTGTCGGCTTCCATAGGCAGCTTTTTAAAGCTTCGTTTTTCAAATTTGTTTGACGTCCTACGGAAATGTTGTTTAATACTTTTTACTACTACTCTACTCGTCTATTCGTATACCTCGTCTGTCTACATACATCTGAGAACTAATTCAGTTCACCGACGATATATTTTGATATATTTTGACGAGGTATGTTGTTTTACGATTTTATCTTGCATAGAAACACAGGTTTAAAAATTCTATAGATCTTTGTCTATAGAAATGTTCCGATGAAATTAAATATCCCAACGGAAAGCACTGACAAGCGTGTCACGAAAAGTCAATCAGAGCCATGTTTACGCTTCCGCAATACGCCCGAACTTTCTACCCTACGTTGCTAAAAATATGGACTTCGTATCGTATTAGGGAATCATCAAACAAATCTAGATCCCGTTGACATGTAAGAACATTACATATTTAAGGTCTGAACCATCGGGGAACCATGACCAAGTTTTCGAGTCGAACAGTTATTTATGGGTCGTTCGACACTCCACAATCTCGAATCGAAGCATTTCATCGAGAGAATGGTGCTCGTCGGCGATATGCGTTCGGTTTTCAATACCGGCCGGATGCTGGGTTGTGCGTCTCACGTCGCCGTCAACGACGACATCAAAAGAAGAAGCTCTCGAGACGTGTTACTCGTAGTGTTATCGATGGCCTTGTATCTAAGCAGCTTGGTGATAATGCACATGTTCGTATTTACGTATAGCAGTTTAGACACCAAAGGTGCGTTCCTCAGCTTCTCGAGGGTGGCTCTCTTCTACTCGTGCTTCTTCACGGACATTTTCTTGTCGACCCTATGGAACTCGAAGATACGCGCTGTTTTAACGCAGCTGCGTACCTTCGATCGAGCAACGAATTTTCACGATCCCTCCAAACGCGTCAAAGTACGAAATATCTGTCGAGCCACGGTGTTCGTCATTTTGACTTATTGGACTGTAGTCGGATACATAAGTTACAGGTAAGAGTACTCGTGTTCTCCATTTTCTTAGGCTTGCAGCCATTTCTTAAATTCTTTGATTCTCGTTCCTCGATGTTGACTTAAGATCCAACCCAGATACGTTGTTTATCCAGGAAGAAATAGTAGAATGTGCGTCAAAATTTCAGTTTCAAACTCTCGTAAAATCGTCTCGTTCTAAAATTGCCACGCATTTGTTGGACGTTACAGGGTTTAATCAGACGATATTGTCGTTTTGCAGATTTGAAAAGAGACTGCCAGTTCTGCACGGATTGGCATACGCGATCATCGACGCGGCGGTAACGTTGCAGGTCCTGATATTCGTCGGTTTTGCGTACCTTATCGAGGAGAGATTTCGTCAACTGTGCAATATGTTAACGTTCTCCACTGGTAAGTTTGCTTTTGAAATATACATCGTCTAATACCATTCGTTTATGTGTTTACGTGTTTCGTTTACGACTCGCTCGAAACCGTCTTTGCAGCTATAATTGATCGTCGCTTTAATCTATTTTGCTTCCCTCTGTCCGCACAAGCAACTGCACGGCTGCAATCCTATTTTATTTCATTCGTGCAGGCCTGCTTGTTATCGTTGACGTTCGTTTCCCATAAAATTCGCGCAGTTTACTCGGGAGGACACCGTAGAGACTGCACCTGCCTTTTCCCCGAATCGTAAATTTCGTCGATAAGCAAACAATTCACCCCCTGCCAGTGGTCTTCTAATTACGAAGAAACTTTAGATTCGAAAGCTCGATGTTTCGAATTTGTTGAAACTTTTCGTATTTTCCAAGAGCAGAGACATTGTTGTTGTTTAATTCCAAGCTGTATTCATTTGTTTCCCAACGTATAGTCTATTGGAAAAATATTCTTATCGTTCTAATGAAAATCCATTCTCTCTCGCAGTGAAAGACGAGTCGATACCCGATAAATTGTACGGACGCTTCACGTTGCGACAAATATGGTGGTTGCATTGCACTCTGGCGAACGCGACAGAGACGCTGAATTCCGTCTACGCGATTCAGTTGTTGTTGTGGCTCTCGAGCATGTCGATCAACGCGATGTCCAGGATCTACACGCTGAATATGTACACCCTGACGGAGTTCGCAAAGGCCCGGGAAACGATGCTGGCGATTGTTTGCTCCTGGAATCTATTTATGATCACCACCGTCTGCCACCTAACAGCGCAACAGGTAGTTATTCGCGAAAGACGAAGCAATGTTGCTCGTACCAAGCAACAGATACGGAATCTGGTATCTGTTTATTAGGCCAATCGTGTCGGCGAGATTATCTTTGCGCCATCCTCGTCCATTTCCATGAAGCGCGTATTTCTGCAGGTGAGACAGCTAAGTGGGTTCGTCCATAAAACAAATTGCTCGCAAAAGCCTCGATAGAGAGATTTCATGTTTCTCCGAACACTATTTACCCAAGTAACGCTTCTTTGATACTATTATAAAGATACTTTTACAAAGATCAAAGGGTGCACGAAACTTTTAAGCAGCATAGATACCGAGTGCTCGTTCGGGCCCTTGAGAAATTAACACCGTGCGTTGTTCAAACATTTTTGCTATCGTTACTTTCCTCGGAACTAATTAACATAGAGAAGAGTCACATCCTCGCGGGATCGCTCCATTCCCCCCGTCAATGTGCACAGCCATATCGCGCCTGCATTCTCCTCGACAGTTAATTGCTTTAAATTAATTGCATGCACTTCATTCCACCCATTTACACGGGCCATGCACTTAATGAACTGATAACTCTTCTCGTTCGCCCATTCTACGCGCCCCTAGTTTCGACTATCGATTCCTCCGGCGTGTATAATTATAGGAAAACCTGGAGGCAACGGCGTATTTCCAACAGCGGAGGGTGTATTTCTTTACTGTCGCCGGCTTCGTACGCGTGGATCTTCCTCTTCTGCTCTCGGTAAGGAATCCAGGACGAAGGATTCTATCGAAATTTGTACGATCCCGATCGACGAAAAGCGATAATTGCGTTTGTGCAAGTTTACAGTGAATACAAATTTTAATCAAAGCATCGACGATTACGATTAAAATGGATAATCGTCAACCATCGCTAATGAAATTAATCTAAGTAGGAATTTGTAGTAATAAACTCGATTACGTCGGATGTAATCGAAACGAGCCATTATTTGTGTTTAATGATCTCGACCAACGAGTTACTCCCGGCGACCACTAAATGGTATTGCAACTGAATATTTACTTTTTGGAGCGTTAAATGCGACTATAACTCTACTGTTTACATTCGATTTGCTTATATTGTTTATCCGTGAGATTAAAAATAAACACCGTTTGAAAATGTGTGAAATCGTTATTAAAATATGCGAAGAGACAGCTCTTCGTTATACAAGTTACGTGTATTTTTCAACTCGTTAACCGTGTCGCTCGAATATGAATGGCACGTAAAATTCAGAGGGGACCGAGTCGCCTAAATCCAGTCACGTTCGTATTTTATCATGTCACGAATGACATTAGTAATTATATCTGACAGGTTCAAGCTGGCGCATTTGTGGAAAATTATTCAGAGAATAAGTCGTCCTAAAATATCGCGCTCCAAAAATTTTAAAAAATGTTTAAAACCCGGTCGAGTTAGTCGTTGGCTTTTCCACTGATTTTTATCGTCGTGTTTGCAGATTATCTCGAGCATGACGACGTATTTGGTGATTCTTTGCTGAAAGACGTCTCGAAGATCGCCTTCGGGATCATCGTCGATCGGTTGACGGGCTTCGCTGAAGGATCAAGCAGCTAATCGATCGGATCTGTAAAGGGAAACCGAAAAGAGCCGCGAAATAAACGCTGAAATGGAAAATGAGAGGCCACTCTGATCCCGTGTCCCGTCGATTGATCTTTGACGTCAAACGATATTCGGGATATCGACAAAAGCGGTCGTAACCGAATACGCGTGAAATTCCCTCCATTCTTTGTGAAATTTAGCGGGAGTGACGCAACCGAAAATTAAGAGGCGAATACGTAGGATTGCTTTACTTTGGAAAACTCTATTCGCGGCCGTAGAGACAAAATTTGCTTAGTATTAATATACGAAATAAAATGTGAAAGATAATAATATATTTCCACTCTTCAATTCCTATTAGCTTCACCTTGGAACTTCAATATTACTTTTTAATAAATTGGCTTTGAAATTTCAATATTACTTTTTAATAAATTGGCTTTTTGATCTCGATTTGTTTTTCCAATTCGAACGTAGGATCAACTGAAACCGAAGTCTGGAATGGAAGGCGAAAATACAAACTGAGTCTGAATTTCTTCTTCTCGATTCATCGTTACAGGCGAAACCACCGCCCACGCGGACGAAGCTGTGAGCAGAAGCTAGTATTAAATACGATGAGTATTCTTTGTTTATTCTAGCAATTTGTAATAAATTTAAATATTTAGTTTATCACTTACCTGAACGAGAAACGGATCGTGGAAGTTTTGTAAGCAAGCAGAGAGAGCCAATAATAGACGTCGCGATCTATGGTGGAAATAGGATAAAGGTTTTTGCTCGAAATCGATGAAATCCCACAGTTTACAGTTACTCGCTTCCAATATTCGGATGCTGTAATACTTTTTAAAAAATTCTAAATACATCGTATCTCCATTGGACAAATTTCAGCGAATCTTTAAGCACTGGTCAACTTTCCTCCCCGATGGAAATCTAGCTCGACAATTGCAGACCTATTTCTGTATTGCGAAATACGTGGAAACAAAATTATCCTCTGGTTTCCGATATACAGTACGATGTTACGCGTATATCTATTCGGCATCGTCCTCGTTTGAATATTCTACAGGGGATTTCGCGCGATGGAAATAGTGCTTTCAATGTTTTGAAAGCATGCAGTTATCCAAATCACGTTTGAATCCAAAACACCAGTACTGCAAGAACCAGTACGCGAGCACCTCGCGGAACGTCTATGTTGATAAAATTATTATATGCTCTCGGAAATTTTACTGGAATTGCAACATTCGTGTTAGTAAGACCTCGACTTAATACCCTCCAGCTTTGTAAAGTTAAACTGTGTATTTCGTTGATATTACATAAGTAATAGTCTTAGATTGTATGTATACATATACTCGTTCCCACGTTGTATTGCATAAATTAATGCAGAATACATTTGCTCGTAGTCTGCTATCTCGAATCGTACAGGGCTCCGTTTCTTTTCTTTTTTATTCAGAGTCGAAAGTTTTTAAAGACAAAATCTACAACTGTGGGATTCGTTTGTTCGAAGGGTGAAGCAAACCTAGAAAGATTTCGCCACGCTTAACGCGAGGGATGATAACGTCCGTCAAACACGACGGATCGACGGTTCGCGTGGTCTCGTAGGTGGAGGTGTAACGCGTAATACGGGAAAGCAGAGCGCAGAAAGCGAGAGGATGAGAGGAGTAGAGGACGCAGGCGCGTCCGCGATGCTTTGAAGAGCTCCGGCGGGAGCTGCGATTTTCTTCCTTTCAGTTTACCGTGGATCCGCTCCTCGAAACTTCTCGCGTGCATCGTCATCGTCGTTCGGGGGAGGATCGATCAAGGGGCGAACGTCGATCTTCGTTGATCGAGCGCATCCCCTCGGTCGTGAACTATGCGAGTTGCGTGTGCCTCGTGGAACAACCCTCGAACTTGTTGCTAACGAACCGACGGGGTTAGGGACGGTGTCGAATAAAATGATAAACTGAATCGATCAACGACAGTGACGGGGGATCGTCGATCGTATGGTAAAGATTTGTGGAATATCGTGGACACGGATGTTTCGTTTCAGCACCGAGGATACCTGAAAAATAACTTGGTGGTTTTCACGAAACACGGTTCAGGAGTGATTTAAGCTTTTGATCTTCGTAGTGTATAGGCGGTTGATTGGGAGAGCTACGCGGAGATCTGAAAAGTAACGTCTGTAACTCTATATTAACGGTGTTTCGTTCGACGCAAACGACGTTCCAGCGGCGTGTTGGTGTAACGCGTGAGAGAATTGCCCGTGCGTCGGTAAATACTGGTGCAATGACTATTTGCACTCTGCTTATAAACATCCAAATGCACCGATTTCACTGGATTCCCGTTACGCGGAAAATCCAGTGCAATTGCGGTACTCGCACGTTTCGAGTTGCATTGTCTCAGAATTGCCTAATCGTGCCTCTTAATTATTACCAGCTTCCGTTATTTTTTTAGAAAAATGGGTGAAACAGGGTATGGACCGAGATCGATATTCGTTTTGTCGTCAGAGGGGGTTGAAAATATATTTTGCATATGGTTATCTCTAAAATTAAAATATCTCCAACAGCGAAAAACAGACTCAAACTTTAAAAAATTCTTTGTACTGAAAAAGCACAAAGAGCAAATTGCCAGATGACGTTATATTTAATTCGTTAATGGACTCGGTTTAATTAACGAGATTCGATGTTATTTCTGCCCATGTAATGTAGCTTATAACGGTAAAATAATGCAGGTTTACCCTGTGCCAATGGTGCACAAAGTCAAACCCGCAGGCCACTCCAGCCCTTTTAGTAAATTTATGCGGCTTGTAAAATAATGTTCGAACCAATGTCGAAACCCTATACAAAAGATACGAACGTATACTTTATTCGTTATATTTTCTAATTCTGGTTTGAAGAATATACGAGGTGTTTTGGCTAACCTTCCTTATTTATTGTTCTATAAAAAGACTTCTCGGAACAAGATACACTATTTTAAGGTGAGATAAATGTCTTCCAAAAGTCAGCTTTTCACGAGATTAAACGCGATCTTGATTATTGTTCAATGATGAAACTTCTCAGAGTAACGTAATACTTTTTCAAGTTGAAATGAATTTTTTCTCGAAGCTACGTTTTTACGAGACTTCAAAGTCATCGTAGATCGCGAAGAAAAACAAATTCAATGACCTCAATAACCATACCGTTTACCGATTAATTGATCGTGAGATATTTGTTTGTGTCCGTACATAATTAAAATTTCTTAATGATTCATGCGTCCTTATATTTATTTTTAATCTTCGTTAGCAACTCATAAGGCTACAGTTGCTGAAAATGGTTAATCAATGTATAAATGGACTATTTTAATTCTTTCCATTTCCTACGATCGTATGGATGCAATTGCAATTATTTTTTATTTTTCATAATAAATCACAATATTTAGTTTAGTCTACAGATGAAAATCTGTGAAGTCAGAGTACTGGCCACTCCACAGTTCCTCAACTTCCGATCCAACGGCCTCAAAACTTTAATATTGTCCCTGCACATCTCGAATAATATGCAGTAGTCATGTTGGCACTGCACACATTGTGCAACATTCAATGGAGTATCTGATAAAATCTCTATAGAATTCACCGAGGAATTTTCACGTGTTTTTGTCCTGTAAATGTACCTTCGTTCAAGCAAGAACCTATGAATTTCTACGATAATATTCCGTAGAACAATTCGTTCATAGTTCATGGTCTTTCTAAAAGACCAATAACGTACGTTCTGTAAATGCATTGCCGCGGGAGTATTCACGGAATGTTAATTAATTTCTGACGTAAATATCTAGAGATTAAATTATCGGAACGATATGTATCGAGGTCATTGTGTATTTTTAATTCTCCATAAGGATACAGGAACAAACATGTACAATTCTATTTAAAAAAATACGATCGCAAAATCTGTATACAATTTTTATGTTTTTAAAAGGATTTACAATCAACAGAACGTGAACGAATATGTAACTACAAATTGCTGACGTTTTAAAGGCACATTGTTGGTTCTAACCAACTTTCCTGAAAATATAAATTTCCTCGTACAAGATACCGGAGGAAGAAGGATGTTTCCTTGCGTTGTTCCGCGCACGTGCGATCTATTTCATCGTAAAACGAGTTTAGTCGACAAACTGCATCCACCTTAAGACGCGACTTGAAATTTATGCAAAGTCTTCACCGTTTCGTCGTTGAACGGACAGTAGAAAGTTGTCGGTGCATCAACTGCCGGTACACAGAACGCATTCGCTGGTGCAGCCGGATACACAACGAGCTTGCATGCCCGGCACACGTGCGACGAGTTCTGCCTCTGACAGCTCGAGCCGTTTGCAAACGAGGCCGTGTCACGGGAAAAAATGAGAAACGTTTTGTACACTCATCCGCTTTCATTAATGAAAAATTCCCTCGATCGACGATTACCCGTTTATCCATATCCGTGCGCGATTCAGAACATCGCGAGTTCAATTAATCAGCAAACGATTGAAGCACCCGCGCGGACGCGGAGATTGGTAGCGGAGAGAAATCTTTCGTAAAAACTCCATCGAGTCGTCGTTTTCATACACGGAATTAAAAAAAGAAATAAACATTAGTTCTTTCCTCTGTGCGTTTATCGCTTGGATATTTGTTTCGTCGAAAGTATCGCTGCTTCTAAATTAAAAAAAATAATAACGCAACATCGAACGGTGTTAATTCGCTTTCCGTAATGTTAACCATAACATCTAGTATGCCAAATTGCATGACCCGATGGAATAAATTCAGTCGTCGACAGCACGTATTGAACTTTCCGCGTCGATTGTACCTGCATTTCAATGTTTGAATATAAAGGAACACGTTAACACCTCGTATGGCAGGTTGCGAAATTGCCGTAACGAATTTCGTTGTTCTGGGAAATCAGTTCCAAGTTGGTTAATGGTAAACGATCGAAGTGGATAATGAAATAAAGGGAACGATGTGGGAACAGTCCGACCCTAACGGGACCCGATGAAATAAATTCAGTTGTCGACAGCGCGTATGAGAGGCACGAACCCCTGTGTATTCGCGTAATTGAGTTTACTCCGTACGAGACAACAGAATCGCACATGGGGTTGGACTTTTCTCCGGCAAGTTTGGCCGAACGATACGACGAGATAACCGTGGAAACACCGTTGACAGTTGGGTTTTTCTGTTGACGCAAGACGTTGGCCAGTGGGGTTTTCCATGCCAGTCGCTGCCGGAAGCCGTTTCCGTTTCCACCGCGGATCGACAGCTGCGGGATCCTCCGGATGAGCCTGACGTCGACAGGCAACCATGTCTACGAGCGCGTACAACGACTCGAGATTGGCGTCGACGACGTTTCCGGGTTTCAACGCCACCCAGAATGCCACCGCGACGCCCGTGAACGAAAGTTTCGGCGTGGATATCACCACCGCCATACTCTGGTACTTCTACGACAAGTTCCACAGCAAGACCAATTACTTGTTGATCGTCCTCTACGTCCCCGTCATGGCACTCGCCGTCACGGCCAACGTCCTCGTCATCGCGGTCGTTTTCAAGTACCACTACATGCGCAGGTATGTACACAACGGGTTTTACGGCCCTCGACGAAGACGCGAGTAACCATCATCCCCTGTCTGACTTATTACGCCCTTGGGTCAGATTTTACTACCCAGAAACCGTTCTACGAATAAAAAGGACGCGTACAATTTGGTAGAAAATTATCGAAACGGATGGGGAAAAGGTTCAAGTAAAAAGGATCTCTGGAAGAAACTAGTAATTATCCAACGTAACGTCATTTTTACAGTCGAGGAAAGATTCGATTCGGGAGGTCCAGGTGGTCGGAATTATTACCACCATGATCTACGAGGCATCATGTGGCGAGCTGAAATTAGGTAGAACGGAAGGGCCAAAATGAAACGTACAAACAAGCGAATTAATCGTGTTAGTTACATCGCATTAATCAACGAGCAAATAGAAACGTATTGGACGAATTCCCGGGATAAATTTATTTTTCAACGTCACGGTACAACTTTTGTATCGATCGTCAGTTGTAAATATTTTATTTACTTTGGAAGACACCGTAGGGTTGATCTGCAGCGAGGCGAAAGATTCAAGCACGAGAGGGGTTGATAGAATTCGTTCAACTGGTGGTCGTTGGACGTCGAGAATTTTGTGCACTCGTCGCGTTAGATTTTCTATGTACGGTCGTGTGCCATCGGGCTGGCTAAACGTACTTTGGAAACAATTTAATCTGAGGATCGTTGACGAGGCGTCTCGAAGCGGATCAAGAGAGATTTGACTAAATTAAGCGGGGACTAGTCGGTTCAAACGGTATCGAGTGTATAGGCTGTTGATTAGGGAGGCTGCCGCCCCTGTCACGCCTGTCGGCTTACTATCAGGATATTGCTTTTGGGACAACAGGATCGATCCCGATAGAGTTAATTATAACTTTGGGCGAGGCGCTTTATAAGACTGTGTCGAATTAGCCTCGCGGGATCAAGGTTAATGCGGACCCCGTGCCCTCGCGGATGCCTTTAAATTTTTAACGCCTTATCGATGAATCATTGCAACGAACCTCCAAAAGCTTTAAGAGGGTAGTCGAGCCCCGGAATTTTAAATATCCACACCCTGCCGCAAAAAGATACTGCATAAATACATAGGTGTCCCTGAAAGTTGCGTTCGAGCTTTCGTCGATACTTCATCAGAAAATATCCTCTACTGTTTCGATCGTTTTTAAATATCTTGTAAAAAATTGCAAGTCACAATTTTTAATTATAGAAGCGAGCGAGAGTAATGAATTATTATTATCTTTCGTTCGCGAGCTACGGTTTGGGCGACATTGGTGTATGGACATAATTTTTCATTGTTTATCCGTTCACGGTCTCGATAATTTATCGCGTTGGCGTCGAGCTATCAGTATCATTTTCCCTCCCCGACGTCGCGCGTTTCCTCGACCCAATTTCGACGGAAAGAACTCAGGAAGACCGTCTCCGGGAAACGCTTAATTAGGATGCATGGATTATTGGCGAACTACAGACGTACAATTGTCGATCCAGACGAGACACGCGTAACAAGCGAAAGCAAATACAGGGTACTCCGCAACTTGCTCTACAAACGTCGAGACGACCTTTCGACTCGAAGAAAGAAGTCAAAAACGTGAAACGGAATCTCTTCTTTACTAACAGAATAAACGATTGTTATCTTCACCAGTAATTTCAGCAACTCGAACACTCTACTAAAGAAAATATCAAGTAGAAATTAAAGAAACCTTTGGTTACGTAAGAAATAAATTAAAGTTTGACCAATACTTCTTACCTCTACTTCGTCTAAAATTCATTTACGCTTCCTCTGTTATAGGAAATACATCTCTGTACACGCTAACAATATCAAGCAGCCTAACTTTTTACCAAAGGAACAAGAACACGAACAACTTAGAACACTTAATACTTGTACAATAACGAACTAAGCCAAATTAAATGAAAACTGATCCTCCATCTTGGTGTTTTTACCATGTTAACGCAACTATGTTATCCTACTTTTTCTTCTTTACGTCTTTTATATCTTTATGGATCTTGTCAACGCAGTCTGACCTTATAGTTTCCCAATCCCCTAACGATTTCCATCACTGATTATCGTGGTATGGTTTTATGGTCCTTATCTTTCTCTTCGACTATTCTTGAGTATCTACGTTACTCTTACCGTTCTCGTAAATTCTATCGCATTATTCCACTCTCTGGCTGGCTGAATGCGCGCTGGAGATGAATTCTTCGTCTCTGCTCCCTTGTTTACAAGGTCCTTGCCACAAAGTCTACCACTCTCCACCCTCGCATACCGATGATGCTTCTATGGTTTTGTCTAAATCTTTCTGTACCCTCTAACCACACTACCCAATTACAAACTTCCTATTCCTGCGTGTCTCTCTATTATTACAAGCCAATATACCTTCTACAGATTCCTGCGCCGTGTATTATTTTTGTTCACCGAGTGAATATGTTAACAAAAATAAAATAACAGAGTGATCTTTCGCAGCAGTCTACGCCCAGTATCGAAATATTACTTTATAACTTAAAACATTGATGGTACCGGTACCCCTGTCTCTGTTTTACGCAAAATCATCGATATTTCGGTAGCGCCGGGCAGTTACGGGGGCGATCTGTACACACACGCGAGAGGAACTCGCAATCAGCAGAGCGGAAATTGAATTCACCAATAGAAAGTGCTCAAATAGAGAAGGGTTACGTGTTTGAGCGCGAGATATTGTTCGCAAACAAGCGTAACCATCGTCCGACTGCAAACTCGTTAGGCAACAGACGGGAAGTAATTTCTCGCTTCAAGGCGAAAAATCGGGCTCGTCGGCTACTTTGAATCGAGAGTCGAAAACGGACTCTATTTCGCGGCTAAGGTCAGCCACGCGTTTTCCACGCGCGAAAAGAGTAAACCAAATACACAAAAAGGGCAACGAGCTCGGTCGGCGAACTTCAAAGCGACTGCGTTTGGCAATGCAATTTATTTAATTTTACACGCCGATGAAATGGACGCCGTATCGCTTAAAAACCGAAGCTTTTATTTAATTTAAATAATATTTTTATACGCGGTGTAAGATTTGAAGCGTACCTTGCCGTACGATTAATGGACCAGCAAAGTTTTTCCGATGAAAATAATCTCGAAGCCCGCTCTTACGCGACGGCAGCCTGTGTTTGAGGAATAGGGTTTTATCCGAGCTCATTTGCATCGGAAAATCCACGCTGATCCGTGGATACGACTGTCACGAAGACGTAATGAAAAATATAAAAATTTTAAGTTTCATTAGGGGATGAAATTCGATGCGACGCGTGACAGAGAACGCTTTCGGTGGCTTTATCGTGCTTTCCTCGACGCGAAAGGGAAAAAACGTTTTTATAGAGCGTTCCCAGTCTCACTTTGGAACGCTAAATTTTATTCGTTTTTAAGCCTGAGAACTTCTAACCAAAAACTTTACGACCGAATTTGCGTCAGGGTTGTTAGCAATACGTTTCATTCTTGTTGGCGGGGAGAGGACGCTGTCTTGAAGCGAGGGACTACTAATTACGAGCAGTCTGACGGTAATCGAGACGGGAAGAATACACCTTGAACGTACTTGGACTCCGGATTGAGAAACGCATCGGGCATGTGCTTATTTCTGATAGCGGGAAGCGTCGTGCAAATAAACAATCGGTTCGAACGCCACTGTTTTGCCACGGTGCACGTTTGTTTGCCAAGTTGAAATTATTGCACTCCTCCGCCCCGTGGCCCAGGCTTCCAAATCTTGAGATTAACCAACGCTTTTCAGCGTGAGCGTTGCAAGGATAACAATAACTCCGGGGTAAACGGATCGCGCGAGTATTTATCATCTTCTGAACGATGACAAGGATACTTGGAAGCTGCCAGGATGTCCCAGAAATTATTCAGACAAACACTCAAGACATCCTAATAAACAGCTTCCATGATATCAGTGTTACAATTCCCTCGAAAATCGTGTTTGAGGCGCGAACGTTTTCGGAATTTCTGCAAAACAGTTTCGTTTGTTTAACGTTTCGTGTATTTTGGAATTTTAAGAGAAGTTTGTTTTGAAAGATTCCTCGACGGTTGGCCGTTCAAGCATGGAGGTAAGACGTTTGGAAGTAGGACAGGTGGCACACACAGCCAGAACGTAAATTGTTTAATCTTTCGCTTGCTTGGAAATTAGCGCGAGATCACGACAATGACTCGACGGGGTGAAAGAACACGAGTACCTGGAGGTGGAAGAGGTCTTTTCAAAAGCGTCCTAGAAGCTCGTCATTTGCGAAGAACTCTACCGTCGTAAAAGTCGCTTGTTCCTCCGATTGAATCGTAAGCTCCGATATCGATCTCGGGATTAACAATGCCCGGCGCTGATTATACTTTGCGCGCGAGAATAATTTCTGTAATCTTCATCAAACGAAACGAAAGGAATCGCTCGTTTGTAGCGAGACTCTTTCCCCAAGTCGTTGTGTAAACTTTGTTCCAGGATATCTTTTTCGAAACGTGCTTCGTAATGTCGCAGTTGTCTGTGAAAAAGAAGGGAGAATATTTTTGCTTGGAACGTTACCGCCTGGTGATATTTTGTCGAGCAACCCCGACGAGACTCCAAATGGTATTATCGTTAATTTCTTCGTAATCATCATTAATGGCCGCTTCGAGAGCGCCGACGGCGCAATATTACCTTCCATTTTTATGGGAACGACGTGCCATTTTACTACAAAGATTTTCAATAGGATTTCCATTAGGAAAACGAGCTGGCCAATTCAGCGTAAGAGCCACCCACGCTTACGCACTTTTACTACCGTGAAACGGTGCATTGTTTTACTGCCTCAAGATGCATGATTAACGTCTCGATCCACATTTCGAAAAATTGTTGCAGACTTATTTAATGGTAGACCTTGTATCGTTCAAAGTAACTTTAACAGCACCGAGTCAATCCATTATTGTTTTTGCTTAAAATCTCTGAGTTTCTCGATTATAATTAAAGGATGCGATATTCGCCGAGTCCATATTCATGTTTTTCTGCCCAAATTTCAAACGACGCGCCTTGTGATCATCAATAAGAGTCAGCGCCCGATTCATTACGACCTTTTTTGATATACGAGCTTCCATTTAAGACCCTCCTGATCGACCCCAATAAGACCTCCAATTTCAATTCATCCATGATGTCGGTTCCAGACTCGACGGTATTCGAAGTGGCGCTCACAACGCGACGCTCTATGCAATCTGCGAACTGTGATCTTTTGCGAAATTCATTAACTGCGTTATCTTACGCAATTGCATTTCTTTAGAAGCATGAAATGTTGAAACGTCGAGCACGGAGAATTGTTCGAAAAGTTTCCACCTTTCAGATTTAATTTTAATTGTTACCTTGCGTTTATAATTTGGGTCGCAAGATGACTACCTTATCTCGTTGCCAAGTTTGTTCCGAATTCTCGAAAATGGGAGGCTTGACGAACGATAACGCGTGTCTAAAACAAAGTTTGTTGGGTCAGCCTTACAGACGAGTCCATCGACGATCTCGTACGAGCCGCCATCTTGTCTTTGGCAAACTTATATACTATATGGATCGATTACTTTCACAATGCATACACAATCATCCTGTCGATCACAGTGACTGAGATTTCCTTATTAAAATATTGAAATTCCAAAAATCTTTTTGTTCCCAGCGTTACTAACTACTTCGTGGTGAATCTGTCGGTGGCGGATCTTCTTGTGACCACAATTTGTATGCCCGTGGCCGTCAGTCAAGCAGTCTCGGTCGTCTGGATCCACGGAGAAGTCATGTGTAAACTGTCCTCGTATCTCCAGGGTAAATCATCATTAATCCTTTTTTATTCTTCTGTTTCATTTCGATTTGTGACTTTGCACGACAAAAAAGTTTAATTTAAAATGACAAACTGCCTTAAAAGACCTAGATTTTCTAATTTAAAGTACAGGGAACCGTTTTCACATTTTATATTCAAACATAAAATCCTCCACGTATCTCCTGTCCAGTTTTTCAGCGTCAAACTCGATCTCGTTGCCACTGGCCCAGCACATAACGTATCGTTAACACAGTGGATTGATCAGACGGTCTGGATATCCGTTATATTCCACGGGACGCAGGTTCACACTATTTTCCTGCGAAAACTCTCGGGAACCACTGAATGGAAAAAAAATATAACCGTCGCGAATTGCCACGATATAACACACGCCTTCCAACCAAAGAGGACGAGAGTCACTCTGGCCCATACATAAAAGATCCGCCAGACCGTGCGGCCGCGTGTATCGGTGCATGCATGTGCAAGCGTCGCATTTCCACAGGAGAGACGCTTTCCCGGGCGATACGACGCCTCTGGTCCCTCGCCGTCGATGCAGTTTTTAGCTTTCTCTTTATTTAATTCGACCTTCCATCTCGCGTTCAATCCTGGCGCCGTCTGACTGAATAAATTCTAAATGCCTCGTCCCGAGTAATGGAATCGACGTCGCCGATTTAAAAGGACGATGATTAGCGATGGGATCTCGAGTGCACCGAATAGGCTCGAATTTATACGTCTGGCGAAAAGTTTCACCCAATTCGAGCACGATTCCAAGCCCAACACTCTCGAAAGTCTCGAGCCTCGAGCCTCGAAGGTTTATAAAATTCTGAACTTTTTCAAATTTAATTTCCGACGACCGTAACTTTCCAGATTTTCCTTCCTACTCACTGGTCATCAAAGTCATCAAGCCTTATATATTAAAATCAACACATTTTTATATTCACGAGGCATTCCTTGTCCCAACAAATTCAAACAAAATTAAATAGTATACGTTTGAAAAGTTACATTAAATCGTACGTCAAGGGTTTAATAACTTTCGAAACTCTCGAGACCATTACGAGTTTCAAGACGATCGAGAGTCTCTTAACATCGCTTCGAATCTGTGATGCAACGCATAGTAAGATACGAAGAAACGAGAAGCAATCTCAAGTCCCATCGCTAGTTCGAAGCTTCGAATCTTCGTAGTCTTAAGAACTTGGGAACTGAGATTCGAACAACTTGACGATGATGACACGAAACTTTAACAACCCAAAGCGTTCCGTAGGTGTTGCTGTGGCCGCTTCGGTGTTCACCATAACCGCGATGAGCATCGACAGATACCTGGCGATAAGGAGTCCAATGGCGTTTCGACGCGTTTTCAATCGCAAGAGCACCGTCATCGTTATCATCGCCCTCTGGCTGGTCGCTTTAATCATATTCTCTCCGGTCCTAAGAGTGGTTCGTAGAGAATTCGTTGATTCAATATCGCGCGCGAACATTTCCTGGACGTTCCTTTCGGCAAATGGTTTTATTCTGGCCACGAGCCGCTCATAAATATTCCTACGGCATCTGAATTGAACAGCGCGATTACAATTCACGAAAGGATGATACGATTAAAAACACGATTTTAATTAATATCCAGGGTATCTTGCTTTATCTTGCAAAACGAGAAAAGGCTATAGTTTACGAGCAACTCGAATTTAGTTTCGATAAAGATATGTGCAATGTCGGGAATAAAAGATACACGTTCGCGAAAGACGTATCGACGCGACGATCGTTCAGCAATCTTTCTCGTAGATGACCCTTCAAAATCCCGGCATGGAGCTTGACAACATAACTCTCTCCGAATCCTGGACGTCGACGGGAAACTTTGCAGAAAATACCTCGCGCGTGTCACAGTTGCCACCTGCTTTCTACATTTGTTCGGAAGATTTCAAGCTACTGGGCATTCGTGCGCATCTTTTCGGCGCTGTCTGTTTCGTGCTGGTTTATGCCATTCCCGGTAAGCCAGCATGATTAATAGTGAGCTTACCATCGACGTAAAATCTCTCCGTCGTTCCCTTTTCTCGAAGGAAAAACCAAAGGGCTGAACCTGATGTATATAGGGTTGCTCAGGACGGATGACGCTAACGGGAAGACATAATTCAGGGTGTAGAAACGAGACGGAAGTGTATTAGTTTGGATCACATCGATATTAGATGTGGCACTCAAGGTAGAAGAGAGCTGCACAGGAAAATTCTCAAAGATAAGGTCATCGAGAACTCGATATTTCATTTTTAATATTAAAATACCGCTTAAGTGCTTGTAATTTAAGAAATTTCTTAATTATCTTCTAAAGAAATTAATTTATTTTCGATTCCTTGATATTGCATGAACGCGTAGTAAAAAATTTCCGCTCGGATGGCTTGTTAAATAATTTTTGCAGCATACTTTCGGTGAATAATGGCGGATTTAGGCATCTTCGGGACCTGAAAAATGGCCTCTCCGATACTTTGGGTTCCATGGCGATAAAAAATCCCGGCCATTTTTTACCATCTATCCTTTATTCTACATCGTCGATTTATCTTTGCGCCACTCGACCTGGGCAACCTTCGCCATATAATTCGCTTCCGTGATCCTTCCACGAAAGGGATCGATCGCCTCGCCTCCCGTCCGTTTCCCTTTCCCTTTGTGGTTTCCGTACGTTTCGTTATATGTTTGCCCTAGGTTTCGTCGTGATACTGTCCTACTCCATGATGGGTCGTACGCTGTGCTCCAGGAAACCGCCGTTTGATTGCGACAGCGTCGAAGGAAGCGCTAGTTCGCAACAGGTTAGTTGAAACTTCGGTCCACATACTCGATAACGCGAAACTTTGCCAACCGAGGCTCCTATATTCATGACTGAAAATCTTATTCATCGGGGGCACGTGTCGCTGAATATCGACAGGTAATATAATTAACCCTAATCCCAACAGTTATTATCCCTAAACTTACGGGGCATTACCATTTTATGTACTTTTACTGTCACATTGGTTCGTTACAAAATGCACAGACTTCGGAAAAGTATCTGCTTAAGTACGTGTTAGTGAGAGTCGGAGTGGAGGTGTCTCATAATTTTGTCCACCGGCGTAAGCATCGATTCTCTAACTTTGGTTCGTTAAAGCCCCATTCAGCAATGGTCCCGTCAACGTCTACAAATAGCCGCGAATTCGACGAAGAGAACGCGCCCGGCAAGTTCATAATTTTCCATCCAGACGAGCCTCCTACGGTCCCGGTTTTCCTCCGCCGTTTTTCCCCCCGTTCTTAGACGAATCCGCGTGTTTGATTTTCCCGCAGCTGGTTTCGCTCAGCGTACATCCGCGCCCCGCGGAGCGGAATTTCCATTCCGCACGCCCGGCGAGAACTCCAAGTCCGACGGATATTATCCGCGGTATCATTCCTCCGATTACGAACAGACGGAAACTCGGGACTCGATCTAAATCCGTGAACGTTTACAATTGTGCAACTGCATTCTGTTCGCAGAGCTTCCGGCTGGTACGTGAGAGAAGGCGAATTGCTTGGATACTGCTCCTTCTGGCGGTGCTTTTCGCTCTCTGCTGGCTACCGTACAACGTTCTGATGCTCCTGATCGACCTGGGCAAAGTCGGTGGTGAGTGCTCGTTCATTCACGAAAGTATGCCGCCTCCTTCCTTTTTTTATTTCCTTAAGAATATTCAGACGTCTAAGCACCTCTTCGACACTGCGTGCAGGGTATTTTAGAGACAAGGTACTTGATATGCCACGGTAAAAGTTAAACTGTCGATCGAAACATAATTCATATTTAAATTTGTCTCGAAGTAGATACGAGAGCAGTGAGTGAAACGTAGTCTAAGGGATTGCTTTTACAGAGTCGTTTGAACGTAATCTAGTCACTTGTGGAGGAATAGGAATTGCGGAAACTTCTTTTAGTATGTAGCGTCAAAGTAAATTGCAAAACAAACATAGAAGACAGCATAAAATATAGTAGTTCGTACAGTCATTGGATAGGGGATGAAATACCCTTTAAAATGAGCGTTTGTACGAGTCGATAGCTTTATTAGTTCCGGAGATATAGCGATTTTAATTTCAAGTCGATGCGGTGGCTAGTTACGGAGATAGGGTTTGTTTACGTTTTGTTACGCGCTCGCGCGAGTCCATTCATAACGCGCGCGTAGATAGTAAACAGTGCGTAGTAAATTCTTGGAAATACTACGCGGAAGTAGGTCACGACAGTCACGACTCACGTGCGACAAAGAGGTACAACGCGACGCGTCAGACGGAGACAGAGATAATCGAATTAAGAAAAATACCCTTTTACATAAATTGCGATATCTCGAAAACGGTAAGTCCGATCGTCAAAAACCAAAAACCATTTTAAAGAGGAAGGTTCACCGCTGCTAACGACGCCTCGATCATGGAGAAAACGCTAGTATTTTCGGAACTACACGCGTCTAAACTTTCAGTATTTTTAATGCGCGTTAATAGGCTTTCGTAAGGCGGACAGCGAGACATGGTGGAATTTTTAAAATTACGCTTCTCTTTACACGATGATATCTCGAAAACGGAAAGTCGGATCGTCAAAAACCAAAAACCATTTTAAAGGGGAAGCCTTTCCGCTTCTAACAGCTGCTCAATAATTGATAAAACACTAATAACTTCGGAACTGCACGCGCCTAAAGTTTTATTACTTTTAATACACGTTCTTGGACTGTTCTAAGATGGTGGAAACTGAAGATTCTCTTCTTTCATCTTTGCTATATGTTTCCTTTTATATTGGAAACCAACCAGAATTTGATACCAAATTTTGTCCGGTTTTTTACAAAGAAATATAAGTCGTTCAACCGGTCAGACGACCAGTCGTGATAGGTTTAGTGTTAATAACGAAGAATATCAGAAAATTATACGGAAAATAAAATGAAACCCTTGATGGAGTGCCCCGACATTAGCTGCTCTATTTCGCGGAGAAAATGTAATTAATTTAAGGTCGCAGGCGATTCGGTGTGCTTTTTAACAAAGGCAGAGTCGTTAAGAAATATTTCTTCGCTACTGTTTTGAATCGTAATAGTCTTATAAATCAGAAAGAACGAAAAATGAAGGCAATCGCGATTCCGTTGATCCACCCTGTAGATCCCAGGCGAGTCCTCGGAGAGTAGAAAAGTAGCCAGACGACGTAAACTCCGACAGGCACTTGGGTTCTCATTGAATTACCAACGAAAAAGCATGATCGGCGGCCTCGACTCCCAGAGGGTCGAGCCAGGCTCGAAACTCCCCGCAAAGTAAATCCTGAAAACTGTTCGCAGATGATGGCAGAGCGACGATGGACGCCCTATCGTACTGCCTTTTTCTGGGACACGCGAACAGCGCGTTGAATCCTGTGGTGTACTGCTTCATGACTCGCAATTTTCGGCGAAGCGTGGCCGAGATTCTTCGCCGCGGTCCCCACGGGTTGGCGCGTCGAAAACCTCGTCGCAAAGTAAGTGTCGGCAATATGTGTCTCTGTGTGTAGCGTGCGAGTGTTTCGCAATTTGAAGAAGCCCCTGTTTGACTGCGTAGCCGCGGGAAACCGGAAACAAGCTACGTCGAAACGAGCCCTCCACTTTGCTCCGAGAGAATCTTGATTATATTCAGACCGTGATCCACCGCGGCTTTCCTACCTCTCGTTTCGCCCCTTTTCTACACGGTGTCCCCTACCTTTCCGGCCAAATTCTTCGACAATAAAATTTCAAACTTTATTCCTCGACTTTCATCAGATTTTAAATCTAATTAATATTGCATATCAGAAAATATCAAAGCAAAGAGTGACTTTCGATCACACACGCTGTTTAACATTCGGTCCGAATGAAGTTTCAGCAAGTTGCATAACGGTATTCAGATTTTGACCTTTCGTGCAGTTCTTGCTTCTGTTTCTATTCATACATACGACATAACTCATGAAGTTTGTTCGAAAATGTTTGCGCCGTTGAACGTATTCGCGAACGCGTCCAAAATGCATTGTAGCATCGTTCGGTTATAAATACGCACACGTATTTCTCTTATAAATTTTCGGACTTGTTTCTAACTTTATTTGATAAAGTGCCTCGTAAAAAATTCTTAAACCCCTGGGGATTCTTCAAGTTCGTATCCCCGAACGAAACCCAGCGTTTCAAAAGCGTCTCGAAGCTGCACGAGGAGTTGTAAATACAATAACTACTAAATCTCGCATTGAATACGGTGAACAATATTATATCGTTGCTTCCATAGGAAAATGTAAATGTGGTTTTCCCTTCATTACGTTTGTCTAAGGTCCTTAATCGCGCGTACCAATTGTATGTGCGATTATTCGCATTGGCGCGAGGGTTGAACTCTCAAACTAAAAATAAAAGTAATTCGTTTCGATGCACCAGGGATTTGCATGCAACGCGAGATTTCCAAACTTTCTTTTCCGTATCCTTTGCAAGTTAATTTCGCAAAAGTTATCACATTATCCGCGGGCTAACTTGGTGAAAGTTATCTCGTAAATTAGCCCGCCGATGATAAATATTCAATGTTCGTCCATTAGATCGCGCGAAGGCCGCAGTAAAAATCCAAAAGTCGACTGTTTGCATGAACAACCATGAATTTTCAATAGCTAAGCATGCCGAATGTTCCGCCGTGGTTGCATACGCGAGTCACGATTTTCAGTACGCTGGCCAGCCTGCGGTGAGTAAATATTTATTACGAGGTGCACGGAGCTCCTTGAAATTTAACAGACGTAGCACCCTTTGCTATCGACAACGGGAACGATTGTTAAATCGAACGGTATCCCAAACTTTCGTCCCTCCTCGAAGCTTCTATCGGCGATAAAAGCCGAAGAAGGATGGATTTCTAAATTTGCATACATCGATTCGACGACACGCGTAAGGATCGTGGCACCGGGCGACTGTTAATGAAAATCTACGATTCCCCGAACAAATTCTGCCAGCAGAAAATTAAAACTACGGTCGCGCGCCTCTTTTTTTTTTATTTTTCAGCGTTCAATATACCAACGGATCGATGGAAACGCGTAGGAACTCGATACAACGAGAGGGTGTTTCGCGTTTGCATCGAAGAGAACCGTCGCGGACGGATAACATTGACATTCGTCGTTGCAATTCGTCGAAAAACAGGGAAACCCTTCTGCACCCCGGTCGTTCTTGGAATTTATATGACGCGCCATGAGCCGCAATTTACGACCGCGCGTAGAACCGGAGAGTATCGCGATCTCATCAAACCCCCAATATGAATTCCGCGCGAAAGTCCGTGAAATTATGGTCGTTGCGTGACGCGTTTCGCGCGAGTACAGTCCGTACCACAAAATCTCGACGATATCTTCGAAACTCGAAGGGACCACAGCGATATCCGAATCAGTGTTCCTCGACGATGCAAATAATTATTTATCGAAAATGTCGATAGACTCTCGGTGAACGGATTGTATACCGGGCACACGTGTTCGCCGGAACCGAATTAGACGAGCTTCCGTGCACGCACGATAATAAAATCGTCGCTCTCGCCGTTCGGAAAATAAATATTTATGCGAAATCATCCTTCGACGGCTACAGCCACCTCCTATATGCCCGATTCGCATAAAGTTATTGCTTTCTGTCCGGTTGCTGCGGCCGTCCTTGTGCTTTGGCATGCATTTTCACTTAGATTCCAGTGGTTACGCCACTTTGACGATTTTAGGTAATGGAGAATATTGTATGGTAATTATTTACTTCAGGGGACCTGGACTGAAACTCTTTTAGTTTCCGAGAAAGGAATTTTTTCAGAATCCTATTTTCTATAAAATCGTTGGGGATCGATAGAGACGTCTGTGGACTGGAAGTAATAACTTTAATAGGTGTTTGACATCCTACAATTCCGGTGGTTCTGGCATACTGTTTCAGAGTGTTCAAGGAACCGCCGTGATCGATGACGTGTGCGCAGGGTGCAGTACCGGCGGTGGCTCGATGAGGCGAGGGCTGCTACGAAAGCGGAAAATGTTGCCCGGATGCGGATGTGGGCTGGCGATCGGCGGTCACCACACGATTTTGGCAGTGAGGCGTACGGCGACGTCCAGCAGCGGGTACGACAGCTTCTACAGCAAGCACAGTCCTCATCGGCGTTGCTACATGCTACGAAGCCTTAGGGAGAAGCAACAAACGGCAGCTGGCAAGCCGGGGAACGCTGGCAAACAACAGGAAACCTGCTACGAGAAGAACGATCACGAGGTCAGCCAACCTCGCGCGAACACTCTGGTCACCACCGACGAACAGCGTGGCTCATGAGCGCCTCGATTCGCTAATTACAATAATTTTCAATTATTTTTGTCGGTCAGAGCTGTTAACACTTTGTCGATCGCTTGCCAAGTAACTAACTTTTCGTTGCCAGTGTGAATTTCGTCGCCAAAATGAATATTAAATGATATTTTAACGATTATAAATCACGACGAAACGCTTCGAAAGAAGTTATGTACTTTGATCTTAAGCCGGCGGATAAAGTGTCAACGCTTCGATGGCCGTGCAAAGACGACGGAGACTTAGGCGAGAGTTTCGATACAATGAAAGTTTTCAAACTGATCTACGAATAGTCAAATATCAGCCACTGTTTTCTGAGGCGGTTCCTTTCGTTTTGTTTTATTTATTCGTTTATGGTTATTTTACTGTAGATTTCATAATACGAGGTAATTTCATAAGTCTCTGTATAGTTTTGTACAAGTAAAAAAGTACAGAAACCTTGCACTGGGACTAATATGATTCAGATTTGGGTGGAAATGGCCCGCCATACGAGCAAGAACTTGTGAAATTACCTGAAACACGTACGGGATAAGAACAAACTCATAGTACAACCAGGTATCGGACGATTCCTCGAAGAAAAATAAATCGAAGACGTAGAATAAAATTTCTCGACACTTCGTTTTCGATTACGGGAAAATCGAGTGTGCGTGCGATCTAGTGCGATATGGTTTACGTATCTGCTCATTAAGACATTGACGTTGATACGATATCGTCTGTTTTTCGTCAATTTTACTATCCTCTGATCAATCGATACCAATTAAAACGGATGGTAGCATAGCATCATCGATATGTACAAATTACAGATCACGATTTTCGCTCGTAACATTTGCTTAAGGACATATTAAATTGATATGCAGGTTAATTAAGCAACAACTTGTTGTTTAGTATTCATTGTTAACGCACGAATGAATGGTTGCAGCGAGTGAAATGGATGATTCTTAGACGATTAATAATCTGCATGTATATATAAACGTATAAAAGCTGCTAACAGACGAGAAATGCAATGACTTTTCTTCATCAAAGTGGAAATGCTTTATATTATCACGAATGAAAATAAAATTTAAGAAAGACCAATGAACCAACAGGATCTTCATTCATATCCCACTGAATATCCTTTTAAAATTTTTATAAATCATTGACGCAGGAACGTTAAAAATAAGCGAACGCAAAAACAAGTAGAAAGAGTGAGTTATAGTCAGACACGCCAGGCGTTGGACGATCGAACTCGAAATGCGATGAATTTTCAAACTCAATTTTCTCCACGACGAAATGTCGTATAAAAAAATATGTGCTCTACATTTTCAATTGCATTTTGCACTAGAAATTTACACCTCCGTCTACGACGAGTCCTATCCTCGCCAGAAGAAACGAAAAGAAAAAAAAGTGTTCCTGGAATATATCACAGAAATATTATTTCTCGTAAATTGTATTCAAATTGGAACTCATCTTCGTGAACCTTTCTTTATCTGTTTTCATAGAAACCTGTAACGTGGGAATTCCTATAAAAATTCCATTTCAACTGTTTGAACGGAACCTATTGAAAAGTTCCATGACTGTTTCAAGCCTTGTTAGAAACTACTCAAACTTTCGCACCCGCTGAGAATTTGCAACAAATGTTCAGCCAGTTTTTATTTTATTCTTACGATTCGTAAACTAAGGAAGGTATATTTAGGTATGTCACGTATTGAATATCTTCAATGGTTCAGAATTGGTTGAATTTCCGGTTTGGGAATGATCCTTGTGTCGAAACGTGTGGCAGGATCTGCTACCGTTGAAATGGGAGAAAGCATTTATTGCGTTTCCTCGGAGAATCGTCGATATAAGGACGGATAAGAAGCCATGTGAGACGGACATGCAACCGGAACGAGGTTGAACGTACATAGACCTTCCGTAAATATTTGATTGCAGCAAACAAACGCTTTCGTCCCTCGAGATGACGTCGACGGCAGTATCGAGCTTGATTAAATTTGAATTGGATTGATCTTGACAAAAATGGCCGTAACAAAAACTTGAACGGCTCGAAGAGAGAACAGAAATAGAAGCAGAGGCTCGATATACTTTGAGACATCAATATCTATGCTAATCACTGAATGGAAGATACTAATTAGAATTCTGCGGAAGCGAAATACTCTAAAAATATCTTCGAAACGCGTCACGCGAACGTCGAACACTCTGAATTTTCACAGTTTTAAACAGGAGTACCGAATAACTGAAAACCACGGTGTTTCTATCATCGAAACGGACGTATCGATTAAACCGATGTCATACGCAGCAGGAAAAATCATTCGTTATCGTATTTTTTAAATTGACTGTCAGTTTAACGTTTCTACATATCTTACCGCGCATAGACTCGTCGTTTGATGGTTCTATAAAATCTATTACAATGTCTTTCTCAATCATTTACGGCGTTTTCTTTCTCGAAGACATTTTTTTTCAACAAAAGGATTGGCTTGCTCGAAGGATACATACTGGTCGTTGATCATCGATAGTTAAGATACATTTATACGCGAGAGAACAGCTCGAGAAACGTTTCTATGAGCAATCCTTTCGATCCATGACGTGTGTGTAGCTCCACGTCTCCGATTGCGTCACAAGATGGGAAATGGTAAACGCAACCGTATGATTTTCCGTCTTGCAAAGGGAAGGCAATCTCGACGCTTTTGATCAGAACACGGAAAGCCACGCAACGAACAAGTCCAGCACCTTTAGTAAAAATTTACTCGACGACAGGTAATACATAGGAATTACACATTATCACATAGCCGCATAAAAGTATTATAAGAAAGTATATTACATAGAAATTACACATTATCACATAGCCGCGTAAAAGTATTATAAGAAAGTATATTACATAGAAATTTACACTCTCCATCTCGTTCTTCGTGAGGGGAGGGGGGTGAAAATCAAGTCGTTGCAACCCTTCTGGCCCCTTGATCGATTGACTTCGTGTTAAGTTACTTATGTATTTATTCGTTGTTTAGTTTCCTGTGTGTTCGATGCTTATCGGACCTCTGTAGTCAGCGATTGTTCCTCGTTCGACGAAAAGAGAATGGTCGAAACGACCGATTTTGAAAAACTGTACGATTCTCTGCTTTTCAAAGAGCAAAATCTCTAGTTTTCTAGAAAACTTGACTGGGTTCCCGTCGCTTCTCGGGTAAATAATCGTATATTTCGTATTGTTTAGGAGATACGATCGAAAATCGGCCCATTTTTGCCACCCTTCTTCCGCGTCGACGCGACAGAGGAAAACGGCGATACAGGAAGTCGGTGAAATTGAATCTCTACTGATTATTTTCATTTTCTGTTTCATCGATTCCTATCCTAAGGGTTGTAAAAAGGCCTCGCGAGATACCTCTTACCTATAAGCTTAAAGTACCGATTGCCTCGGGACCGTTTAATGTTTCCTATTGCTCGCGTTCGCGACGTCTCCGTTCGGAAAAAGGCTCCGGCAGTTACCTCCCCTGGGAATTTCAAGTATCGATTGCGCGACACGTTGATTAAAAGAATTTATTTAGGAACACTGACTTGCCTAAGCTCGAAGCTTTCGACGAAGAGGACGGCGACTGCGTGTTTACTTCGATCGATCCTCGTTCGCGTGATACTGACGTCTTATTTCACGAAGATTTCGAACGGTCTACGAGAGAAAGGAATCGTATAAAAATATGTCCCCTTTGCGGTGTCCGTGAAGTCGCCGTTCTTTTCGTCGAAAGCTCGATCAGGCGATATTTTACCACCGTATAGTCCCGTTTCGTAAGTTCTTGTAGAGGGACGCTGTTATCACACCGTGCGTTTGGGTATAGCTGTTCATAGAAGACGCGTCCCGCAGCGACGACGCCGATTTCTTGTCACAGGTTGTCGCGTTGCCATTCGCGATTTGCTTCGACTGCGTTCTCATAGCGTTGCAACGATTCAGAGTGCCGCTGCTTGCACGATTGTTACCTACCAGAGGGTAATTTGTAGCTTGCTGCCTCTCGAAGTTGCCAGCGTTGTTCCGTAGGATCGTTCGATGATCCGTGCCGTATCCCGATCGATTTTGGATCGGCTCGACGTACGCTGGCATCGTCTGGTTCAAATACTTTCGAACGGCCTGGCACTTCGAGGCAGAATTGTACGAAACGCTCAGCGACTCCGCGCTGTTCACGTGGCTGCTGTTGGTGTTCGTGCTGTTGTTGCTGCTGCTGGATTTCAGATAGCGACGAGTGGTGTCGTCCGACATCCTCGCGAGATATTTCGTCTGAAGACCGTTGGTACCGTCGCGAACGAACGTGCTCTTCAGACGATCCTCATCCCGCCAATTTGCCCGCGGCGCACAATCGACGGACGCTCTGATCTGCTTGCAGCTTCTCCGCGCCTTCGTCCAACCGGCTTGATCCAACTGGTTGAATTTTCCCACGGGTGCGCACTGAAATCGTCAGCCTTTGTTGAAAAACGTTTGAGGCTGGCCGACAAAAAGCACAGTAGGACCTTCGACGCGCGAATCTCCGTCATAGAAATGAAGGTTCTACCGTACCACGAAACTAAATAAATCAAATGAAATTCCACGGCGCGGTTAATTATTTCAAAAGCATTCGGTTGGGTGCAAACAAAGAAAAGCACGCCGTTCCGTGTGCGAGAAGCGTGAATTGTGGGACGTACATATAAATGATTACAGTACCTAAATGAATCCCACGCGACACGTAGCCTGCAACGATAGAATCGTCCGTTTACTATTGTGCACAGAACACGACGAAGTTTTAAGCACTGAGGCGATAGAGAGAATTAAAAACTGTCGCTCAAGCTCGTTTGCTTACCACAGCTACTTGGTCCGACTGTATGGATCGTTGAGACTTGGACAACTGTCCGTGTTGCTGGTTGATCTGCAGACAGCTTTTCGTGGAGCTTGGCGTGAAATTGTTCGCGTTGCCGTTCATTGAATTGTACGTGTATTGCGTCGCCGCGTTCTTGACTGCCAGACGTTAAGAAACTTAATAAACTGACCGTTTTTTTAATCTTTTTCATACCAATGTACTTTTAATCTCAAGCGGTGGATAAAGTATTAAGACAATTACCGGTCGATCGGAGATTCCTGGCGATGGTTTGTGTTTGAGGTTCCGTGGACGTACTTATCGTTCTCGTTTTCGTAATCCTTTCGCCGCTATCGATTTGCGACTGCCGCATCGCTTTTCTGCTCGGTAGCTGCGCACGTGCTAAAGCAGAGAATGGATCGTTTAATGGTTTTATCGTGAGACAGAGACCAGCAATACATTGTTGATCGTACCCTCTAAACAAGAAGGTTCGTACGAGTCGCTTCTGCCTCTCTCTTTGCGCAAATCTTGGCACGAGTGTACAAGATTTTTACCAACAGTCGCGTCACCTTGCCCGATGACGGGATTATAATTATTGGTTTCCTTCCTGATGTGCTCCGACAGTCGCCTGATTCTGGACTTGGACCTGTCGATAAGCTCTGTTATGATTTTTGGAAATTAATACGATTACGATCCTATCGAAACGGAACCCGTAACGACTCCAGATCGGAACAATAATCGTTAACCGCGTTGATGGATTTACCCACATATTTTTATGCTTTCGACACTTTTCGTCCATCATCGAATAGAGTTTATTTCTGTACTCTTCAACGGAAAGCTGCACATCGTCGCTCAGAAGCGGTATCACGATCGATCCCCGTTCCGGTTCGTTGTTGCTCTGATGAAAGCTACGGAAAAAACACATCGTCTCAGATACTTTATTCAGCTAAAAACATCGATGCTTTTCCTCGGTTCAATTTCTTCGACCAAGCCCGCTTTCTGAGATATATCTCTCCCCAAATTAAAAGAGGACGCTGCGCTATTAATGTAGAAAAGAATGTACGCACGCGGCCACGTAGGGGTGCTCCAACGCCTCCACGGCTGTTAATCTGTGATTAGGGTTGAACAGTATCAAATTACTGATAAGACTCAACGCTTCTTTCGACACCCCCGGCAACAGTTCCTTCAACGAACGTCTCGGTCCGCTCGGCGTCTTCTCCAATAAATTAGTACCATATCCGGCGCAGACCGAAATCAGATCTGGAAAAAGCAATCGTGAAAGAGCGTCGAACGTCGTCCTTCGTTCTATCGTCGAGTTACCTCCTTTGGTGGGCATAGGGAGAGTGGCCATTATTTTCTCAACCTGGTTTATCGTCGAGGAACCGGGAAACAATGGCTTCCCGAGTAACATCTCGCCGAGAATGCATCCCAAGGACCACATATCGATACCCTTCGTGTACCTAAGCGTCGTCGATAGATAGGGGGACGTTAAAATATCGTCTGGGATAAAAAGTCCATCGAGAAACGACCGAGTACCTTTTCGATGCAACGAGTATTTCCGGTGCACGATACCAGCGGGTCGCGACGTAATCGGTGAGGGTGGGATCGCTGGCGGTTTCGCCATCGCCTTCTCCGATCTGGGTAACCGATCGAGCCAATCCAAAATCGGCGATTTTGCAGTGGCACTTAGAGTTCAGTAAAACGTTCGATGGCTGCAACGAACATCAGCCAATTAAATGCTGCAAGAAACTACAGCCTTATACGTACTCGTATCTTTGCTGTTTAATATATTTACAAATTATTGATCCAATTAAAAAATGTTGCAATGCATAAAATGGTAGATCATTGATGTTTGTAGATTTTTTTGTTTGGATACGAATACATATAGGACCAACTGTATAAAACAGTGATTAGAAAATGATACCGTGGAGCTTAACACATTCGCTATCACGGGTCACATACGCGAGACATTCACAATTGCATAATTTACGTCCGCGTAATTAAACGACTTAAGATCTATAAACTGTTCTCGTGTTATATTTCCCGCCTCGATCTTTCGATTACATCGTAGTACCATTTCCTGCTACCAGAGTCCACCACGAGTTTAGGGAAAAGATTTTTTCATCGCGGTCTGCCATCTGACTACCAGTAAGTTACGATATTTTTTGGCGCCATTAAAAATCACGCGTGGTTTTATTTGTTACTGTTTTTCATTGTGTTTTTGTGTTTATCTCTTTCGGGAATATGAAAAAAATCGTAGGATTCGATGAAGAGTAAAGAGGGAAGTAAGAGAACTTGGTCGATTTGGTAAGAAACTTAAAAGAAATGGAAAATTTAACGAAACAGATTCCTCGATGATTTACAGTGGCTCACGAAAATATTCGTACACGAGAATACAGTTTGTTTAACTTAATTTTATTAGCATTTACATTATGTTTATGTCATGTATTTATGGACCTACGATTGTACCGTATTTAGGTATATTTTATTTGCATACATGTAGAGTCACCTGTATGCAAGCACAAATTATTTAAATGTTTAAACAACGTGGCATGAAGCTCTGTTTGGATAACAGAACATTCAGATAGATACTACTATATTCCAAATATGCCAGGGTTTGTGGTGGACAATTTTCCACCTGAACAGTGATAGCCAACGTGTTAAAATGATTAAAAATCACTGGTATAAAGAATATCCCAGAGTAATGTTCCCAGAGTGAGAATAATCTGTCTTGTCCCATAAATTGCATTTTTATGGTAACAGTACTATCAGTTTACTGGCACAAAATCTTGACCTATGGTCTAACAACAATTTTAACATATTCTGATAGCTAAATCTGAATTTCATCCAGGGGCATTCTGTACAGCTGGCCAGTATAGTCCTCCGGACCAGCCTAGGGTTGACAGGATGCATAGATCTACTCACCTTCAGATCCCTGTGTATCACGTTCCCCGAATGAATGTATTTGATGGCCTTAAACAGCTGATACATGATGCAGACCTTGTGGATGTCCTGCAGGACGTTGCCCTTCTTAATGACGTTGTGGAGATCGGTTTCTGGGGAAACGGGCCGAAACGTGTTTCAGGCCAAATGTCTGAGAATCGCCGCGGCACGTGACCTTTGTGAATTCTTCTTCAGACCGGGTAAAACTCACCCATGTACTCGAACACGAGATAAATGTCCTGGTCGTTGTTCGCCTTATGCAGACCGAGCAGTCGTATGATGTTGTCGTGACTCTCGAACGACTGCAGGAACATTATCTCTCGGAATGTACGCTGAGCGTCGGTCTGGTTACGAAAAGCATCGAAGATTTTCTTCACTGCAACCGTTTCCTTGTTTTTCTTGTCTATCGCCTTCCATACGATGCCGTAAGCCTATGGGAACGACACGACAATGTTAAACGACGGTGTCGTTCGTTTCTGGATCTTCTTACGACCATGTACACTATGGTGGTTCTTAGCTAAAAAGTTCGATGAGTTCAAACGACTCCACCGGCCGTAATTAATTTTTTTTGCCATTTATGTGCTTGTAGAGAGATCGCCCCTTTACAATGACCCCCTTTAAAGTCGATATAGGGAAGAGAAAATATCATAATAAACAGTTCTCTATAATATTTAAATTAAACAATTTTGTTAGCCAGTCCAAAAGTTATTTTAATTAGTAAAACACACTGCCATGTTTTGTAGTGGGTACTTGATACTTCGTACAATTGCAATATCGTACTGAAAAATAAGTTTCCCCCGATAATTTGTTTACCATACTTTTTTATTTGCTCGTTGTTTAATGTTATATAACTAAAATTTTCCACTCGACCCGTTATAAGTTTTACTTCAGCCTTTATTCTATGATATATGTATATTTCCGGCACACAACGCGATAGCTCCCACCACCCATTTGTTAACGGCTGGCAATAATTTTTCCTATATTCGTACATCGTAGTAGCAATAATTGCAATCAATCGAATTAAATTTTTTCCTATCCATAAACGAACTTCTTTACCTTTATTACTTTACTTAAATCGCATAGCTTATCGATATCGTGATATGGTGACTATGGATTCCAAAAAATTTTAATCTTATGGAACATCGATAGAGCAGAATTAAGTGTTTTACTAAAAAAAATTTGTCATGTATTAGAACCATTCTTGGGGGTGGGATTAAAAATATTCAGTTTATATTTAACATCGAATAGTCACGGATAAAAAGGTTCACCGACAGTCGTTACTTCCGATACTCGTTGTCATGATTATGTCTGTTAACGGTTCAACTATCGATTCTGCAGTTATACTTGTCCGCGATGTAGGTACCACGACGACTGTTATCAATAGTTGCGTGTATATACACAACTGTCTTTTTTCTAGGATGTTCGTTTCACTCTATAAATCAACGACTGTCGTCGTGCAGGCCATGCATAATTTTTTAAACTATACGTTACGTAACTTCACGTTACTAAACGATGACGTTCTTACGTTTAAAACTTGCTCATACAATTTTAAACAAACTCTTCAAACCTGTTGTATTGATATAACGTGCGTGGACTTTCGAGAAAATAATTTCTCTAAACTACAAATATCACTACAAAGCTTGACATTAAAGAGACATTGCAAACAAGAGCATTAAAAATAATATTTTTATTCTGAAACTTATCCTGTTTTGTATAAAAAAAAATATTTATTCTTTACACAAAATTTTCATTCGCTTGAATAAGTATCGCTAATAAATATAATCGTTTTTACTAAATGAAATGTTAAAAATAAAGGTGTCGAAAGAGAACGTTTTGGTCGGGAAATAAATATGCGTAAAACCGCGATAGATATAGTATTAATTGTTTTAAAGCGCGTTAAGTACAGGAGAATGGAATAGTAAAAAATGAATGGAAGAATAATTACCCCCTTGCCAAGACGTCGAACGATGTCATAATTTTTGTTGATGTGCGCGTCGATCTCGAGAACCTTCACAGTGGAGTCTTTCGCAGACATCGTGACGAGACCTTGAACACGGTCGTGTTTTACGACCGGAAGGTTACAGCGACCCGAGAGACTTGTAGGCGTACGAAAATTTTCAGACGGAAAACGGTGTTCACGGACGGTAACGCATTCACATCTTTACACATCAGGAAGGAAGCTCCACTCAAACAGTTTTTTCATTCAGCCTTTGACACATTAATGCAGCTATGTTTGTAGTATTCATACCGTTCACCATGACGACAGTGGTCAATGCTACTCACGGTTACCAACGACATCGCGTGACCGTCTAACCGCGGTAAGACCCTAACCAGGATAAACCTAAGGAACAAGGAAAGTGATCGAAGCATTACGTTATTTACGTATAAGAACGTAGTTTTCTTTTTTAATTTTCGTACAAACTGTGTGGTCAATACTATTAAGAATTTCGTTAGGCATTTACGTTCTCGGGGATCATGTTCGAAAAACAATACAGTACTATCTTTTCGTAGTGATAAAATAAAATACAAGGTGCGTGGATCAAAAGGGTTTCTACGATACCTAAGGTCAACTAAAATGCGAAATCACGTAAACTCGTAAACAGAACATAGTGTTAAAAGTATTCTTATTTCCTCGAGGTCTACATCTTGAAATGCATTCTGGTCCCGAAGACAGTTAGTTATACATATACACGTTACGGTATAACACGCCTAACAAGGTGCGTCGGTTACAAAATAGAGTTAAGAGCGTGCTAACGGTGTAGTTACCTAGTGATATCGTCTGTACGGACGATACTCCAAGTGATCGGAGTAAGTCAATCGCTTAAATGCCGATTACAGGAAACCCCACGAGGTTGCATTAAAAATAAATTGTTTTCTCTCTTAATAACAGCAATAAACTCTCGCGAGATACTTAGTTTTCGCTTTACATGAAACCAGAGCTTCTCGGGAAACAGACCTTGCGGTACGCTGAAAAATTATTAACACGCAAAATTACCAAATCTGTATCCCACAGAAACTTTTGAGTACGTACTTATTTCTCTTTTTTTTTTTTTTTTTTTCCTTTTTAAATTTAATATTTGAATATAAGGGCTCTTGTTCTTTACAACAGCCCAATTTTATAGAGTATACGTGCACCATTCACTTCCTAGGCTGCTGTATCATGATAGGACGCGAACAATGCATGGGACGAGCGTCGTGAGTCGGTGTGGGTTTGTCATGGAAGACTTGTACAGCTTCTGGAGGAAAATCTGCATTTCCCTTTGCTGGAAATCCACTGATCATTATAGTCTTGGGTGGACTGAAACACAAAGAAAACGAATAAAAACGCTGTTTATCGTTTGAAACCTTCATTTTTAAAAGCAATATTATTTGTTACATTGTTATTATGGCACGTGTTTATCAGTTGTTATCTAGAAGATAACTAGCGTCTTTATCACAATTTACTTCTTTTTTTTTGTTATCTGTCGATCGAACAAACACTTCACATTGGAAGTTAATCGCAAATTTTTTGATCGTATGCGTCATACGTGGTAAATTTCGAAATATCTACGTCGTACGTACCTGCTCGACGGTTTACTCTCGTCCGCATCCTTGATCGGCTTTATTTCCCGTTCCTCTTTCGGCGTTTTATGTTGGGTAATCCTCATGCCGCCCGCTTTTACTGAACAGAAAACACAAACCATATGTTCCCATCGAAAACAATTAAACAATTGGTTGGCCTTGAAATATCCAGACAGGTGCACACGACGAATCGCATAAACACGTTAATACTTTCCCGTTCTATCGACGAATATTACGATTTGTTTTATTACCTGCTGGCGGGTGGCCACCCTTAAGCTTGCACTTCTCTGGACTTGACATTTGTACGTCGTTCGACAGGCCAAACTATGATTCAGCTGCTTTCCTCCACAGAACATACGTTTCGCTTGTTGCGCTGCAACACCAATCACGCTGATTCTATGGCGGCCAACGGTGTAATAAGTGGGCGACGGCAGTGGGGGAGGCCGTTATTGAGACGTGCATGTTCCTTTCGCCTTATCTTTGTATTGTATTATGTTTACATCCGTGTAAAACGCTAAGTCAAGCATTTGCCCTCCCAGGAGGAATAATTCGTGCCGTTTTGGGGACACGGCATGTAAAGTGTATCCCACTTCTCGTTTTAACATGCATCCTACTTGGTGCACGATCGAACCACTAGATGGAGAAACAGCGACAGTGAAATTGCAGATAAGGTATACGGCAGACTCACTGGCCAAAAATGACGCCCAATCAAAGTACACTAACGATTAACTTTCCTACAATTTAGGACTCAACCGTGAAAGTTACGTATGCATATTTTTTGTACAACTGGACCCGGACACCATTATGTAGTGGATATAAAAAGATATAACCTGACTCATATACTTGATCTGTGGTGCTATTGTAAAGTTAACTATCCTAAACTATAGAGGGAGTTGAAAATAATTGATGCATTATCTGAAATCGATAATGCAGCTCATTTATTACCGACCGCGATAATAGAATATCCCTACCGTCTCTGCTGTGCATGTGCAGGGGGCATTGCAGTTTGCACAATTCACCGCTAGTCGACTGACGTTTGTCAGTTATTGCGAATGTAATGACAATGTGGCAGCGACTGTAGTAAACTGCGACACAGTGAAGACCGGTGTAGAGGTTATATTTCTCACATTGTAATTAATTATTCGAGTGTTTCCCAATTGTGAAATGATAATACTTAATGTTAAATCGAGTACGAAGTATTCCAAGTAATTCTTAATTACGGCTAGTACACAAAACGGAGCCAACATGACATCGTTTTTAACCGACGTGCTGATCACAGCAAGTACGTATATACACAGATTCACGTAACGTATACAAGTAAGATTAACGCGCGTAAGAAACGTATGAAATTGCCCGCGAAAATATAAATACGAATTAATTCACCTTTTTTTTTCATTTGTAAAAATCCAAATTTCGAACGTATTGTTTCTCCAACTAGATAAATTCGAAAAGGTTAATTTAAACGAAAAGATAGCGGAAATACAAAAGGAAATAACAAAGCTAAAGTATGATATCAAAGATTTTATGGACGATAATTATGTCGAGTTTGCATCGAAATTCACGCGGGATCAACATTTAGTAGCAAAAGGAGAAGAATTACTCGAAGAAATGAACGTGTTGCAAACGAGAATAGACGATGAGGTATTGGATCGTTGAATTTACGAATATTTTTAAATATATATTATGCGATGCATAAACAGTTTGTAACCATAATTTATTTACTTCAGATCAAAGTACAATTGTCCGGTTCTACGAAAGAATTGAAGACACTTTCGCAAGGTTTAAAAGAATCGAACATGATGTTGCAGCTCTCCAATCAGCTGTTAACTTTACACGAATGCATGAAGTCTATAAAAGATTACCAAGAAAAGAAACGGTACGTGGACGCAGCTAAAGCGTTAGGTAACATGCAAACGATATTGTACAATCCGCAAAGCGATCTACGCGATCTCGACATTTATATGGCAATCGAGACAGAATACATGAATCTCTTTACATCGTTTTTATCGAACGCGTCTCTGCTGTTGCACGAACGAATCTGTTGGACCGGCGTCGAGGACAAAGACTCGAAGGCCGTTACATTAAGCGTAAAAAACGATTTTGACGATATGCAAGATTTAATTCAAGGGTTACACTACATTGACAACCTTTCGAATCATCTTCACGAATTTACGATCACGCTTATAGATCACGTGATCGATCCGATCATTAACGACGACTGTTCCGTGTATGTAATCGACGAAAAAATCTTCACGATCGAAATACTGTATAAAAAAAAACCGCCCAGTTTCAAAAGCGTGTTTTACAATCTGGAAATGTTATTTAAATTCCTCCATCAGCACTTCGATCTGATAATACACGATGACGAAACCTTTCTGAAACAAATACAACCGCACTTGCTCGATCGACTGTCGGCGATGCTGACCGCCGATTGTATCTCGCAAATTATTCCAACGTCCAGTGCGGATTTGAAAAACTTTGAACCTATCGTTAAGACGATCAACGACTTTCAGTATTTTTTAGTCGAAATAGGTACGAGATTGAAAAAATATTAAAGTAATAGCTTTCACGTTCCATGGGGACCGTGTATAATCGTACAATTGTTGTAGGCTTCATTACGAACGAACAGCTATTTCTCTCGGAATATACGAAAAATATTGACAAATTGTTCATCGATAGGGTTTGTCAAGATTTATTGGCAAAAGCTCGAAATATTATGAAAAAAGACTTGCACGATTGTATCACGTACGAACCAGAGGCAAGTTCAAATAATCATAATTTAGTATAGTTACATAATTTGCAATCTTCGTTTAATTTTTTAGGAAGCGCCTGAATGTCCAGAAGATAATTGCATTAGTGAAATAAAAATAGACACCAAATTAAGCGAGAATTCATTTCAATTTCCTAAATGTCAAATAAGGTAGTCTATATCTGTTATATTCCACCGAAATAGATGTGAACGTTTTTAGCGTCGTGTTTGTTAAGTATTAAAAATACTGTCTACGCTGTATTTCAGCAAGAATGCGAAAGAAACGGTCGAGCTAGCGCGGAGTATTTTAGACGAGGCATGCAATACAGATTCCTGTGCCATTCGATTGTTTTATACATGCAGGAATGTATTCGAAATGTATTCTGGATTAGTGCCTGAACACCATCGAAAATTTTTAGAAACGATACCGCAACAAGTCGGTAAGAAACCCATTTTAATCCTAAAAATGAAACGCTATGATATAGCAAGGGCATTTTTAAAATATTTTAATTGACTGTATCATTGTTTAGCTGTATTCCATAATAATTGTATGTATCTTGCACACCACCTCCTCACATTGGGCCACGAGTATAGGGATAAGCTGCCGGAATCTATACAAAAGTATAATTTAACTTTCGCCGATCAGATATTAATATTACGAAACGTCGGATCGACATATTTCTTAGAGCACATGAAATATCAGCGAAATATTATTTTTGATATTCTCAAAGAGTCCGGTTGGTAATATTAATTGTCATAATTGTCATAATCATGAATGTTTAATAAGATATAAGTGAAAAATTTTCGTTTGGGCTAAGGTCTATCCGCATTGGGTCAAGCTTCCGAGTTACAACCTAGTACCGAGCGTGCACTGAGGCAATGCATCAGACAATTGGAATTATTGAAAACAGTTTGGCTAGACGTATTGCCTGTAAATGTTTATTGCAGAGCTGTAGGTCAGTTTTTATTTTACGATAAAATTTTACATAAATATCAATGTTTAAAATAACCATAATACTGGCATACTTTAATACTTTAGGATGCATCATGAATTCCATGGTTGAAGATTTAATACTTAGAGTAATATCGGTTGAAGACATTCCTGTCGACGATGCAACCGAATTGGTGACGTTATTTGATATGATTGTTAAACGTGCACCAATAATATTTCCGGTAAGTTTACAATTTTATTTAATGCTAATTTATATTTAAAAAAAGAAATTACAGTGACAGACATACTTATTAATTGTCGTGGCAAAAACTTGACCTGGCAGAAAGTCCACGAGTTATGCCTGTAAAATTAAACTAGAATAACATTATTACCTTTTAATGATAATTTTAAATAAATGTGAAAAATGTTATGTTTTTCAGGATCCCCGGGAAATCCATGAACATGTACGGAAATGGGAGAAATTTTTGGAATTGATTAAAGTATTGGGCGCGTCGCTGAAAGAAATTGAAATTAGATGGGGAGGCGGTAAAGGACCACTCGCGCGCGAATTTACAGCTTCTCAAGTTAAACAATTAATTAGAGCACTGTTTCAAAATACCGAACGAAGATCCAATCTGTTATCTTCTATAAAATAATACAGCAAGTCCTCGACTTATGCAGTTAATTCATTCTAGAGCTGTTTACGTAAGTCAAATTAAAAATACACTGTATATTATAGGGAGGGAAGAAAAATCGGTCCGGGATTAATAATAATATATTGTAGGTAAGGAACATGTGGGTGGCGGTCGAGTAATGTTTGTTTAGTCATAGTCTTTACAGAGGTTGATTAAAACGGTTCTTTCTCACTACAATAGATTCGGTATACAATGTTCGTTAGAAAAGTAAATTAAAATTAAAACCCATACGTGCTCTTTTACGAAAAGAAAACTTTATTTCATATGTGAATACATAAACACATACAAAATACGCACAAGTACATAACTGGGGGCACAACCGCGTATCTACGAACCTGCTTAATTCGAGGACTCGCTGTATAAAACGAAACAAATATATAGTATGGACTGAATTTTCTGCATTTATTATTATACTTATCATTAACATTTTAACTGCCGCGTGTGCTTTATGATAGGTGTATGATTTTCGACCGCCGACAGTTAAAATATTAATATTAATGGTATAATTGATATGAAAAATAATATTATTAAATTTTTGTATATCGTATTAATTACATATTACCTAAATATAACGTTAATATTAGAATACCCACTACTTACGATTTTTACCATTTACCATTTACTTGTAAACTTATACTGTAATACTTACGTTAAAGTTCCATGTATTGTTGAAAACAACATATTTTCAAATGATTATATTTTTAATAGAGCGTAAATAATTAAGAAATTGTAATTTACAGACTCTCCAATAACAAAAATAAATTTTGAATAGCATCGTAACGACGGCTGCTTACGCTTTATAATTATCGTGAAAAATTCTTCCGACATTTGTTCCTGATTTGAAAAAGAAACCAGTGAATATCGTAAACTTTAAGAAAGTAGGCAAGCAGACAGACAGACAGACAGACAGGCAGGCAGGCAGGCAGGCAGGGTGGCGGGCAGTAGTGAGAGCAAATCATTTAATAGATTTCCAATTCCATATCATTTACAGCAATGGCAAACATTATTACCATAATTTTAGTATTTTTCATTTGAGTATCCACAGTGATAAACGCTCAAAAATTTCCAAATGCAATACTATCTCTGCACATATATTTCAAAGGCCATACTTTAGATCATATGTAATGAATTAATTTTGCAGCTCTATAATCTTGATTTCACATGGTGTATAAAAGTTCTTAAGGCAAAGCTGCACAATTAAGTATATACGAGCAGTAGTGTGCATTTGGCTAAAATTGCGCAAATTTTCCTTATTTCATTTCCTTTTTAAAAAATGAAATTATTACTATTCATTAAACAATAAGTACGTCCATAATAGATGATATAAAAGTATCGACCATTATATTTGAACCCCCATAGAACACAGTAAACATTAAAAGAAACAGAAGATACAAGAAAGGGCATAAGTTGTAGAAGAATGTTATCTTAGATCTTTTTTATATGGTATGTCAAACTTTTCTTTTATAAAAAGAAACTTAAAAGAAGTATAAAAAAATACATATAAAAAACTTATTCAATATTATAAAACATATAATACCCCAAATTGAAAGAAGGCAAAAGACACTCGTATAAGTTCATTTTAGACTAAGATCGTATGGCTTGCTGATTCAAATCTTTTTCGTAATTTGTTTCATCTGTCTTTCATTCATTGTATATAAAGTTTGTAATAACACGTCTCTATGAATAATGAGTAATGTTCTGAAAATGATTACAAACTGTGGAACTAAATTATACTATATAAATGGTATTGCACAACTTAATCTGCAATGGTAGTTCTTGTCTATATACAGGTCGCTGCGTAGATTGGATAGAAATGTAGTCACCAGGGCGGGTAGCTGATTGGCCCGCAGTTCAGATTGGCAATGCAGTGTAGATCTTTTATGTGCATTCACGAAGATGACGATGACTGTGAACATGGAAGTGCAAAATAGGATGTCACATTACTTTCGCCTTCGTCTGGCGGATAATTCTCATTAACTGAGAGTACATTTCTAATTGCATGATACGTCCGTACATGCAACAAATTTATTCAGCATCGATCTTTGATGCTAATATCATGCAACAAATGATTTTTCTCTACATGTGTATATTTTGCACGCTAATGTCACCATAGGTCCAAACAAATATATTAAAACTTAAATATTCGTACATGTAATTATCGAAAATTCCTTAACATAATTTGCTGTTTATATTTCAGCCTGTAACATTTTTCTGCCAAGCATTACAAAATAAGTTGATTACTTAGTCCAGACCAATACTTCTGTATTTTTTATACCGAGCTCTTTTATTTTGAAAGATGTAATCGGTTGTTTTCTAAAGAACTCTTGTCGCATGTAGTATGAATAAAAAAAACAGATTACTCGATGCCTTCTACCAATAATAGAAACAAACTGATTGTTGCTATGTATGTTGGTCTGTTTAACAAGCGAATTAAATTCACTGGTCTTGTGTATATGTGTAGAATAATGTAAAATCATTTTACAAGGACTGGTATCATTAGTACCTGCCACGAGCAGCCGGAGAACGACTTCGATACCTCGATGTGCCAGTGCCTTTGTTGGTATAATAATCAGCATTGGATTCTCCGCTATTATAGACATTTTGTGTATATCCTTCTCGAGTAACATAACCACCAGCGCGATTGGTCATATAATCTTCTCCGTAGTAGTCTCTACCTCTACTTCCACCACCCTTGCCTGCGTAGTAACCTCCATAATCTGCATATGCATTATTTCCTCTGTAACCCAGCGCAGTGGAGACTGCAGAACCATAGCCCCTACTCGCAGCACCTCGACTTCCTCTGAATCCTCCCATACCAGCCCTGCCTCCACCGCGACCTTTACCTCGTGAAATTTCCACTCTCAACTTGGCACCCATTATTTCTGTGCCATTCATACTGCTACACGCAAGCTCCGCTTCGTTCATATTTAGAAATTCGATAAAGGCAAAACCCGGCGGGTTGAAAGCAACCCAAACTTTGTTTAGCTTCCCATACTTTTCAAACTCTGTCTGGAGATCTTCCTTCTTGATGCTCTCATTAAGTCCGCCAACGTAAACCCGTGTATATCCCTCTGGTGTCATGTTTTGCCTAAAAATTTTAGTTCAAATATATATAAACCGATTTTCGTATTTGAACAAATAACGAAAACAAATCGAACAAAGACGGCACGAACAATTATTTGCGATCTACGGTACACTTTTATCTTCGCGTAAAGACGATTAATAACGTAGGAACACAACAGATTACGATAATAGCTTTTCGCAATGGTTTCTTTGTAAACTGTGAAATAGATCTTGAACGCCAGAAAATCAAGTGCTTGCGCGCCAATGATTTTGATAATAGTTATTATCCACACGGCACTAGACTTACTTGTATTTTAGTTCCCTTCGAAATTATCGTTTCTCAATTAAACTGTTTGAGAAATTCAGCAGGAAAAAGGATATCCAGTACGCCGTTAGTACGATACAATCGATAGGCGAGGATCAACCGGGGTTCACAGTGCACAGAAACTACATCCGACGTCTTGGCGTCTCCAACCCAGACGCCAAAAGCTCATACGGTCTGCTCGGTTAAATTGTTCCGCTCTAATGGAATACCACGAAGAAAGAACTTCGTCCACTCGCTATATTCCTCGATTAACAGTTTAACAATTACCGTCAACAAAGGCTAAACAGAACTGTTAATCGTAGAAACGAATTAAATTAAAGGAACCTTTATATCATTATATTTCGTTCCTATATTACGATTCGTTCGAGCAGACCGTACCCATGAACGTGTTTATCCTTCGAAATTAATTTTACCAAAAACAACGTAAATGGAATGCATAAAATAATGACCGATCAAATACTTAAACAGACTTTGTATTTTTAAAGGAATTTTGTTCGCCCAACAGATACTATACTTTATATCGATAAAAATACTTTCGGTAATCGCATGTACCAAACTGATCGCCGGTTTCTCTTACTGATTAAATGAGACCAAACTGGTACAAGCAATATGCATTTCTAACGCCCAATTTAAATGTCTGTGGTCGCATTTATATTGGATTAAATTTTTGTCAATGGGTCAAAATAAACGATACTCTTTGAAATATATGTTCCACGATACAATATAATAGTATTTTATACCGTTAAATTGGATAGTTCAGTGACCGTCGCAAAGTGACGTGCGTATGTATGGTTACATGATACATCAAATGTAGTAGAATCGGCAATGCAGTTTCACGAAGATGGCAGTTCAAACGAATGATATTGGCAATGCCATTTCTATAATGGTGCCTTCAATAACGGAAATTTACTAAATAAATTGTTAAATTTAACTTCTTTATATTGATATGACAATAGTTACACAACAAATGGAAATTACTTGACCTTAGTGAGTCTAAGGGTATTTGAATTAATTTGTCAAAAATTGTTACGTTTTCGTTCCTATTTGAGGAAGGCGTGATCAAAATGTCAGAGTTAATCAGAATGCAACGATACGACATTCTTCTTCAAGAAATAGAAGGCATAGATGATTATTTGGGCCCGACTTTTCGGTACGTACACGTAATGTAAAATTTACCCTCTACCGATGGTTTCGTTAAAAGACGCGCTTCCCGAAACTACCCCCTCACGCAGATGCAACCCTTACCGTACATATGCGCACTGGAAGGGTGAAAAACGGGGGTGGATGTCCCTGTAGTAAGATAAAGAAAAATTGAATTAGGGTTGTACCATGTCAAGGTTGTTAACTAGCCAAGTTGACAATCTACTGTCAAATATGGTACCAAAACATGAATACCTGTTATTTGAAATAGAATCTACAGATACTAATAGTATAGGCCTTGTTTTCAGGTATTATTGCTGTAAATACTTGTTCCAAAGAAAGACAGTTTTTTAAATAAAAAGATACAGCAATCAATCTACACATTCTTACTTTTGATTCTTTCTCTTTTTAGAGCAATTTATGATGGCCATGAGCATCAAAAATTTATGGAGAAGCTCGATGAGCGTATCAAAGCACATGACAAAGATATTGAAAGAATGTGTAATCATCATTACCAAGGTTTCATCGATTCGATCCGGGAACTGTTACAAGTTCGTTCTCAAGCGCAACAACTGAATGTTAGCATACTTTGAAGTCTAATTATTATGTAAGATAAAGGAGTACGATCTGACAGAGTTTAATCATTTTGTTTGCAGGCTGAAATATTGGAACTTGATAAACGTATCACTGCTACTTCCACCAAAGTAATAGAGAAAGGAGAAGAGCTTGTTAAAGCACGTAAAGTAGAAAGTAATATGGCTGCAGCTGTAGATAGCCTTACCATGTGTCTTCCTGTATTAGCTGCCTATGCAAAGTTACAGAAACAGTTGAAAGACAAACGTTATTATCCAGCATTGAAAACATTGGAGCAACTAGAACATCATGACTTACCAAAAGTAACAAATTATAGATTTTCTTCGCAAATTACTCAACAAATTCCGCAGTGAGTAACATTATAAGATAAAGCAATATTTATTTTCACAGCAGAATGTAACTAAAAAGTAATTTGTACAGAAATATTAAGCAGAGTGACTGATAGATTACAATGATTTTAGACTCCGCGAAAATATAAAGGATGCTTCCATGTCTGATTTAAGAGACTTTTTAGAAAATATTAGAAAGTATTCACCAAAAATCGGCGAAGTTGCTATGAGACATGTGAGTAAAATTAAAAAATAAAAAGTTTAATAGATACATTTCTGCATAATTGGTACATTGTATGGATTTTACATTAGACACAGGAACAATTGATCATCGAAGCCGAGATTATCGGTCGTAAAAAGAAAAGAACAAACGCTAGAAATTCGTTGTCGAACGAAGGCGAAGAAGAATTAAGCGCTCAGGACTTAATGGATTTCAGTCCAGTATATCGTTGTATGCATATTTATACTGTACTTCGTGAAGGGGAAACGTTCAAAGCATACTACAGACAGCAGAGAAAGCAGCAAGCTAGACTAGTTTTGCAGTCACCTATTAATATGGTACATTATTCAAAGACATGATCTTATTATGTTTCGTATTTAAATGTTTGTTTCATATTTTTAGCACGAGAGTATAGCCGGTTATCAAACTTATCTACAAGGCATTGTGGGGTTCTTTGTAGTAGAAGATCATATTTTAAACACAGGCAATGGTTTAGCTACACGATCTTATTTGGACGAGTTGTGGACTATGGCGCTATCTAACATAGTAAACGCATTACGCACTCACTCTGTAAGTTATAATAATGCACAAGTAGTAGTTTTTCCCCTTCAATAAAATAATAATTCTTTTAGGCATATTGTACAGATGCAGTGCTTATCCTAAAAATAAAAAATCTTATAATGTTGTTTAACACAACTCTAAGAGTAAGCAGACTGATATATTGTAAAGTAATTATTGATGCCATAAATATGTTTCTTATTACTTTCTTCTTGTGCAGAATTATGGGTATTCTATAGGGCAACTTTGTAACTTATTACTAGAAATTCGAGTACATTATAACGAAGTCTTAATGCAACATTGGGTTCAAGTGTTTAGAGATATTTTGGACGAAGATAGTTTTTTACCAATTCAGGTATAGTTTTGTATCTACAGTAGTGCCCACATAGATGACCGCTGCCTATCTTATGCGTATTTCTATCTTTTAGGTGACCACGCAAAAAGAATATGATGATGTCCTTGACTTATTTCCTTATCACGATGAGGAATTAGAAAGAACAGAATTTCCAAAAAAATTCCCGTTCTCAGATATGGTACCAAAAGTTTATCAGCAAGTTAAGGAATTCATCTATGCTTGTTTAAAGTTTTCAGACGATTTAAATTTCACGCAAACGGAGATAGATGAAATGATTTGTAAATCAACGAATTTATTATTAACAAGAACATTTAGTGGATGTTTATCGTCTTTATTTCGGAAGCCATCGTTGGCACTTTTACAAGTAGTCCAAATTATAATAAATACAGGCTACCTCGAAAAGTCCACAAAATATTTAGAAGAATTCGTGACTAATATCACAGGGTAAGAATTAAATAAATTATTAACAACCAGCAAATAATACTCTGCATGAATTTTTCAGAACACCGCATGAGGGGCAATTGAGTTGTATGGGCGTAGAATCAGCTATGTTTAGAGTCGCGAGAGACGATGCTGAAAAACAAATTTGCGATAAATTAACGAACAAACTGGACGAGTTTTTAGAGTTGGAAAATTATGACTGGAACTTGGCAGAACCTCAAGGGCATGCATCCGGTTTTATTACTGATCTCATAGCATTCTTGCAAAGTACTTTCACTTGTTTTACCAATTTACCTGTACGTCTCTCCATGTTCGATTAAAAACATTTTGCATCGAGTAAATTAATTAACGTTTAATGATTAAAGAAGGGATATATATATATTTTTTTTAGGAAGAAGTTGCACAAGTTGCGTGTAAAGCCGCTTGTTCTCATATAGCGAAAGCTATATTAGGTATATTAATTAGCGAAGACGTGAAACAAATATCCATGGGTGCTCTTCAACAAGTCAACTTAGATACAATACAATGTGAACGTACGTGACATTTTTATTTTTAAATGAGATGTACAATATATGGTTACAAAATATTTCTGATTGTAACGAACCAATCGAACATAAGTGAGAAAAAGGTACTTTTAACTTTTAGAATTTGCAGCCTCGGAACCTGTAGTTGGTTTGCCCGAAGGAGCCTTGCTTCAATATTTTGCACAATTAAGACAATTACTAGACTTATTTATGAGTTGGGACTGGCCTACTTATTTTCATGACTATGGTCATGAATCAAGTAAATATACTCTGGTAACTCCGAACATGGCTGTACTTTTATTAGAGAAGTATGTACCATGCTTTTCTTTCATTTGGTATATTAATCGATATACATATATCGATATCTACATTTTAGTGACGTGTATACTTATAGGTTAAAGGAGTCCGATAAAAAAACAGTATTTTCTGTGCTAAAGAAAAGCGAACGGGATAAGAAAAAGCTTCTGGAAACCGTACTGAAACAACTACGCCAACTGGCACAAACTACTCAGCAATAAATGAAACCAAGTCAATTTGTATATACCTCAAGAGAGATTGTAAATACATAATTTTTAATATATACGCTGCAAGCATAATTCTTTAGAAACTTATTATTGTAATAAAATGGCTATAAAAAAAATTGCATCGATCAATCGCGTTACAACTCCATTATATTGTCATGATACAACGATTGTTAAAATAGCAATTCCATGCCGCGTTACGAGACACGTGATGTACATTTCATTGTGTTCATGTTCATGTTCATGTTCATGTTCATGTAGTATTAACTTTTCGATGTTTAATTACATTGCAATCGCCCAATTCTCTTCTTTATCTATTTAATCATTTCGCGCGATATTGAATTCCAGGCAATTGAATATAATACATCATGTAAGTTCCCATACACTTATTATTTTGCTTCCTCCTAAATTGGTATTGTTATATTACATGTAAATGAGTTACATATCGTACAATAACTGTATAATGGATAAAGTATGACGTATGAAGTCCCAATTCCTAAGTCTTACGGATGCAATTATCTTCGGAATGAAATACAAAAAAAAAAGTTCACTAATTTTCCACTCTGAAGTTATACGAATTTTCAAATCGATTTAATGACATTGAACATTCATACCGAAATATAAAGTAAATACATACGCAGATAGGCATTATATTAAGAATAATAAAATAGATTAAATACAAATCAACAATAATTCCTGTAAAGTAATACCAAGAGCTTAATGCTTGATTCATGAATTAATTCGATAAGTATTTAATAGAGATAAAACAAATTAATAATATGCATATATAGACCAATTTACGATGCATGTGGCACAATTTAATTGATGATGTATAGCGGATCAGAACTAATTCTCATCACTGTCAGGCCCCACATCGTCAGGTAAACAGAAATACTTATTGGAAAATATGAAATCCTGAAAAAAAATTACTTGGAATTTTTGACAAAACAACTTTATTTTAAACCGTTTTCACTTACTGGAACTGGTTCATCCCTTGCCTTTGGCATCTTGCTGGCATCATCTTTTTCTTTATCTTTTCGGTCTCTGGAAACGTAAGTGTTAAAAAGACATATACTTTTGCACAATAAAATTAATAGAATGATCGATACCTTTCTGGGGCACGAGTTTCGTTGAGTCTTTGAGGAGTTCTTACAGCCGGTAGTCCAGGACGAAGAGCGGGCTGACTTCGAGGCTCTGCATATTGTTCTAAGTTATAAAAGTAGTTATATCATGTAGACATTATGAATTGATGCAAGTATTTTTATTCATGGTCTAAACTGAATTTACCGGTATGAGCGAACTGACTTCGCGACGGCAATACTTCGTTTCGTCGACTTTTGTCCTCATCCATCCGCCAAGTTGGTCGGCTTCGTTGCTCTTTATCTTTTTCATCACGCCCTTCCTATCAAGAATATCATACATTTAATAAAATATATAGATATCTGTCGTAGTACAAACTTTTACACTACAAACTTACTCCATTGCGTTTGACCCAAGTACCTTCTTTACCGCGTTTTTCGGAATCCCTGAAAGGAAAATATTGTTAATATTTTCAACCACAGTAGTGCCCACTTAAGCGGTCATTTATGTGGGCATGGTAACTTCACAGAATTCAACGGAGATAAGAAAGGAGGGTAAGTGCGAGTGAGACACAATAGCTGTAATTATATAATCTCTGTTGTTTAAATATTTCTTCTCTGTTCATACCCATCTTCTCTGGATTTTGATTCTGCATATGATTTTGCTAGACGTTCTTCTATTTCTCTTTCCCTGACAGTGGTATCTACAGGTTTTGCAGCACCAAATATATTTGTTGATGGCGTATGTGCAGGAGCAGCAGATTGCTCTTCTTTTACAGCAATAGGCTCAATAGGTTTTGTTCGAGGCGTTAGATTTAGCTTCGGTCTAGTCTTTGTTTCGGCTAGAATTACAAATTTTTTTTAGTAGAAATTTGTTATTGTAATATACTGTTCTAGCTATGGTATAAATAAATGATACTTACGTTTACTGTCTAGACTGGGTTTGTCTGCCCTACGCGGAACATCTCTGTCTTTGTCTCTGTTCCAATCGGAATCTCCATAATTACGGCGCGGCCCAAAACTGCCCCCTTTATCTCCATTTCTGTCTCGACTACCCCTATCATAACGACTACCACCCCAATCTCTGTCTCTGTCTCTCTCTCTTTCATCATCTCTGAAACCACCTCTGTCCCTAAATGCTGGTCTTCCTCTGTCACTATTTTCACGCCATGCACCGGGCTTGTTCTCAGCCTCAGGAGCTAAACAATAAACACATTAATTTTATCATTATTTTCGATATAAAATATTTTCAACAGATATTTAAATTTAATTTAATACCTTCGCGATCATCTCGTCTGTCTCTGTCTCTATTATCATATCGACTTCGATATGATGTGTCACCCTCTGCAGGCGCATTTTCATCTCGTGTACCGCTTCTCCAATCTCCAGATGTACGTTCAACGTCATCGTAATTATCTCTTCGATTATCTCTGCCCATACGTCCACCACGACGATCATCGTTAATGCTATTTGAAACATCGATTCGTACTCTTCTTGCTTTCATCGGCTACGAGTAATACAATTTGTACATAGATTGGTATTATCTTCGTCGAAAAGTTATCGAGTAAATGCATCATATTCTATCATAAAACCCCGAACATACCGTGTTGGATAAATTAAGAGCGTCGATTAAACTCTGGCGATCTTCGAATTCAACATATCCAAATCCCTTGAGTTTATTAGTATCTTTTGGCAGGCGTATGTTAGAAATCTGAACAATAACAGTAATACAAACTGATGTAACTACCAAGTACTCCAATTATATATCGATTTAACAAACTGACCTTCATGCCTGTGAAAAACTCTGTCAGATATCCTTCATCCACTTCATAAGGTAAATTAGAAAGATACGCTACATAAGGTGGATTAGTAGGAACATCGTCATCGGTACCGCGAGGATCTCGTGCAGCTCTTGGGGCTGTAGGTAGAACTACTGGTTCTTTGCTGCTTCTTGATGTAAATCCTTCTGCCACATAACATTCGCCAATATGAATTTAAGAATGTACTTACAACATAAATTAATAGCGATGTGCATTTTAAATATATTTTTAGACATATTTACATATAGGATTTCTCACTAAAAACGCATGATTTTATTATCTGTATTATAAAAATGTGTAAGCAACGTTTGTACTTTACTTAAAATAGCAAAGATATTAGCCGTCTGCATACACACACACACACACACACACACACACACACACACACACACACACACACACAGAGTAACAAAGTATGTTTTATTCTTCTGCTATTCTTGTTATTTATTTTTTACTCATTCTGTTGCTTTCATATTTACTGTTTTATTGTTTGATACCGAACTAAAAATACATACTAGTAATATGTACTAGTAAATGCTCAGATACACCAAATTGTTTCTGGACATATTTAACAAACTATTGCACCCAATAGTACTAACATACAAGTTCCAATTCTTTTGTGGTAACATTTGTAAGTAAAAGCAGATACATGGAAACAATGGCAGACTGTTTGCACATGTTTATCAGCAAAAAATTATTCGCGCCGTTATGTTCTACACAAATAAGAATATTTGTGAATATTGTAATAGGTACAAGCTTGTACAATTACATATAACATGTGTATAAACGAATAAATATCATTTGTTGTATAAATCATGATGTTGCTATTCTTTCATATACAACATCAAAAATTGGAATGTAATTTGCCACTGATTCGATAGGGGTAATATATCTGTGAGAATCTAAAGCTCTAGCAACTGTCACTGTGTTGATATAGTATCTGAAAACAACTCGAGCAATGTAAATATAGAGTAGAGTCATAAATGATTCCGCTATAGGACTCTAAACTGCAATAGTTGAAGGATTAAGGTGACCTGTTTCTTATAGAATAACCTGTATATAAATTTATTCACTAAGGTGTACAGAATTAAAGATTGTTACAAGAATGAAAAATTCAAATTTTGTTTTACCATGATCTTCTTCCATTTCATCGGCCCAGCTCAATGGTTTCACTGGCACAGCGGGTGTTGCACCCCCATCAGCCAGAAATGACATTAAATCTACAGTTGTACCCTTCTTCTTCTTTCCTTTCTTGCCTGAGGGGAATAAACAAAGGTAAATACCAATATTCTTCGAAGAGCTTTTTAACGATGGTGCAATATTGAAAGCATGCTGCAGTTTGCAAGTTTGGTTATGTTGCGTATAATGGTGAAAACGTATCAACACCAACGATTCTACTGTTGATAACACGTATGCACGAACAAAATGTTAAGCCTTTAATTCTATCTTTAGAAAAAATTTACCTGAAGACATGATTGCAGCTTGAATTTAAGGCAATGTAAATCAAGTCCGCGTTCCGATGGACCGCACGACCAACCTCAGGATCCATAAGGCATGAAACACGTTTTAGAAAGATGCATGTCGGCCAACATTGTACATTGCAAAATTTGCGAGTAAAGAAAAAGTAAACGTATATGCTTATTTAGCGAATATCTTACGTAAACGAATTATATAAGTAAATGTATATTCTATTCGACGATGGTAGTTAAAAATAACTTTGCATTTTTGTTATCAAACAATAATTTTAAAAAGTTGGCCGAGTTCTTCCGTATGGGTTAATACTAAAATACTACCTCGATACTAGAAAATTATAAGAATTCAGCCAATAAATAAATGGGCGCGCGAAATAATATTATAATTCTAGAAATTTCAACATTTTACTCGGGAAATGGATTCATGGTTACGGAAACAAAAATATTAATAACATGATTATTGACGGAGTCTTCGATTCCCAGATTGGTAGTGACCATCTATAGAAAATTTCGGAACGCACAGTTAATTCAAGACAGCAATAGCGCCGGTTGTTACAGGAAGCAACTGCAAAGGAGGTCTGAGTCACGTGATCGTAACATAGTGTGCTGAAGACATGGCGGACAAAGAGGAGACTGAGAAGACCATCGCCGAAGACTTAGTTGTTACCAAGTATAAAATGGCCGGCGAGATCGTAAATCGTAAGAAAACGACTTAACGTTCTCTAATGCAGCCCAGAAATCAAAAGTGGCGTTGTCTCGCGAAACCATCGGCCCCTTAATGTTGTATTTTCCGCTTGGCCATATGGAATGAGGCGCGCTAATGCCGGGCCCCCTTACCATGTGGGATAGACTAGGCATTGATTATTACATTTCAAAAACTTATCGATAACCTGTATATTTAATGCCTTTTAAATGATCGATTACAAAGGAATTATTAATCATTTTTCTATTCCAATCTAAGAGTCGCCAGTATTCTTTTATTATTAGAACTTAACACTTATCAATTACTATAATACATTCGTTCTTTATTATCTTTGAGTGTTTCCATTTCCGTAAAAGTCCAGCCGTAGGATATTTTACGGATATTCTTTGTACGATCTACTTCGTATCGCGTTAGCTTGAATTTTTATTTTAGAAGCATGATCTAATTCACACATACAATAGAAATTATGAATCCTTTTTAATTGTCTATAAAATGATTTTTTATACGTTTATAGTCTGACTGTACAGTCTTTTAACATCGTCGCGTCTTATGATAAATTATTATTTACAATTTCAGGGGTATTAAGGCAAGTTTTAGATGAATGTGTAGTTGGAGCATCGGTCAGAGAAATTTGTGAGTTTGGGGATAAGTTGTTACTTGAAGAAACCAGCAAGGTTTTTAAAAAAGAGAAAGAATTGAAAAAGGGAATTGCTTTTCCTACATGCATATCGGTTAATAATTGCATTTGTCACTTTTCACCAATTGCAAGTGAACCAGATCTTATACTTAAAGATGAAGATATGGTAAAAGTGTAGGTTTATGATTTGTTAATATAATCTATTCTATATTGTGGCCAGTAATTCAACTGTTCCTCTTTTATTCAAACATCTATTAATTCACATTTTTAGAGACCTCGGGGCACACATTGATGGCTTTATAGCAGTTGTGGCACATACTATTGTCATAGGTTGTTCACTTACAAGAAAAGTTACTGCTAGAAAAGCAGATGTAGTGTTAGCTGCACATTATGCATCGCAAGCAGCTTTAAGGCTTCTTAAACCAGGTACAGAGGTAAGATTTTCTTATATTTTATATTTTTATCCAACTACTTAATTCTTGATATAGTCTGTATATAATTTTTTGTTTCTTTAGACTTACACAATAACAGGGACAGTGGAAAAGATTTGTGAAGCATATAAATGTAAACCAATAGAGGGAATGTTAAGCCATCAATTGAAACAATTCAAAATAGATGGAGAAAAAACTATAATTCAAAATCCAAATGACGCACAGAAGAAAGACCATGAAAAGTACACTCTTGAAACTCATGAGGTACTATGCATCCAATATGATATAGCGTCTAACTAATTACACTAGTGCCCTCTTAAGTGGCCGCGCTTTTGCCCACTAATTCTTGGAAGCAAAGCGGCTTCGAGCGTAACTTGTGACGCCGGTCGTTATCGATACATTGTATATATGGTTTCGGGTGTCAACTATTGTATCTCACTTGCACTTATCATCTTTCCTTATCTCTGTTGAATTCTGAGAAATAATCATGCCCACATAAATGATCGCGACCGGTCCCAAGCGTGGCCACTTCAGTGGGCGCTACTGTATAATTAAGAAAATATGTATGTAACATAGTGAAATCAATTTCGTGTTTTAGGTATATGCTATGGATGTACTGGTTAGCACAGGTGAAGGTATAGGTAGAGAACAAGATACGCGAGTTACTATATTTAAGAAAACAGAGGAAACGTATCAGCTAAAATTAAAAGCATCGCGTATGTTTTACTCTGAAGTCACTCATAAACATGGTCTTATGCCATTCAACTTGCGCACTTTTGAGGACGAGAAGAAAGCAAAAATGGCAGTTGTGGAATGTGTAAATCATAGGTTGATCGAACCATTTCAAGTACGTTTTTGTGAACTACTTAATATTTTTAGATTAATCATAAATACTTAATGTTAACACATGTTTGTTGCTGTTCTAGGTATTGTACGAAAAGCCAAATGAATTTGCTGCGCAATTCAAATTCACAGTACTGTTAATGCCCAATGGGCCACATAAAATTACCGGACTACCCTTTGACCTTCTCGCTTACCGATCTGATTGTGTCGTCGAAGATCCTGAATTGAAGGTATGAATTAGATTTTTAATAAAGAGAACAACGGATCCCCTTAATTTTCTAATTAACATCCTCGATAATTGATTGTTACGTTTGCAGACTCTTTTGTATTCCTCGGCAAATCCGAAGTCCGCAAAGAAGAAGAAAAAGAAGGCTGGGAAAACTGTAGGTGAAGTGGCAATGGAAGTCGACGCCAAGGCCTAACACAACCATTTTGGCGTTCATCATAACGTATTAACGATGTGCACATACGTTACTTTTTGTTTAGCAGCTTCAGAGCAGAAAGTAGACACTTCTCACCTTCACCGTACCTCACTACTTGTTCCTGATTTGGAACACAATTTACAAATTGTGATTTCTCATGTCGTTATGCCCAACATCTAAAAAATCATTGCTATTTGTCTCGCGCACGCATTTATATCCGTATCAGTTGAAAAAAGTGTCGAGTTCTGCCCTGAATGAATCAGACTTCGTGACACATTATGTCACCATTTATTGACATTTACGTTTTTATACCGGAATATCTTTTAATGGACCATGGTATTATACACTGAACGATAATTATTCATAAGACATTTTGCAGCTTATGTATTATATTTCAAGCATGTGAACTTATTTCGCAAATAATATTCGGATTATATATGACTATGTTATGCGAATTAGATTGACTGAGCCAAAAAGTGAATCGCACGTGCATTCGTATTGTGTTTCTTTAATGGAAGAAACAACAATAAAGTATGATTTTGATTTCGTAAATATTTTTTGATTGTAATAGAAACTATATTGTGCTAAATGTATACGTGAAATTTAGTTACATTAAATGAAAAATGATTTTAACAGAATTACAAAGTAACGTATACCGCAATTTCGGAATGCACTGCCAAACGTGACACGATTCACTTCGACATTATTTGCTAGTTTCGCGCTAGCTGATTTTGCATCTCGTGTCTAGTGAATGAGAATTAAATGCCATAAAAATGAACATTTAATTATTAATTGTACAATTGGAATGAAAATGTTCACATTGGGATTCCGTATAAATGATGAAATGCCAATGATTCACAGAGTATTTCGTTGCAAGAATTACCCAACCGTCAGAAAATACTTTATTCCATTCGGTTTGGCTCTGCGCAAATTTTATTGCATGTTTAGAGTAAAAGTTATTGGAACTAATTACAGGTGCACCTCGTGTTATTCACGTTCGAGTGAAAAAGAAAAGAATCTTAAGAACAGAAGATTCTTAAGGAATTATCGTCTTGCCGAGGCAAAGGGCGGAAATTATGAAATATTAATACAATGTAATAATAGTTTTGTATAAGGAGGATAGATAATGTATCTGGTATAGATATTTTTTCTACTCAAGTTGTGCATATGTCGAATGTTACCGAGTGTGCTTGTAAAACAAAAAGATGTCTTAGGTCCCGGTGCACCGTCCTTCATTTACCCCAATTGGAAGCGTATCTTTCCATTATATTTGGTTTAATACTTGTAATAAAAGTATTCACTAAATATGGAAAGAATAAATCCATGTATTTTCCATTACGGAACTTTTAATGAAATATTACATTTAGCAGTGAGAATTAATTATTACGATTAAAGATACATTTATTGCACGGAAATCACTATTAAAGTATTTACGATGCAAAAGAGGACTGTGCACAAAATTCATACTTAACATAAAATTTAATATGGTGATATAAAATTGTTATTAAAAATTAATGACAAGCTAACAAGTATAGATTTTGACACGTGCATATTTCACGAATCATTATATTGCTCCTTTTTTCTCTTTAAAAGTAGTTGCATTAATGCATAATCTGTAAGATACTGTCTATTTCCAAAACTATACAAAATTCTTCAATTAAGAGTTACGATCAAGCAAGATAGAATTTTATGGATTATGACTTATTAAGTTTTCTATACAATATGATTTCTGATGAAAGTAAGAACAAATCATCAAAAAAAATAGAATTGTATTAGCATTCGTGTCTTTATTGTTAATGTAACAGGTATGTCATATAAACTAATATAGTTTTAATACTCGCTTCTGTTATATTTAAGGATAGACAAAAGGATTAGTACTATTGAAAGAAAAAAAATAGCAATACCAGTTTATTACACAGACTTAGAATGAATTAATATTAAAACAATGTTCAAAACAATGTTACCGTGTGATACCTATTTTATAGGTTCGTTAAAAATGACACTACACTGAAAAATGTTTTGATTTTTATCATTTCATTAAGGCCAATGCTGATCAAATTTTGTTTAAACATTAATTTTTAAACAATTAATATAAATACTGTAAATACCAATGATGTTTGTAGTCATAAATCCGTGAACAAAATGAAGGAATTTTATAATTAGAACATAATTTGAATTACATCACACAAATTTTAATTTTAATATAATCGTATTAGGAGTAGTAATATCAGCAACATTTATCTCGCTGCCGTTTTTGAGCCCAAGATCAACTAAAGTTTTTGTTAAATTTTCACGAGTTTTTTCTTCAATACTTTGTACAGTTTGCATATACAGTGTTTTATTTTTGCCATCAATACATGCTGTGAGACCTGGATTTTTCATTTGTAAATCGGATCTTTCGCAAAGAATCGTTATCAAATCTTTTAATTTGAATTTAGGATTATCGATCTCAATTTCTTTTGGAATTTGACTACATGCCACGCAATCTTCTTTTCTTTCAGCCTCATAAGTATATGTATAAATTCCATCTAAATCATTGAGTACCTTTTAAAGAAAACAATTTATTAATTGCATTGCACTATTAAAATTTGATTTCAATCTGTATTAATGTTGTAAATCTACCATATAATTATTCAGCGATGCACTGCAACTACTAGCAAGTTTAAATGCTTCTGTAGCACATGCTGCAGCAATAACAGCATTTGTAGATGCCACAGCAGGTATAATATTTTTTACTACACCTTGTACCAGTCTATATGTTAAACCTTGTATATTAAATTGTGCTGCTCTTTCATTGGATTTTTCATAAATCCAATTTATATGTTGAGGATCATCACCATCTATGGGGCAATCAAATGGATTCTCTTTTGTCCATTGAAGTACTTTTACATATTCTATACAATGCTCCGGTAAACGCGGAGTATTTGCTATTGTACATAGAGGATACGTGATCTGTATTCAAACAGAATTTGATTGAAAATAAGAATTATAACATTATTTAAAACATAAATATATATGTAAAACATTTACCTGAGGGGGATATAAATCTAAGGTACATTCGATGCAAGCAATCAAACCAGGTAATATTACTCTTACATTTCCTTTAAAACCTTCTGTTCCTCCATCAATCATTGGTATTACACTAGATCTGTCTAATTCTCCATTTTCATAAACTAAAAGGGACAATAGCATACCATTGATCCATCTCCTTGCAATTACTGAATCTAGACCACAAAGTACCATATGAAATTGTCTATAAAATTCTTCATCTTTATCTTGTATTTTGCAACAGTGTGGTACAACATTGCAGCCTGGTATTCTATTATTTACAAACTTTGCAGCTACATCTGCTTTAGACGAACCGATATCTTTATGCCGGAATAAGAATTGCCTGCAATTTTATAATAAAATATATCACATTTTGTAACAAACTTCAATGATGACAGTTTGTTATATGCATTGCATTAAATGATTGTTATTATACCGGTTAAGATTAGATAATTCAATCGTGTCCATGTCGATTATATGAATGTGTCTAAACCCCATCAACGCTAAATCTTTAAGTAACTCGCATCCCAAGCCACCGGCTCCGATAACAAGAACTTTACAGTTTTCCAGTAAAAATTGTAAAGTTTCAGAAGATGGTTCGAAATCCGGTCTGCAAAAAGGACCGGATCTCTCCAGTACTTTTCGCAAATTGCTCCATCGTCTGTGAGTGTGATCGATACTCATCGTTGGAGTAACGTTTAATAAAATGTAATAAAGTTCACTTAATAATTACAAGTTAAATATTAATATTTCAATGAATCATTATTTACACTTTCTTTGTATACTATAACCTATTTGGACAATACAGTAGACATTTATAATTGTTTTGTAACCAAACACTTGTACGAATTACAGCAGCGACACCAAACTACAGTTCCTTCAGATAAAATAACGACGCAACAGTGGTGCGTCGATACGTAGTTATGGTAATTTTTAGCGTCGACGACCGTTTTTTTTTTTAAATCCCTTTGATTTTTGAAAAGGAAACGGTACACATCTATGTACTTTATTTGGTAGTTTGTGGTCTAGACATTTCGTAGAAATATTTATTAAAGTACAGTCGAGAAACGTACATATAAAATTTGTTACACTCGTCTAATACGTGAAATATTCGATGCTTTGTGTACTTCTTGAAACGTAATCATACATGTTATTCAATGTACATCGTATCTTTTATATGCCGTTCTCGAAACGGGTCATCTTCCATCACTGTGTGTTCACACACTGTTTGAAAATCGATATGTAAATCGGTGTTACACAGACGGAACGGTGAGTGACGTTTGATAGTGTTTACATCAGATTAAATCGATTGCATACAGTACGTTGACCGCAAACTTTAATGCAGTTTCGTCACGCCATTCTCTTTTTTCTCTACAAAACGAATTCATTTTCCATACACTATATTTTAAACCCTTAAAAATTCCATTGATCGGGTCATACGTTATTACGTAGAGCAAATCTTACGAGTGTTAAGACAACTTTCAGTATTAAGGCCTATTCACTTGTTCATGCAAAAGAGCTTTCATTATCGATACCAACTCTCAAGCAGACACCAGACATTAGAACTTACGTGGTTATAAAATAAAATGTTAAAGTAATTGATTTAAGTTGTTTAATTTGAAGGGTGTTTGTCGGTGTCCAGGGGCATGTATCCTTTTTGTTTCTGCCTTGTCACGGCCTTGCTTAGAACGAGGAAAAGCTGAGTAAGAGACTCCATTCGTAGACAACATTGCTATAGTGTGTTTCATGAAACGATAAAGTAGATCGAAAGAAAATCATGTGACTGGCAGGGCCGTCTTGGCAAGAGGGTATTCCCCAAATACGTATAATAAGTATAATGAAATTTTTACTGGTTATTTAGAACGTTGGTCATCTCTGTACGTGAAAACGCAATTGCAGACCTCGAGTTTTTGGCTACCCTGTACTTCGTGCTCATCCCCCTTCACGCGAAACTGGGGAGGAGTAGACCGATACGCGACGCGCAGTTGGCGAACGAAAAAGTCCCGCTTTCTGCTCGCGAGCGAATGAGTTTGTTACTCGGCGGATAGAGCGTGCACCCGTCGGTTCTTGTACGCGCGAGTGAATGCGATTTACGCGGGTTTAAAGCGAATCCGGTTAAACGGAAGCGCGCGATAATCGTTCGATTTGTGGCGGCATTACGAGCGGAGGCACACTATTCGGGGCGGCGTGCTCACCGTGTTTACATGTTGCGCGCACGTCGTCGAATCGATACGTTGTGTACATGTGCGAGCGGGTTCAGTGAGTGGGTTACGAAATCGGTGGACGGTTGGCGTTCGCACGTGGCTATCATCGCTCGCGAAACGTTCTCGTTTTGACGTTAGGTGCGCGAAGGGTTTAAAGAGACTAAATACTTTGGATATCATCGATGAACGATTCGGCAAATAAGAAGAACGAGCAACCGGAGGCAACTTAAGTCGAACGCAACGGGGCCAAAGGTGCGGACAATTTCGGAACGATCAAAAAGCTTCTATGAGACATAACATCGCGAATTGGGAAATGAAACGCTCGATGGAGGCATTTGTAGACGTCAGTGAGTGCTACAAGCCCAGCGGAAAAGTAAGATTTCATTCACCGAGCAATTTTCTCCCTTCGCTTCGCACCAGACGATCGTTTTTTCTTTTCCTTTCTTGCCTCTATCTTTTTTAGACCCATGCGTTACGTTTGATGGGAGTTTGTGTGCTTGGTAGCTTGATTCGCGAAGTAGTGTGTGTCACCTGTTTGTGGCGTTGAAAATAAAAGGTATGTTGCTTATTCATTGCAAGTGTAGACTGTTATTTTATTTCGGTTAAAATTATTAACCGGCATTGTATCGTGTGCCGGTTGCACGTAACTATTAAGGTATGTCGTTAGTCATTGTTTGTGGATCAAGGAGTATTTAAAGCGTTCTACTTTATCGTCGGCTTGATTTAAGGAAATTGGTATTGATTGACGCTTACGATGGGGGACAGCGGTTAGTTCCACTTTTTTAAGGAAGTATTCGTTAGTTTTATAATAATCGATAAACTTAATTCAACGAGATAATTGAAAGACAAAAGAGTCTTTTATAACCGTGATTCTACGTGCATTTATAACAAGAAAACCATTAATCCCCTGTACTCCAAACTTTAGAGATTACATAGAATAGAAACTTCAAGGAATAATGTTTCACTGATTACCATTGAAAAAGTAGAGTACAAAAATAATGAAATCATTCGTCGAGTCATGCAATGCTCGCAATACGAGCGAAACACACGAATTAAATGGAGTACTCGATAATCGAAAGTTTCAATCGGATATCGAATCGAACGAGATTCTCGAAATTTGACTTGACCATCGAATCGAATCGTTTCTCTTCGAACGTAAGAGGTATTTAATTTCAATTTATAATATTTATGGTAAATAAATAAACACGAGTTACAATCTGTTCTCCAAAGTGCTTGTTAATGAACTGTTCCACTAATCCAAACTTTCATCCTTTCCAGGATTTCAATTTCACTCTATTAACAATCACCGCGTATCAGATCGAAAAGTAATTTTTCCTCTCGTCACCGATGCATCTGTACGCTAATTGCATGTGTAAACGCATAGATCGTTAGACTAGATAAATGCACCGGACTCGCGATTCTGGGCTGCTCTCGTGTGTCCCGAGCCGCGATCGTCTCGCGCTCGCAGAAGTCTCTCCCCAGAAGTAGGTACGTAAATTACGCCAGTGACAACACATGCGTTTGTATAAAACGTCACGCTTGTGTATCAAACACGCACGGACTAGCGTGTGCCACGTGATACTCGGCTGGCAGCGGACCCGACTATAAAGCCGTAGCGAGAAGTCAGTGCTAGCTCGGCGACTTTCGCGATCTAACGCGCGCGGCTGGAACTCCGTGATCGGATCGCACTTGCATGGTACTTGTACGCGCAAAGGTGTCTCGGTGAAACTCCATCGCGTGACCACCGTCCGATCCACCGACTATTATAGATTTTATACGAGCTTGGATCGTGCAGACTCGGAGGAACTGTCGTTCGCCACATTTGTACGAATTATCGCACGCGTTACTGAACAAGTTCCATTGTGACGCGGAAGGACTCTTCTTTGCGCTCCCACGAGGCCGACTCGCGACTCGTTCTTCGCTGTACGTAGTCAGAGATGGGCAATAGATAACAAATACCACGTATATCTATTTATTTCGAGCATTCGAAAGCGTTTGATAATGAAAGTGACGGATAAATAGTTTATTCTGAATTTGTTATTCGACATTTTTGTCTAGATAAGAATTTTGTCCACCTCTGTACGTAGCTCGAACTTGGACAAGACGCAGATATACCAAGATTACTTGCCTCTAGTAAGTAAACAGGTATTTATGATATTGAGACAGGTTCTCGTTTATTGGACGATAAAATAAGTTACTTTCAAGAGTTTTGTTGTAATTACAGATATGTATAGTTACGAAAAAGCTACGAGTTATTAATTGCAAAAGGCGTTGAGTGATAGCCTTCAGAAAAACGATAGATGGTTGATTGAAGGTTCGTTGCAACGTTAAGAACAGTAAACACACTTGATGGTAATCAACCCTTGCGCAAAACTATGATCATATAAGTACACACACGTGGTGAGATTAATGCGATCGAACAAGGAAAATTGTACTTTGTAAACACGCGTTACACGGTTCCAGTTAATATTTGTATGCATGCCCTTAATTTTCGGTCGCAATTAAACATTTTATCGGGTTAGGAATATTTTAATTCGAGTTCCTCTTCCGTCCTCATAGTTATTTTCGCCGATTTCGCCTTGACAATCGCCCACAAATTTACCGTGAGATATGTGTCAGGACTGTTCCCAAGGCGTGGGAGTACATTTACATTTTTCTCAACCGAAAACAATGTTCCTTGCGATTTACGCATATAATTTCAAAGCAAATTGTAAGCTTGGAAACGATCGTATTAAAATCACTTTGTTGTCGCAACATACGAGATGTGGATCTAGGTCAGAGGTACACAAAGTCTGGCCAACAGAATAATAAATTCGATTCTTACATTATGCTTATCCAGCCTACGAAATAAAGTCAGCAAAACTTGGTAATAATAATTATTAACAGTTTCGACCGTGCAATAAAAGGGAACAATATTTGCCAAAGAATAATGCCTCTTCTACCGAGTTAATAACTGAAGAGCAACTAGATATGGAAAGAGATTAAAAAACAGAATATAACGAGTATGTAGTTCTTAATTGGAATCGTAATTACAACTTATTCCAATTAAGAATTAACTATAATATTCTGTTTCGTAATCTCTTTCCACCGCTGGATGCTTTTCTGTTATTATATTAATACGTGAGGTATTTATTATTAAAATTCAATAAACAAAATATTGCGATCGTATTAATTTCGCCACGTCTGTATCATGATATCGAATTCATACGTGCGCTATGAAAGACTCGTTGCAACAGTGAGAAAAAAACCCCATGTTCCGCCGAAATTAATTTGGATTCTCGGTTCGGGAATAACAAACGAAGTCGAAACAGTATTCCACGAATAAAAATACGTGCAGGAATAGTACAAAAACAACCGAACGCGTCACGCGATAAGTTCTTTCGTGCTCTTTATGAAATATTCACCGTCTACGTGCACACGTGCAGGTTCAGCGGCCCGGATTCTTTTCTAAACGCGATTAACGCGGAAACATGCGGGCGGAAGAAATTACGTGTCCAACAGAGTCGGACTTCTGCAATGGTCACTCTTTTCACGTACTCTCTACATATTATTCCCTTTCTTTATCGCAAAATATTCGATAGTAATCGGACGGTAGGAATCAATGTCGTGAAAATCGCGAGCCTCGTGATAACGAGACAGTAACATCGATCAACTCGACACCGTTTATCGAACCTACTTGAAACTCGCGATGGACTAATCGCGCGATAACTGTGTCGAACGCCTTCCTCTCGTGATCGAGGCCCAAGGTGTACGCGTGTAAAGTTAACAGAAGAGCATTAGTTCCATCGGGGAACACAGAGACGTCCTTGTCGACATTCCTCAACTCATCCTTCCCCCTTACTCGGCCGCGGATGAAACTGATTTCGATGCGTGACGTAAGCGCGCGTACAATGCGAAAAAAAATCATTCTTACAACGAAACAATTGCCTGTCACGTGGATGGAATACTCGTTTTAAAGAAAAGACCAGCGCTGGCGATAGGTAGAGTTATTAACCGTTTGATCGTGCATCGGGTGGTCGAATAGTCGAAGACGAAATATAATAATTTTTAAGTACGCGTTAGGTAAGCAGAAAAACAAAAATGGAGAACAAATTGGAAGGTCGGCAGACCGCGGCGCGCTTAGTTAGGGGCTAAATAATAGGAACGACACACGGTACAATGCTTTGGTTTGAAAAAGAATTCTGATTTGACGATCGACCCTTTCAACGCGCCACTCTTCCGCATTTACACATCGCTGGATCCTTGTTTCCAGGGGTGTGCGAGTACCCGAGTGCACAATGTTAACCCTAGAGCAGTGGTTCTTAAACCGGGGTCCGCGGCAAAATTATTATTTACCTTTATATACGCGACAATGTAATTTAGACTCTATTTAATTTTCCTTCTACCCCGATCTATCACGAGACCTTTAAGATTTCGAAGTTTCGGATTCAGGTACCGCGCTACCCTATTGTATTCGTTCGACAGGTGGCGGACCCATCCGAGTCCCGTTAGCTAATAACCGTACTATAGATCATCGGTTCTTCTGGCCTCGAGAAGCTTTCCCTTCGATTCGACCACCTGCGCGTTGAAAATCGCTTCTGCAACTTTTCGACACGCTTCGAAACGTACGATGTTTGGGGCGGCGATTTTTCACTTTCGCGAACGAGAGAAAAAAACGATTCGCGGTCGATTCGACCCGATCTCGTAATCTAGCCCGGGCCCTCGTGTTCCCTTTTGTTTCTTTCAGTAAACCGGGAAGCTTGAGCGGCGCGTCTGCCACGAATGGATCGAATCTCGAGATAGTACACTTCCCTCTCTTACACATGCATGGGTCCTGGCTTGTTCGGTTACCACACGTTCCTGTTGCGCACTGGCGATCACCGTCTCTCACCCTTCGACGTGTACCGGCTGCCTCGTCCGAGTACGATCGGTATCAGACATGACCAACGATAAACAGGTGAGTGCTTTCGGTGTATCGTGACTTTTGGACCAGTCGGACAAGTGTTCGCATTATCGACTACACGCACACGCTATTTTAAATCCCTAGAACCCTTTTTTTATAAATTCGTACAGGCTGACCCACTCGAATGTCTTCGACGTCAAATGTACGGTTCGTATAATACATATGCTTTTCCTAAGCGAAGTCAATTCTGTTTTTTTCTTTTTTAAATGGAATTATATATAATGTATCTAATGTTGCAATTTCCTCAACGTCGATGAAGCTACATATTAAACATCCGACGACTGATTACAGACTACTACGTTTATCGGGAACGATAAAATGCTGGAACGTATATTTACGTCGAAACGACGGGCATGCGTTTAATGGCGCGTCGACCACTTTCTTTAACTCGCTGTAATTTGGAAAGTAAGGCAGAACCTTTTTTCTTTTTCTTTTTTTATTTGCGCTATTTACAAGCTAATGGCCGACGCGCGATCAAGAGGCTCTCCCGTAGTGTCCTTTACGAAGAAATTGACGTGTTGCCTTTATTACTTATGTTTGTAAGACGTAAACAGTGACGAACGTGCAATATTGTGGGCTTATCTCGATACCGTCTTCCGCTATCTTTGGTCACTCATTGAGCATTTGTCACGACTATCCTGCAGCTATCAGCCGACTGATAAAACCAATATTCTTATTGCGAAACGCGTCATGTTTTACAATGAAAATCATATTCGTTCGTCGCTATTATTTCGAATAACAAATTGCACACAATACAGCCAATTATACGGCGAAAAACAACGTAAAGAAAGTGTATCCGTTTGCCAACGCAAGGAGTTCACGTGCATTGAAACGTACAAGTGGTCCGAAGAGACTGACACTTGACCGATTTACTCGAGATTCGTGTAATTTTCACGGTTGTCGTCAAAGTCGAATGAACTATGCACCTCGTCTACGTCGTGTACCGTAGTCTACTCGAACCGTACCGAGAGAAAGGCGTCGAAGAAATGGCACGACGAATTTACAATTTTTCCACCCCGAAACTCTCCGCACGATGCACGAGCGACGCACACATTTCCTATCCATTTTCGATTAATTTGCGTTTGCATGACGATATGAATAGTTATCTAAGCGCTGTGTTGACTTTTGTATCATAGTTGGTCCGCGGTAACGCTGAATTGTATAATCTTTAAAATAATTACACGTTTCAGGATTCGCAAAAAAAAAAAATTAAACAAGATACGCGGCGTGGACGTTGTCGAGAGACTCGTTTAATATTACCATATACCCGTGACCCTAATTGCTCTTTGCCTGCCGCGCGACGATTATTAAAGACGATCGATTCGGTTGAATTATTTGATCAGGCTTTGGTATCGATCGACGAAGTCTTCGCGAAGAACGCAACTACGACGAAGAACGATTTCCAATTATAGCGATGATCGTGCGATACAGTCGATCGTTCTCTGATCTCGGATTTCTGTTTAGACGATTTCTTGCTACGACTGACATCATAATCATGCGGTAACACACGGAATCGTTCGGGCTAGCTTGACAAGTTCGATCGTTAGGACTTTTGCAAATTAAATCATTCTACTATTTTAGTGAAATATTAATAATTTCATAATGAATGAAAGATTTAACGGTACGTCACTTTTCATTCTTTCACGGTCGACAGAAATTGGCAGTGAACCGTTAGAAAAGTGCTGTTAAGAGAATCCATTAGATCAGATCGGCGTAGCAGACACGTCGGAAATACAGTCGAAATCATACAAATAAATTGGCTGATTAAAATGATTAAAATAACAAAAAAAATTGGATTCTTTTCCACCTAAGGAAGTGAAACATGTACGTAGCTGTTCCTCAGTAGCCACGCATTACTTGCTTTTACTGCGGTAATTAAATCAATCTTTTTGCTCATTTTACTCTTAAAATCAGTAACGAGTTTCAACACATCCACGGTATAGTCACGCGGTAATTTATGAAAGGGAACAATCGCATGGGAATTAAGCGTAAATAAAAATCGCATTTTGCTCGTCACAGCTGTGATCTCGACTGTGCTTCCAACGTATGTACATATCTCCTACGTTCATCCGATCTAATAGATTCTCTTAACAGCACTTTGCTAACGGTTCACTGCCAATTTTCGTCGACCGTGAAAGAATCGCTTACCAACAATTATAATTACGTGCCCGTAGAAACTATGGAAAGTAACGCAGAGTAGGCACCTACGTACCATTAACCCTTTCGTTTTTAAATTATTCAAATTTCACGAGAAAAAAAAATCGTACACATTGAATTCATGTTTACACGTTTAACTCGTGGTATCTACGGACGAATCAACGAAACGCCCCCACGATTTTTATCCAATAATTGTACGTACGTAACCGCGTACGAACGCGGTGGGAACTAAAGGATCGACCACGCTCGTTGGCGAGCTGGACGAGATTACGGTCATAATTCCACAAACACTAGGCACCGGAACGACGCTCATTTTTCTGTTTTTTTCTTAGTCGTTATTGCGAGAAAAAGTCGTATAATTTGATCTGTCTCGCCGCGCTACGCTGCGCTCGCCGACAAATATATGCATCACGCGCGACTAACTCGAAAGATTTCACATCGTCGTTGATTATACACCTTTCCGCGCAGACGGTAGTCGAACTCCGATACGCCTCGCGTTTTCGCTACGAGAAATCATAGTCGCCAACGTAGAGTCGCGCTCCGCAACGCCGACAATCGCGAAAATTTGATAACACGTATCGACTGTATAAAACGCCGTACTTTCGGTGGTTTCCACGAGACTTTCTTCTTCACGGTTTCTGAACCGGAGAGAGTCTCTCTGTAACCCATTAATATTTTTCGCTCGTCGCGCTGTCTACCCTTCCCCCGATAATCGCACGCAGTCAGCCAAGTTAACGCTACACAATCGCTTTGGACCAACGATCCCTTTGTGCCCCTTTAACGTTAGATTTACGGACGTTAATTGCGTTAATTGGGATACAGGTTCACACTTTTGCATCGAGTTCTGTGCCTTTCAAGTATGGAATCTAAAGTTAATTTTATGGGCTCCGTAAATCTATCGTCAAAGGAGAAAATAGTTTCTAGGTGAAAAGAGTGGGAAGGTCTGTCCCGTTAAAGGTCGCTTCAGCCACGGTACAATAAACGTAACGTCCATCAAGGGTGAAATGGTCGATCGATCGTCGTGGATAATCGTGATAATTTGCACGATTTCAGTCGTGGTTCCGGGGCGTCCGGAGCAGCAAGTTTCGGCACGTTTACGGCGTGCCAGCCAAGAGGGAGAAATGCTACGACAACATCAATATCACCAAGAACCCCCACGATTCGCAGTTCTGCGCCGTGAATCCAAAGTTCCTGGCGGTAGTGACGGAGGTCGCCGGCGGCGGGGCGTTTCTGGTGTTGCTGCTCAATCACGTGAGTTATCTGGACTATCGAATTATCGATTCTGCTATTCTTACGCGTGTTCGCACACGCGCGCGCGAATTACGTCGCTCGATAGCACCCGCGTTGGTAGCGACAGCCATTTTGGACCACGAACGTTAGGAGTTAATTATTTCTTTTCTCAAACAATGGTGGAAAATGGCTTTAAAATGAAACCTTTTACAGCTGTTCCTTTATCTGAAACAGTAGACGGGAGCTCTTGAAAAAGAAACGTACTTTGCGATGGGCAATCTCACTCTGTTCATGGTTATCTGAAATGTACAAAAAATATTTCTTTAGTTCATTCATGATCCAAAATTGCTAATTTTTAGAAAGCTTTAGCCTTATTGAAAAAGATATTCCCTGCTTTTGTTATCAAGAGGGCCTCGAATCGTTCCCCGATTCAGGGCCTCATTGAATCCGGCCTTACGATAGCTTATCAACGTTCGCCAGTTTATCGTGAACCTGGTATCGAATTATACGAGGACATAAATAGGCGCGCTATCGCGTGTTATTGAAAGCGATCGTGCATTAGAAACCGTCGAAACGCGCAGCGATAAGAATGCGCTTTGATATTTGCATGGGCGTTAAGTTCTCTGCAAACATCGATGACACTCGACGCGTATCTGGTTTCAGACTGGCCGATTGGACTTTAATGCGAGCAGAGTGACCGGGCACACTGGCCCGGTGTTGGACATCAAATGGAATCCTTTCAACGACAACGTCATCGCCTCCTGTTCCGACGATTGCACTGTACGATCACGTGTATACTGCTCAAAATAACTAGACTTTACGGTTCGATCGTGCGGACGCAGGAAAAAATCGATAGTCTTTTTCTGTTAAGTTTCTCTTGAAAAGATAATCGGTCGACATTCACTGTTCCGGGTAAAGGTTTTAATAGCGTTCGACTTTTCATTGTTTCCTCTCACCGTTGGCTTCTATTCTAGATAAAACTATGGCATATCCCGAACGGTGGATTGGCTCGAAATTTAACGAACTGGTTGGTGGAGTTGCGAGGTCACAAGCGACGAGTCGGGTGCATAGAATGGCACCCGGTCGCCGAGAACGTGCTCTTCAGCGCTGGCTTCGATCACCTGGTTATCGTGTGGGATATAAACAGGGGGGAAGCCGTCAGTGTGATCGACAGACATCCCGATGTGATCTACAGCATATCTTTGAACCGTGACGGCAGCTTGCTGGCTACAACCTGCAAGGATAAGAAACTGAGAGTCTTCGAACCAAGATCCGGCATCGTCGTCTCTGTACGCATCCATTGGATTATCTTTGCAACGACTTTGCCCGTTGAATTCGTGCATTTACTTAATTTTAACGATTGGTTGTTATTCAGGAAGGGGTCTGTCACGCTGGGACCAAAGCTTGCAAAGTAGTTTTCCTTGGTGCCTCCGGACGTCTCCTCACGACGGGTTTCAGCCGACACTCCGACAGACAGTACGCCATTTGGAGCCAGCACGACTTGTCGGCCCCATTGACGTGCGAGACCATCGACTCCTCCAGCGGAGTCGTGTTTCCGTATTACGATAACGACACCAACATGGTGTACCTCGCGGGAAAGGTAGACGTCCACGTCAAAGATTTACGTCATCTTGTCTGAATCATTTGTGATTTCCTCCTTCGATCATTGCCACATTGTATACAGTTCTCGTATTTTATTCCGTATTTCTTGCTCCAGGGCGACGGCAATATTCGATATTACGAGGTTGTGAACGAGGCGCCTTGGATGCACTACCTCAGTCAGTTCATTTCCGGTAATCCGCAGAGAGGAATGGGCGTGATGCCAAAGAGGGGCATCACCACCTCCACGTGCGAGGTGTTCAGATTTTACAAATTGCACGCGACTCGTGGCATGTGCGAGCCGATATCGATGATAGTCCCGCGAAAGGTGGGTGTTGTTACTTTTCAGTTAACAGGAAAGTCTCGTGTAACAGGTTCGATTATCAAAAATAACGGAGACGTTCTATACCAGAGACTGGCTTTCATTTGAGATATTCGTCACGGCTAATTGAAGACTTTCACTTTCCAGAGCGACCAATTCCAAGAGGACTTGTATCCGGACACCATCGGCACGTGCCCCAGTCTGTCAGCCAGGGACTGGATCAGCGGCATGAACAGCCCGCCGATTTTAATCTCCCTGAAAACCGGTACGACCGTTGAACTTTTCGCCTAATCGTTCGCTCCTTTCCCCCGAATGCACGCGTTATCTGAAATGTCAACAGGGGGCAGCATTACCACGCACAAACCGCACGTGTACAAGCCGCCGCAGCTTCCTCAAGCGACCGACCTGAACAACGAGAAAAAATTCGCGTTCCTGTCCTCGGAAACTGTGCCGGACTACAGGCCGATCGAGTTCCACAACATGTCCGAGAAGAGCCAGAAAACGTCCAGCAACCAGAGCACCAAGTTCCAGCAGCTGCAGCAGAAGTTCGGGAGTGCTGTGTTACAGGTAGAACCAGCAACACTTTGAGGCTTTCACGGTTCTAGTTTTATCGCTCGTCCGCGATAGGGAATGTCTGCCGTGTCAATCACAGCATTAACAACGAACGACTCGTTTAAAAACGGCGCCTAATTAACTCTGAAAAATTTTAACAAACGGTTAATTTTTACCAGCGAACTTGCTACTAAATTTTTGTGTAATAAACTTGCAACTTATGCTTTACAACCGCTACTAAAAAAATTACAAAAATAAGGTCTCACGATAACCTGTGGATGAGAACATAACAATACGTAAATAAAATTATCTCGTGTTTGGTCTCATTTTAATCAGAAAAATATCGCAAACGTGTTGAACAAAATTTTATGCAAAAGGAACGAAGACTAACAAAGTTTTGAATTTTCCCTTTCTACCCCTTTTACTACGTTCGAGCGAGCGGCAAAATGCAAAGACCAACGCGCACTTGAAACTATTTTCTCTCTGCGTACAGATGTAATGCGAAACGATTATTTATTGACTTGTCGTATGGTTGTGTGCGCAGAAGAACATCATCATTGCGCCGCTGAACGATAACGAAGTCTTGGAGACCGTGGACATTTCCAACAACGAGGCTGAACTGAGATTGGCGTACGCTCGTCAAACGGACGAATTAAGACTGGTGCGACGACAGCTCGCCAACAGCCAATTACGCGTGAAAGAGCTGGAGGAGCAGGTTCGCAAGCTTCAGCGTCAGTAAAGATTAATCGGAATCCTTAACGCTCGCTTCGAAAACGATTCATGTATACAGCTTCGCTGCTGCTAGTCGTACAAGTGATATGGTACTTAACGAATAAGTAACGCATACATGTGCACCATCACAAACAATGAGACGCCTAAGCTTTCGAAAACGTTGCGCGAGAAAATGGTGCGTACGAATTCCCGTGGTCGCATTTAAACGTGCAAATTAACTGAGCTCGAACTTTATACACGAAAGAATTCTTAATACACGTACACGGTCTGTCCCAAATGTCGTCGAACTCGGATTTACGTTTATGGAAGCCCTTAAAATATCCCTCGTAGGTCTTTGAGACACGATAGCCCCATAACAAGCCTTCATAAACGAAACGAAATTCGTCGAACAAACTTTATTCTTGTACACGAAGCCTTTTGTGGGCTTGTAGCTATACATATACTAGAAAGGCTGAGCGCTACGACGCTACTTAAAATATAAAACGTTGATGGCTTAGCTTTTTGTTTCGTACCTAAATCAAAACGAAGCGTGAGCGAAGCTTCGTTGAAAGGAATATCAACCCGTACTAACAAACGACGCCGCTAGTACCTTATACGAGAAATATACATATACTTCTATAAAACAAAGTTCGCGCGCTTTTGGGACAAACAATGTATATTTTTTTAGCGTGTCTAGTTCGTATCTACTTCGTTCTATTTACTACCTTTATATGATATTGTACCGTTTTAAGAGCGCAGCAATGGAGCAACAGTAATTTAGTCGACATCCTTCGGAACCGTTCGAAACTGTTCCGCGTAGAGAAGCTGAAAAAGAAAAAACAAATAATTGTGATGTACACTATTGCCTTCACTGTACAGACGATGTTTTGTCTATTATAGAAAGATGTTAGCACTTCTCCGCGATTCTTCTTCGTCAACAATGTTGGTACGTTTCGCTGCTGCGTTGTTCGTGCGATTCTTCTCGGAACAATGGTTGACACACGTGTTGGTACAGTCACTATAGTTTTTCCTTTCCTTCGCATAAAATTGTGTCTGAAAACAACCATTACTCAGCCTGGTATAAAGACGTAAAACTTGGACGAAGTATTAAATGTTCGTTACACGAATAATTGCACCTGTCTGATGCATACGCGTGTTTGTGTCGTATGCGATTCGTTCTATATAGAATCGTCGTATACAGAGTGATAGATAAATGCAGATGTTTAGAAGCTGCGAAGGGGATATTAAGATGCAATAATCGTCGCTTAGAGATACGAAGGAAGCACAAGATATAAGGATTAACGATTAAAGACTCGCGTACAATAAGATATTTCGAAGACGATAATCGCTAAAGTCGATGCATTTACGTAACGTTTATTTCGATCGATTTCCGAAAATTCGTTCATTGATTTACGATATTTGTAATTCTATTTATTACTTCGATCTACTTTTACACGAGTTTGCGATTAATTTAAATTTGAATAGTCAATAATATTATAAATTTCGTTGATGGATGTACATTAATTTATCCGATATTTAATTTTAAACTAGATCGTGTCCTGTATTAGTGTGTAAGACAGAAAATGGTATTCGTCTTGTTAACATTAAGCTGTCTGAACGTCGAGCGTATTAATCACTGTCACGATCACTGCCATTATGCGAGTGGCGATCGAATGTTTATTTCTCGCAAACATGTGGCGGTGATGATATACAGGGTGTTCGACTACCCCTGGAAAAAATTTTAATGGGTGATTCTAGAAGACAAAATAAGACGAAAATCAAAAATACCAATTTGTTGATCGAGGCTTCGTTAAAAAGTTATTAACGTTTAAAGTTCAGCCTGTAGAACGACAATAGCTAGTGGTTCTCACTCACAAAGTTGTAAAGCTGTCGATACGTCACAAAGTATAGTTTTTCATGCTGAGTGAGAACCACTATCGCGCGCAGGTTTCCTATCTACAGGCGCAACTATAAACGTTAATAACTTTTTAACAAACCATCAATCAACAAATTAGTATTCCTGATTTTCGTCATAGTTTGGCCTCAAGAATCCACCATTAAAATTTTTCCCAAGGGCGATTAAACACCCTGTATTTATTGTACACTACGATTAGTTTGAAACATTAGCTTGACATCTTTTATACGATAGAGTGTAGAGTGCAATACGCGCACAGTGTAAATCCTATAATTGAGAACACGGATAGGTATACAGATCCGCGTACAAGGAACAATTAAAAGAACAAACGAATTGCTAAAGAAGAGGACAAAACAGCATTCGATTCGATTCTATTTACATTATAAAATAAACGCCGATTCGTGTGTGTCAAATTATATATCGTCTAGGACCAACAAACGAGAGATTGTTAGTCACGTGAAATTCTATTACCGCTTAATAGTGATCAAATTAAGTAATGGTTTATACACTGTTTATAATATATACATATATGTTTCATACGATATATTTAGCTGTAACTTCGATCAGATAAATATAACAACTTGAGTAAACAATTGTCGCAACTTATACGCGCGACGCGTGCTTCAAATTCATCATTGTCAAACGAAAATGTTAAATACGATTTATCGAACGCTGCTGGTCAAAATTATTGCTCTCTAAAAATTATAAAAAAAAGTTTTACAACAAATACTAGCCTTTTTAAACTAATTACGATATAAATTGTTAGTGGTTGCTAGTGTTAATTTCTCGACTGTAGAATATTTTTTATTATTTTTACATATTCGTTTTGGTCAGCAGTGTATTTGTTTTTAATTGGTGGTTTATAGCTTGAACGGAAATATCTTCCTAAAAGTCACTTAACACAGCCATAAGTGCACAGAGAAATCATTAACCTTTTCGGTGCTAACGTTTACGTTAACGCTATAGCGTTCACCGATCGACAGAGCACTTATAAGCGACCACACACCCAAACGGGTTAGTTTTACCGATGATATTCAACAATATTTCATCGTTCAATCTTTGAATTCAGATTATTATGAAAGACGATGGGTAGGAAAGAATTATAATGCTATTTCGGTTCTTCGTGGCTGTTTCGAGAACCGAAATTGATGTTACAACAGTTTCCAATCCCTGCTTGCAAGCGATACACGTTTTGCACCGTGTGAAGCTTTCCGTGCTTACGATAGATTTCGCTTAATTGTTTACGAGAGTGAACGCCGTATCAAAGAATGCTATCCTATAAACTGTTCACTATATAAACGGATATATATACCAAAGAGCGTTAACGTGCAAGTACCTTACAGATCGTCGTGAAATAATTTGTTATCAGCAGTTGATCGACTATGATATTATATTTATACGCAGAGGAACAAATGTGAGACTAACGGGGATCTCGTTCGTAAATAAAGAACAAATCATTCAGTCCCATTTGTGTTCGTTTTATGGTCCATACAGAAGGTACACGTTTTTCTTAATTTTTATTTAATTAATCACACGTAAAAATCGCAGCCGGAGCTTATCCATATCTTTCATATACATATATTCTATAGTATAAAAAGAAAACTATCGCGCATAGAGGTGCATACTTTGTACAAAATTATACAAAAGTAATAGATATAAATCTCTGGTAAAATATATTATAAAAAAAAAAAAATAGTAAAAAATAATTCTTTACAAGTACCGCGAGATTAACGATTGTATAAGAAAGGTAACTTATCGTAATTCGGTTCAAGAAACGTGGACGTTACAAAACTTATAAATAACTTAACCGGTTAAACTCTAAGTTCGAAAGTACATCGTCGTGTGATAAAATCAGATTTTGTCCGCGCAAGGTACGATTGTTTTTAACAAATATAAGCGTATATGCAATCGCACGATACGCGAAAAACGATAAATTCATAATGCAGAATAATCGAACTCTGCACGGATCCTTACGAGCTACTGGTTCGTGGAAAAGAAGGCACAATGGCGTTACTCGAACTTGATAATGTTAATCGAGTATAAATTGTTCCCTCGAAGTACATAACGGATTAGTATAGACATTGATTCGCGTTAACGGATCAAGGACGGATTGTTACTTTACAGATTAATTGTGTCGAGATTCGAAAGTTATCTTTGTGATCGCGCTTACGAAATTCGTTCGAACGAGTGTCTACCTCTGGTAGAGTAACTTGTAAGCTACTAATGATACAATCGGTATTATCCACGCGATGCTTGGTCCGGAAGTAGCCGCTGGATTGCATCCATCGCCGGTACAGGTAAAGATGCAGGTTCGATAAGTTAATTTGTCTCCCTGCCGTTTCACGTAATCGCAATAATTCCCCAGATCCAACGCTGAACAGAATCGTTTTGTACCGATCCCACCTATTGTAACATACACAGGAAAAATGTTCTATTCTTCACTTCTATTCTTGAGTTATTTCAACGTAATTGCCACGCATAAGGGGCTGGTCAGAGATGGGCATAATTCTTATCCACAGAAAAATGTAAAACATAAACAACTTTGTTCATTATTATTCGAATAAAATTTTGCCCTTCTCTGAAGCTAGAACACATGCAATCGTGTGATTAAAAAAGCAGTGCGTGCAACTTTGATGTAACTATGCCATCCCATAAATAAAGAGCAACATCTACTTGATGCACACTCGACATCGACAACACTTAAATTCCAAATATAAGAACCTCCGTATAGTCCAACCGATTTGATGCAATGACGTGCATTGTAAACATGACTGCAGTTCGTTGGTATCAAGGAATTTATAACCAATTTGTCGTCTCCGCAGGTCAATTCCTCTTGCGACGTGCATTGATAGCAATCCAGACTCGTGGCTTAATCGATCAAGAAGGCATCGGTTAAAGCAGCTTCGTGTTATTGCACGCGCGTAATACGCTAGTTTCTTTATCGTTAGAGATCGCTTATGATAGCTACACAAGGATTCGTTTAAATGTCGGGTTAATAGCTCGTTTGTCGTTACGAATTAACCCGCCACAACCTCAAGTGCACAATATTAGATGTTATTCGTATATGCAAGCATGATAGAAGCATATCAGGCGCCTAGAAATTAATTTGAATCGAGATGACTCATTATACTTTGACTACTCCTACATGCTTCTACTAGCCGATGCGAAAGGATGACTTCGGGTTAATTTCTACGTGAAGTGTTAAGTTTCCACAACCGATTCCCCCACCCATAACCAGTAACCAGATCTGACGATATTGTTTTACCCTCGAATCGACCCGTGTGCTTCACACAATACTGTGCACCGAAAACAGCATCGCAAGGTTCTGGTTCGATATCGATGTCGCTCGTGAGAAATTCGTTGCATTGGAAGGGATGCGAGTTGTTTGTGCTGATGCACTGATAGCATCGTAGACTGTGAACTAAACGAAAACACCGCGTCAGAAAATTACCAAACGAATAGTAAAAGAATGCAGAAATAAACGATCCACGCGGCCCGAACAAAAAGTAACTAAAAATCAGTTCGGCGCTTAAACTTCCTAAAAACGAAATTTCATGTCCCTGCTGCATGCATTTGAAGGTAGGAAACCATTACAATAAAACGAAATCAAGATTATCTAGAATTATTGTCAACTTTGTTCGACTATTTATCTGAAAAAAATATAACGATAAAATCCTGTAAAATAATGATTCATTATGAATAACGGAAGGAAACCTGTCAAAACAGACACGATAACGTCCGAACATATGATTTGTTATAGCGAAGAACATTTGATTTCTACAAAACAATAATTGACCTAGATTATTGCATTAGCGATCTGTCGTAGACTTTGAATTAATGGTTTTTCTTGTTGCATTATCGTCATACGTTCATATAATTTCATTCGATAGGACAGGGCAATATCACGCCAGAAACTAATAACTTCAAGTTTAGAAATCGACAGGCTCGATTGGCGCTATCGCTAGATCACTGTAAATTCAAGTTTTGCGACTATATTACTCGAAATTTACGTTTCACGTTTAAATTCGATCGCAAGTTTTGATAAAAAATAACGAAAAATTACAAATGCCCCGCCCAAAGGACGCCACGACGATATTCACGTAGTCTAGTTACGTGCATTAACCTTACCAGTTTCGACGAGAAGAAGTAATACCGCGAAAAGTGCGTAGCCCCTCGTGCCGCTGTTGGCGCCCATTTCGAAAGATCTTTTACGTTGTAGGTTACAGATGGAGCACTTTTATCAACGATACCGCGATCTCTGTACACGTTTTCCAAACACTGTCTCCACGAACAAATCACAACATCGCACGGCGATAACCTCTGCTTGAATTTCCAACGTCCGAGACAACAGGCACGACGACGCGAATACGACTAACTAGGCAAGAGAAGAGAAGGGATTACGCATACCACGAACCACGAGTAGCGCCCGAACTATACCGACTCTCCACGAAAACGAACGAATCCGTACGGTGAGATCTATAATCGATACCCGCCAATAATTTTAAATATATGAATTTATTAATGAATAATCTGCAAATATTAAAACGACATCGACATATTAAATTGTCCGTTCAAGTTTCTTATCATATTTGGCCATAAACATTATACTGGTGATAATTCAGTATTACTACTTTATTTTTGATGTTATGTATTATTTAGTTTTTTTCTTTTTTACATAAACAATGTAATATATGATGAAATTTACATGTGTACGGTATATTTATTGTATGTATACACATGAGAATATGAAGAAAGCGAAATACGTGAAACTAAGACTATGATGTAATCTCCCGTAAATTAATACCGATTACACAAGAAGACTTTAATTTTATATCTTTAATTAAAGAAACAAACATACCTTTAACAATGCCACAAACTCCTTAATATATTCTTTTCACGCATTCTAAACACTTTAATCACAATTTTCATGTTCAGTGTACATAATTTTTTATATGTAAACTATTTGTCTAAAAGAATCGTAAAGCTACAACCAATTACTAATGCATTGCTCTTCTGCAGCAACATGCTTTATGGATTTTAGTCTGGAATTTCGTTTGCCCGCTCGTTACTTATTAAGTTCTCCACTACTGTAGAATTTAAACTCCTATCTTTAGATCTGGAAGACTTTGTTTTAGTTTGTTCTACGCTTCGGCAATGTTTTTTAATCCTTTTAGGGGTTCCTTTCACGCTTTGCTTGGTACATAAAAATAACGATTTCGGTGGTAGTTTTGCAGTTTCCGGTATGTTGTTAGACGATTCCCCGACTTCCGGACGGCCCTTGTTTACTCTCGTAGAAACGATTTTCAATCTCTTTGCTCCTTGTTTTACGATCGCAGTTTCCTCAAAAGACAATGCCATTTTCGATAATTTGTTTGTTATCGCCAGTTTCTTACCCGGACGTTCTCTAGTTTCTCTCATTTGTGATCCTAAAGAGTCATCGATACACCCAAAACCGGAAGTTTTTAACCGATTCTCTGTAGACTTTAGAAACGCCTTTACAACGTCCTCTGATCTAATTGAGGGTATTTTTGAATTATTCCCGATGTTATTAACACACTGATTTTTTAACGGTCTACGATTTATAGGTGGTCGGGGTTTCTTGTTACTTTTTATTCTTTTAACTGCAGTGTAAAGAGACGTGCTGCGGCGAATGATACACGTTTTTTTAACAATATTTGTCTCGCTCTTCATTGAGTTTTTTGGCCCAACCGAAGAGTCGCTTATTTCAGGTTTAATTCCTTTTAAATTGTACAAATCTTGAGATATGATATTGTTACCATCCTGTGAATAAAAGCGCGAATTTCAATTAAGTTTTTGCTAACAAATATCATTATGTACCGTCAAAAGAGAATACAAGCAGATTGTACAAACATTCTACATTCTCACATTACTCAGCACATATCCATTAATTCATGATCAATGTAAATACCAATTTGTGAGAGAGAGATTAATTTCTTCGTGGTTTTTCATAATTTCCTATTCAACATTTTGTATCCAATATTCCAGACAAAACAGATTGCCCTTTGATTTCTACTTAAATATAATACACAGGTCAACAAAACATTTTCGAAAAAGATGTGTTTAATATTGTTAGAAACATATAAACAATATTATAATCGATGCAACAGTGGGACCAAGGATAAAGGGGAATAAAATAAAAATAAGGTAAAGAAATTATCACTAAAAATACTGTACATTTATTAAAACGGGACATGTATGTGTGCGTATCCATGGCGTATTATAATAGGATACATTGCAAAATTTTTATACATGAATTTATACATAATATTTTCAATTAATAACAGCATTTACATATAAATAATGAAGAGCATGACAATAAACATTGTATTGTTCTGAAGTTATACTCTGTAATTGACAATTGCTGCATTCATTATTCTTTGTAATAATAACAATTCTATTCAATAGTACAACACACATTCATATTTATTTTTTTTAACAGACACATATACTTGATACCTCTTTCAAATGATTAAAAAGTATGCAAGATATTTGGTTTCACTAGTTAGATTTATACAAATATTAAGTGAATGATCTAGAAAATCCATGATTATTGTCATTTATTCGATTAGTGACAAATTGAAGTAAAATTTTTCTAAACTTCAACATTAAATTCTGATTTGGAAATCTGCACATCTTTTATGAATAGACACCATCACCCAGAGACTTATGGTTTAGTCGTCTAAACCACTACTTTGTGCATTTCGCTAAAGAAATAGACATCATTAATTACACATGTGTATATGCCTTACTATCACTCACAACCATGAAATAATTTTTAAGTGCATGTAATACTACGTCAAGTGCACTTGTCTACTGTCATCAGATTCGTGATGCATCGAAAATTGATTAAAAAACAATAAATAAACGGTAAAAAGATATATTATTTGATACAAGTATAAGCATTAACATAGAGTAATGGATGCTCAATTAGCTCTAATGCAAAATGATATAAAATTTTACAGTCTTAACAATCTAAATGATTGCATTATTAAACAAAATTATGCAATATCAGGTTGCATAGGAATATTATATTTTTGTTAATAGAATAAACACAATATATAAGCTGTGTATATTTGCAATTTATATACACTTTGTAATTATGATTAAACTGTCTAATAAGTCTATAAAAAAACGAGTTTATAAACAGTTTTCATATAAACCTTTATACGAAAGTATACCAAATATTATTGTCATGCATACATATACATATATCAGATGGAAGACCCATTAGTATGACATAATAAAAATTTTACAAAATTAATAATAGATAGATATATAATAATAATAAATATCTAATATGCTGAGTTATAGAATTATCGGCGGTAAAAAATTTTTTTTGTCATCACAATGTTATAGTTCGATAAAATAAAAATGTACGTTTCTTGCAACGAGGAATCCATAATTTAACGATATTAAAATCAACTAATACATACAATTTGTATGTATATGAATCTCTCTCCCACATTTTTAATCAGCAACATAAAGTGCAACCTATTTAGGCACTAATGTGTCTTGGTAATTAATACACGAAAGCATACCAATTTAGTAGTTTTACAAATTAAGAGAGTACACACTGTTTTATATCAACGGCTGAAACTTCACTCTCAGTACTGACATCAAAATTTACCTTATGTAGAGATTTGCTGAATGGCGTTGAAACATTGTTCACATACGCTAATTTTAAAAAAGATTTTACACCCCTTAAAGAACGATACTGACTATTTGGCAGTCGGCTATTGGGATTGTTACTTGTAAGGTCAAGAATCGAGGGACCTAATGCTGCCCCAACCTGTAAGTACAGTTAAACACACCATTATTTACAAGATATAAAATAAGTATTTACGACACAAAGATTGCAAAGTATTTCACCGCTTCGAAAACTGCTGGTGTATATTTCGGTGGAACAAAAATAGGAGAGATGGTTTTATGAACACCATCGCGTATCCTTGTAGGGATTGTATTTACCAAACGTCCAGAATTGTAATTACATTCAAGCGTATAACTATGTATGAGACCAGTTAATTTATATACAGCTACGCGTCCTGAACCTTCCCTCGACATACCATCTCTTTTGTCTCTGTATAAATAAATTCGTTAAATGAAATGCAGAAATTCAAATAATTTTAATTTTATTAATGCTATTTACTTACATAATGTACATGTTTCTTTCTGTAAAATTACACGAGGTAAAATGAAAATTTGGATTGTTAATTGACATTAATTTTGGTAGAAGCATACACGTTATTGTATCTTCCGGATTATCGAAGTAATTGCCATACATAAAAACTCCCTTTTTTGAAGCATGACCATGGAGATCAATATATAAATACAATCCCGAATCCTCCTTGGGTAACTGTCCTATGCCAACAGCTGTATAAGTGTTTTTATCAGATTTAAGTTCTACCGAATTATCGCTTTCTTCTGTATTATTACACAAGCCTTCTCCACCACCTTCACATAATGTTGTATAAATAAATAAAAGAATTTTTGGGATCATGTTGAATAATACAATTCTAAATAGCATACCCTGAGGCATGTCTTCCAAGTTGGTTTTGAGTAATGCACATTCCTGAAAAATTTCTGGTTGATCTTTATGTTTTTCATCTAATGTCATAAGAGTTACCTATTGTTAATGTTACTGGTTAGTACTTGGTTCTCTACTTTATTATGTTAGAATAACATGCGAGTTAGTGTATGCCAATGAAATTCACAAAATACATAACATAGGATTACCGAACATTGTACAGTAGTGCCCATTAAAGTGTCCGCGCTCGTGACCGGCCGCGGTCACTTAAGCGGGCATGGTTATTTCTCAGAATTCAACGGAGATAAGGAAAAGAGGATAAGTGCGACTGAGATACAATAGCTGGCACCCAAAACCAAGAATTGGTGGGGATAACCGCGGGCATTTAAATGGGTAAATTAAACTGCGATCATTTAAGTGGACACTACTGTGTTTTCTATTAATTACCTGTTGAAGCAATCTTGTCGTCGTATCGCGTACTATATTCGCAATTGTACAAGAGGAATCAATAATGGTCAAAGTATTTTCTCCATTTTCGAAACCTGCATTTGAAACTTCATCCTCTTTTGGTAGTTCGTATGTATAATGATAATACCTTTAAAATAATTTTTTTATAATTACAAAAGCAAGATGTTAGGTGGCAGTGTTTTTTACTACCTTATTAAATTTCTTGCAGCATATATTGTTGGATGATCTTTTATAGAAGGATTAAGATAGACTCTGTTAAGATTAACTCCTCTAGTATCCATTCGATAGTGACCCCTGGCTACACCATCAGGATTGAGCATAGGTATCAGCTTGAACACGTATAGGCGACGGAGAGTTGTTGCGATTTGATCATCGCGATTTAGAAGGAAGTTAAGAAAGCCATTAAAAACGAAACTAGATGGTGTTTCACCTGGATGGACCCTGGCACTAATAAAGATTACCTGGAAATTATATCCTTATTTCCGTATCACGATAATTTTAAATAATTTAGTTTTTGTAGAATATTTATAATAAATGGCTATATACTTTTTTATTCCAAAATTTGAAAGGTCTTTCCTCATTTTGTTCAGGAAACATATTATTCAGTCTGTCTTCTCTCTCCGTTGATATGTTGTGAAATGAACTTATTGTTATAATATCCATTCTTCTTCCTTCTAAAGATTTTATTGCACACTCCCTATGATAATAAACATCATCTGCACATGTTATAGTCCGCTTTGCTATTTTTATGTCAATTCTTCTTAAATAGTTTTGTAGATCGGTATAAGAGAAAGGGTAAGTAAAAGCAAAATATGTAATAGCTTTAGAATTTTCAGGTGTAGAGTAAAGAAATGACAATGTAAAATCATTGCCTTTCTGATCCAGCTGAAATATTACGAATTTTTATGATATTCTGAAAATATGAAAAAAGTACTTAAAATTGTATCAAATAATTACAGAATAAGTAGGTCTTTCACGAATCCGTTCCCAATGCATATGACCAGGAACAACTTTAAAAACTGGACACATTCCTTGGCTAAACATTTTAACTTGTTTATTTAGGTTGACTATATTAAATTTGACATAAACTCCTGGAGCACAAGCTTTAACACCGAAATAAAACCATGTCCTGTTGTTGTTTTGAAATTGTGTCCCATGACAATCGTGTTTTGTCCATAAGTTAAATTCATAATCTGTTGCATCATCAGAGGATGAGCTTTTACACGATTTACTTTCTGTTTCATTTCCATCTAAGGAGAAATAAATATTTTATGATGAAATTTTGCATTGTTGCGTTCAATGAGAAATATAGGTCAAGGCACGAATATAAGATACCCTTTTCAGATGTTTCTGGTACTTTGACTAATTCAACCTTGGCTAAATTGGCTGAATCAAAATTGTCGTAAAACACAAAGTCTCCACAAGCAATAAAGTCAGCTGTATTTGCCATGCTGTGTCAAAGGTTATAATATCGTGTGTAAAATATTTTATGAAATTTTTTACAAGTTTGTAAAAAACATGGTACTTCTGAATGTATATAAATTCGTGGTATTCGTGTTTTCAATTTCTCCGTTATTAAACCCAATTTTCCTCGTTTGTAGTGTTGCTATCATATTAAAAATGTCATGTTTGACAGTTATTCTGAAATTGAGACAATTTCTGGCTTGGCCTTTACTTTATATTACGAAACGATTAATGAACTTTAGAATCCAGGCGAATGTTCTTCTACGTGTATTTTTGTTTAAACAATACACATTAAATTATGTTCGCCCAATATTTCCACAAGCATCATCATTACAGTTAGTGCAAACATGTTTGTCAGTTCACCATAACTTTTAGTATATCCGAACGACTACTATTTGTAACTAATTATGACAGAATGACGAGTGTCACCATTTATCAGTTGTTTTAATCTTCTCTTGGTATATTTACGATAATGTTAATAGAGTTTTTACATTGATATGTTACATGACACTTGAAATTAACACGAAATTTCGTTTAACTTTACAAAATGTTACATTTTCATAGAAGACTCGAGTTCGACTCTTGTTGTGCGTTATATAACTCGTGTTTTTTTATATTTTTAAATGTTATTTATACCTAAGTTACACGAAAATTATAGGGTGCTTTTAAGGAAACGACGAATGTGTGCTGAAAATGTACTGATCGAAAATTCAATCTCTCGACGAATCACCACACTGTAATTTAATGTAATACTATTTGAAATGAAATATTGTGCTAATCGACGAATATATAGGCTTCCTTCCTGTTCAAAATTATTACCGATGGCATAATTTGGCACAATACTCTGATTATTACGTACTCGTTTGGACCAGTTGAATCTAAGGCGCGAAAAGAAATTCCCAATCAAGTGTTGTAATCTCATATTTTGTTAACATAAGCATATTTATTTTGTACAATCAATTATCGTCTTTATATTCTACATTGTCTTTATTAAAAGATCATAGTTGATATCATCTAAATTATCGATACATCAACTATGTGGTGGCCCTGCATGCAGTGGTAAAAAGGAACCATAACTCATCGACAAGTAGCGTACTCTGCCTTTTACACAGGCAGTGTGAATACGAATTAAATCAACAAAAGTCGATTAAATCATTTCTGGAGTGCACTTCGGTGATTGTGATTGATTACATATTGCGTAGTTATTGGATAGAATTCTTGTCGAATTTAAGAAATTTGCTTTCTTTTAATTATTCAAAATGGCGGGAAGTGTAAGGAGGAATAGAAGTCGACTACAGAATGGGTTCTATTATGTACTTGTAAGACGTAGTACAAAGTTAACCCGATTACCTGGGCTATTCTACGAAACTGAGAACCGAACCAGGTTCGGGTTAAAAGCGTTAATATTTCCTAGATAGTACACTGCTTTGATAATTCCGCGGAACATTAGTGTACCGAAGAACACCGGTCAACAACCATCGTTTTGAACAATTTCAAACGATAATGAATTAAAGATGGCGACTATCGGCACATCGACGTTGAATGTGTGTGGTACCCACCGACACGTACCAAGTGTGTGAGTACTATCGTCTGGTGCCACCTACCAAAGTTAAGCTAACTAAACGAACGCCAGTACATCCACGCTTGGCCCCCCTGGTATAGACGATGCACACTGTCAATGGTTTGGCTCGATCGTGCTATGCACACAAACAAACCGTCCATGGATGTGCCTCTACTCACACCTATGCGAAATCTCCTATCATAAGAGCCACGAGCACGCTGTCGTAAGGTTCAGATTGTGCTAAGCAGTAGCTCCGAGTAACACAGAGCCTGTCCAGTGACGTTTCATCTGCTTTTCACTTCGAGTTTGCTCGCACTTACTTACGTGGCGTGTACTCAACGTTCGTACAACATGTGCGGTGAGTAATAACAATTTCTATCTAACGCGTATACCTTGCGATTCATTTACCGTACAAATCGTCGGGATCGCTGGATTCTTCGAAAGGGAAATCACGAAGGAAATAGCGTACATTTGTGTCCCCATGAGAAGTTCTGACAGGTCAGAGAGCGTCGCGTAACACTCTCTGTCGTTCTATTGACGCGCTACCGGCGCGTTTCGTTCTCCATCGCCGTTCGATTTAACATCTGGAACATTTAAGGCCGTGTATCCACTTGCCGCGCAGTCGCGAACTGCAAGTGAATATGCGGCCTGACAATCGCGTGGCAATTCAAACGATGTTTAAAGCTGCACGCGTATTTAACACTCTAGGCGTTCACGGGTTTTTAATTTGAGGCTTGTTAACGAAACTAATATTGGGCACGTTTCGCGTGGTTTGTTCTCCACTCCTGGAACGATAAAACAACGAATCTAGAAGGGTTTAGATTCCGCGATGTTATGATTGAAACTGCATACATAAAATACAATTTATATTACTCATTTTGTATTTATTTCATTGTTTCTTTTATTAGAACCACACATACGGGTACTCGAAATTTCGGGTCTCGAGAAATCGGGCGTAGCCCGATATATTTTTGCGCGCCCCAAACGCCATTAATCCATTGTACCTAATTATCATTAAAAGCAAATGTTAGAACAATGAATGACGCGGGAACGCATCCAGTACGATTGTTAGTATGCAAGGAGCGTATTCTCACTTTTGGTGGTAAAGTAACGGAGTATAAGAAACGATCGAGAGTAAAACGTTGTCTATGTTGAAGCACATAGTTATATCAACGATCAAATAACCGAATCCGGTGTGGCCTGATAACAACAATATTTTGGCATATTCCACTAACGAGAAAGATATAGTTATTATTTTCTTCTATAATAGTATTAAAGGTGCGTAGGTAGAAGTGTATTGTATCGTATTCGGTTCTGTTAATTAGTTCTGGGTTAAGTTTAATCTTATCGTGAAACGTGGGTACCACGGATACACATGCACGCGTCAATAATTAAGCAAACAAAAGTATAATTTGTCATATTCATTCAGACATAAAAAAAAAAATCGATCAGAGCTGATAGATAACAAAAAAGTATTACAAGCGCTAGTTTTAATCAGTTTGAGCTTCGTATAATTCGCGTCATAGCACTCTCTAATCCTAGTTCTTTCCCTACGCGGTAATGCTTGCGACATTGGAATTTCTTTCTCTCGAAATATAGAAAGCTCCGATTGGGTTCTATCAAAATTTGTCATAAAGACTTTGTAAAGGAACTCGTCGAAATGTCACGAAGCTAAAGGGATTACGAAAGTTTTTTGCGTCACTCGGTCGCGGTGTAATACGGTGATTTTGATCATTCTCGCCGCGGCGAAAGTCAGTCTCCGGAGAGTTCGATTCGAAGAAAGGGAATTCGAAGCGTTCGTAACATTCTCCCGCTGCTAAACATCGATTAAAACCGTGTAATCGAGAAGCAGCCACGACTTAATTCCGTATAACAGCTTTAAGAAGCTTGAAAATCAAGCACAAACGAAATGCTTGTTTTATATGCGTATCTTTACTTCTAATTATTGCAGATCGTTTGTACGAATCTTTCACAATTTATTTATTTTGCATTTTTTTTCGATCAGACGCGGTTTTTCTTGTATAAATTTACCCAGACAATGGGAAACAACAGGTAAATTCGAGATAAAGTTTTGTTTACCGTCGAGAGCGAAAGACAATCGTCTATGTCGGGACTCGTGCACATATATTTGCGAATAACAATGCTCGATTATATCTCTGAACCGTCGAAAGCCGTTTGCAACATTATATAATGACAGTAAACATAGCACAAAAATATATAGTAAAAAAAGGATGTATGTACTTGATATGCTCGATCAGTACCCCGATTGTTCAGCTGAACTGTTCGTATATTTACACAAGTGTTTATCCAGCGATAAAAAAAAAAAATCATTCATGTCGCTGACCCGTGAACGATTAATATGTTTTTTTCCCCCGCCGCGGTTATATTTCCGCGGTATACGATTGACTATAAAACGCAAAGATTAATGATACGGCTCGGTGTATTGTTGCATTGCATCCGCAAATATGTTTTAGATTTCAGTTACCAGGATCCAAGCGCAAATTCACTTTTCGCGAATAAATATTTACGAGCATCACGCGGTCGGATGCATATTCATAAAGCGTTAGGGAAGTAAAACATTTCAAGAATCTCGTTTTTTCTAAACTTCCGCAAACAAAAGAATCGTATTTAAGGCTTCGAATCAGATTCGAAGTATGTAATACGTTTTCTCGAAGCGTTCGAAATCCCAGCGTTACAGCCAGCGTATCCGATCCGATCTTCACTATTTCGGGGCTGCTGTCTCGGTGTGTAGTTTTAATTAGGTCACGCGTTCCATCGACGTTTCGACGTTGATTCCAGACACGAACGCGTTTTCCGGACACGTGCACCCATCCTCCAGGTTTCCCTGGAACGATCGAGGCGCGAGCACGTCGGTCAACGACCCGCGTGTTTACCTCCGGATGTTCAACATCCCGCGAACACCAAACGAATTTGCATATCATTGCATCTGGAGCCGTAACCGAGATTGGATTTCTTTTTTCCCTCGGCCTTGGATTCGCATTAGCTATTCAAGAAAGTTCGCGCCGTTTCTTTCGGCTACTTTTTCAACCGAAACGCGGCGATTTTCTTTGAAAAACGGCCGTTCACGCTACAGCGAGGGCAGATAGATAGATAAATCGGTTTACCACAGTGGTTTTCAAACTCTCTGGAAGGTCTAAAATTGCTCTACGTTTCCTTAGTATCATAACTATCTCTCTGATCTAATAGAGATCATCCAGCACCGTTTTCTTCCGTATATTTGTCTTAAATCATTGATAGATCATTCATTAATGTCAACAAGTTCTGCGAGTCTCTAGATTCAGCATTTAAGAGTCACAGTTTATCGTCATCCTTGGGTTAAGTATTGCAAGCTTTCTTCTCACACATATGTGTATATTTTTAGATCAACTCGCTAGTCTTCTACAATGTAAGAATAACAATAATAATGTTAATACGCATATGGTAATAGGCACAGGTGGTTTTGACCTGCAGTGTTAAATAGATGTCGAAGCAGAGAAGAGGAACCTTTTTTTTTGCAATCGGGGGCAGTATAATGTGAAAACTATACCGGCGTTTGAATATTTTCCGATCGTAGCCTGCATTCCGTAGAACTACGGAAGCATACGAGGCAACGATACGTTCGAACGGTAACAGGATTGCAACGTGTTGCAACCGCGTGACTCAACGGTCCCTGCAACATTCTCAAAGTTCATCGAAAGTTTACCGTAACGAAGTAGCTAGGAGCCAGGGGCAGGGGGTATGCTTTTTTGTCTGGTCGTCGACTACGGGTACAGTTCTAACGCGGGTAGACACACAATAGCGTCTAATCGAGGTGGACTATCGACCGAGACACGGGTAGACGTCGCGACCGACGAGTGAAAGTTTCCTCGACGCGTGACGCCGCGACGCGAGAAGGTGCAGCGATACGGGGACAGTTACACGTGACATTTAGACGTGGCCCCGCGAAACACGCATGCACGAACACAATCGTTCGTCCGTCCAGCATGCAGGATCCTTTCTCCGGAGACACCAGTTTACCTTTACCTTCCTCTGCAAAATTCAAACTCAGTGGCCTCGCCGGCAGAACCTGATTTTTGTTTACGTTTACGGGATCCACGGATCAGCCAGAATTTGCTCAACATTTTCGTGACGCCGAACAAGAAATCCTTCTGTCGAGAAATTCTCAGGAATGTCGTCTTCTTAGATTCCCGTAGGTTGCCGCTGAAAGGGTCGAATTCTCGATGAAATTTCATTTGAACGAGTCCTATCGATTGGTTACTGGTCGATTGCTCACCTGGTCTTCGAGTACTTCACCTTTTGGCGTAGCTAACACCAACTCGTTTCCCATTCTTCACGATCGTTCATGCTCTTCTCTGTCGAGTCATCCACTGTTTCAAATCTCCAACATCTCTGTTTTTTCAACCCCTAGCTGAACGACGAGTTCTTGATGATTACTAAAGATCGTAATTGGGAATCAAATAAACAAGTTTCTTCCATGTCTCTAGAATTAATGGAGGTATTTAAGAGGCGGACGAAAAATTGCGTTTAAAAACAAAAACATAAATAGCCGGACCAATGAGGAATGTCGAAGATGTTCCTGCAGGATTCCATTCCTCCTTTCATTCGTCATCCTTTTTTTATCTCTACGTGTCATCGTCTCCTACGATCTGCGCTTTGAAACGAAAATCGTTTCTGTATCTCTCGTTCTCTCGTAAGTGGAAGACACGTTCAAAGTTCCCGGCTATTTATTACCATTTGTTCGCTGCAGAGAGACGCTGTCTTCTCTGTTTAGCTCGATTAGCGATAAATAACGGGCGAGGAACGCAGCCGGTTGCCGCAGGAAGTCGATGTCTTTCGAGTTAACAAATTTTAACAACGTTTCTTGCTTTCTTCAAAACTGGAGACTTTCGAACCAATGCCTGGACTACTTTATCTTTAGAATTTCTAGCACGTTCTAGAATATGGACCAGGCCAATGGTTCTTGACTTTTCTTATCTATGAACGTAGATACTGAGTCGTGCTCAGGTGGGATTAATTCGAAATAGTTGATTTTCAAATCTAATCGACGAATTTTGGTGTCAGTGGGTCGGAGAAGGGCAAGTTCGTCGCTCGTTCATCGACGTCCAAGTCGTTCAACTCTGTTTTCACGGACACGAAACGCATCCCAATTAGTTCGTCGCGGGCAGAGACCGTTTCAACGGCGGTGAGATCGATAATAATCGTCGATTTCGTTCCTCGTTCGAAACTTTTGAAGCTTATCCCTTTCGATCCACGCTATGGTTATCGGATTATCGTCAGGTTCCGGTTAACGTCCTTTCAATGTTGAGATTATCGCGTCAATAAGTTGCAATGATAGGGGTGATTGTAGAACGTATAATAATCACTGGTAGCTCCGTTATCGATTGTATCGAACGTAAATCTGTAGAAATCGAAATCAGCTGGATTATTAAAGAAGGTCTTAATAAAAGCTTATCGCGATCTATCATCTTTCTTTCCGTTTTCTCTATACCCTTTAACGATCATTTTTCTTGATTCTGGTGACGACAATGTGTGTCTGGCGATTGTTCTGAGGCTTTAGTGGCGAGATGCCGTTATCGCCGGGGAAGACAATTCGCTTATCAACGATTGCAATAGAATCTATGAGCAATGCGATTGTTCGATCCTCTATTGGCAGGTCTCGGCTCGAAATCAAATTACATTCGTTAGCCGCGTGGTCACGCGTTAGTATTCTTTTTGCAAGTTGCGTAGACAGTGCACATTCTGTGGCTTTTGACCTCGACGCTTTCCTCGATTTTTTCGTACTGGATAACGATGGGCGGTAGGTTCTACGGTCCAGAGATGGGCAAAATTCTTAACTCGATCACAGAATCACTTGTCAAACTTATCTTCTTCTTGCTTCGAGCACGCAGGGTGTTCACGCTATCACGATCTTGTCAAAAACTATTCTAATTAGAAACAAATGAAGCAGAACAAATTTTTAATTTCTTACGATTCAATTTTTTAAATGGAATGCCATGTATTTTTTTACGCTATCTTGAAAGCATTCGAAATAAAATTTTGCCTCCCTCTGCTGCGATCAGGCATGAAATAACAATGTACGTACGTCGACGAAAATGCATTTGAAGATTTATTATCGCGTTGCAAAACGATCGAATATGAATGGGTTAGGGACGCTTTATTGGTTCGCTATAAATTCGGTGCAATTCGCGTTTCCATCGTAAAATCATTTCCGGTGATAAGGACGAAGGAGATTTAACAGTACGATATTTAACTTTTAACCTTGATGGCAAGACCTTGCGTAGAAATAGCGTACTTTAGCTTAAGGTTGCTTGGACGCATACTTATTATTCTACGTCTCCGTTTTCCCTAGTTCTGGATTAACCTGAATATACAATGTAAAAGTGTTGCTTGGTCTAAGGAGAAATAAGTTCCACGTTCTTGACCGACGATTCGTGTCAACTTTCTTAACTCTCTATAACCCAAATTATATTTTGTTTCCGCGAAAATTGTTTCATTGAACATGCAATTGCGAACTAATTAAAAATGGATTCCGGGTAACACTGTTGTCTTGTAATATTGATAAAAGGATTAAATCTGACGTAAAAAAATGTATAATAGATAATGGATGTACAGTTTTAGAGTCGTGTTAGATTATAGAGAATTAAGGTATTAAGTTCACATGCGTCTTCTTATCGCTTCGCATAAAAATAGTAGATATTTTCTTCTTATTTTTCAAAACATAGATTTCAAATCGCGTGGTAGGAGATTCAAAATCCTTAAGAATTTCGATTCGATAGATGGAAAATGATGTTTGTGATAGAATTCCCTGATGTAATCGTAACGTTAAAGCCTTTCTATCGCTAACGAACCGAGGACACCGTGTTTAAAACACGATACTCTTAAATTCCAGCGCTAAAACACTATCCCCGATTGAATGTCCGTATCGAACGGTCGTTGAATCGCAGGTAGAAACGCGACAGCGACGGAATAAGGACGGTTGTAACGTTAGACGTCGTTCTAGCGCTTATGGTTGTCGCAGCGCGGAAAATTGATACAATATCGACGGTGGTCGCGGGACGAAAACCGGCGGAACGAGGTTCTAACGAGCATTTCGTCCGATTCACACGCACGCGCGCTTTTCCTTTCACCATGTGTCGCATGTGTCGCGAATTACCAGTCCCACCCCCGTCCCCCGTTTCCCGTTTCCCTCCCCACGCCTCCTCGTGGGTCCGTTCGTGTGGGCCAGCTCACGGGCGACGACTTTTTGCATTTTTGCAATGCCATGCGGGACCTCGAACGCGTATCGACGCGGATATTCTTTCTCGCGAACGAAACGAATCTCATTAATAGCTCGCTAATTACGAATAAAGCCACCCACAAGGCGAATTTCGAGTACGAAACAAATTTGTCGAGTAAAACGGATCTGATAGAAATAGCTCGCTGGCTAAATTCGTTTCAGGGCACATAGAAGGTTCATCGAATATACATTGCGCGGTGTCGGCCAAGGGGTGAGAAAGAACGGCGCGACGTATCGATAAATCGAATCCTTTCCGCGTTTTATTGTCGGCCTTCGAACGGCGAACGCGGGAGGGAAAAAGTCGAGAGGAATAGAAAAATCCGGTATCGGTTAATCGTCGGGATCAACATCGAAGGTCCACCGTTTTCTTTCCCTTCCAACAGAGTCCAGTAGATCCCCGTTGAAACGCATTATCTGCTACTGACCTTATTTTTTAATTAGTAGTCCACGTTCGTGACCACGGACCATTTACTTAAACAAGCATTTTCGGTTTCCACGTTTCCATCACGCGAGACGTAGTTTTACACGAACCTTCCGCATTCTGTAACTCTTTCTTCTTGTCCGGAGCTTCCTAAATCACATATGCATACATTAATAAGTTAATCTACTTAACATCGTTCAAGGTGAATCGTTTCTATTGCACAGGAATTTTCGCGTATCTGAACTACCTGACGCCGAAAAGCAGGAAGGAAATTCTGGAGTTACTGGTTGGCGGGCTTAAGAGATTGGAGTATCGAGGCTATGATTCAGCAGGTGAGAATGAGTCTAGAAAATTTCGATTATCTCGACTTCCGAGTATCGGGGGAAAAATGGAGAACAGGATGTGGCTTTTAAAATATCTACTTCCGTTACAGGCGTCGCCCTTGACAGCGCCGACGGCAAGGATATCTCGATAATTAAGAAGCAAGGAAAAGTCAAGGCTCTCGAGGAGGAAATTTCTCAACGTACGCATACCCTTGGTGTCTTTCTATTTCTCGAATTCCCCGTTCACGTTACTATGTTGCATCAGTCTCTAATACTTGTCCAACGTCACTAGATTATTTCCTATCAGTGTCACGTTGTATGCTATTACTATTGCAAGTTAAAATTTACGCATTGCACCCGCAGATAATGAACTCGACTTCGAATCGAAGACTATGAGCCATGTGGGCATCGCACACACGCGTTGGGCGACACACGGTGTGCCATCGGAAGTGAATTCCCACCCTCAGCGGTCAGACACCGAGAATGCGTTCTTGGTGGTGCACAATGGTAAAAACCAGACAATAAAATCTAGATAACGTTATCGCCGAAGCGTCTTTAAAAAAAAATCTACGCTGGTATTTAATCGAACACATAGACCAACAATCGAGATTAATTTTTCTCCAACCTTTTATGTGTAACGCGGCTACGTTTGAACTATCGAAAACTATTGTAAACTAAAATCGTCATTGAACTTCATTATCTTTTTATAACGAACATCAACAAGCGTATCTTATTGATACCAGCGACAACTTATTTCCGGTGTTGTTTGACATATCGGTACAACGTGTACGCGATTAGAGTGTGACGTTAGATTCGTCCAATCGGTAGTCGACGTTAAAGAATAATCGTAACCGCGCGATTGTACGACAGTTCCTTCTGTAAAGCCGCTTGCATTATTTGCGAAGGTATCGTGACCAACTACAAGGAAGTGAAGACGTTGCTTCAGCAACGGGGGTACGTCTTCGAAAGCGAGACCGACACGGAAGTAATTGCGAAACTCATTCACCATCTCTGGGTACAGCATCCGGGTTACTCGTTCCGCGAGCTCGTCGAGCAAGTTGTCCAACAATTGGTGAGCGTCACTTTGAATAACAATGACTCCCGACAAGAGTACAACGTTCCATCGAGTACGCCTTCGGACAGTTTTAACGCATGGCCGTTGCATCGAACCTAAAAAATAAAACCACCTAAATGACTATTCGATTGTTACTTGTAATCGAACCGATTCCGAATTCCAGGAAGGCGCGTTCGCTCTCTGCTTTAAGAGCAAGTATTTCCCAGCCGAGTGCGTGGCCACGCGAAGAGGATCGCCGCTTCTCGTCGGTATTAAAACGAAAACAAGATTGGCCACCGATCATGTGCCCATCCTCTATGGCAAAGGTACATCGATCGATCGTGTTTCGTACGCTCTGCGATCGACACGAGTTCGTTAGAACTAATAACGTGTTAAGGAGAAAGGTATAAATTGGTGAACTTTCGGAGAGATCACAAGGCTATTTCCGGGTGACTAGGGCGCCCAAGGGGTAAATTAATAATGCTACCAACGGTATCGGTGTTCGCGAAACGGAATACGTTGCTTCTACACTTCTTTAAAGGGCGAAGGCGAGGTACTTATGACACACGGTCGTTAGTTATACCCCATCTCTCCTTGCAAGGAGGTTGGTATAGCAGTCGCTGGGAATGTGCAAAAATACTTATGGTTTTTCATGCACCAGTGGCAAGGAAACTAATTGGGTTGTTCGAAAAGTTCGTAGCAAAATTTCCACGACATCCTCGTTACATCCACATTAGGAATTCAGCAAAGACTTAGGTCTTCATTCTATCAAGATTCAGTTATCTCAATCCTTTGTACCCATAAAAAATGACTAATACGAGCAATGCCACCCTTCTTCCTACTCCTTACTCCTCTTCTGCTAAAATACAACCGTCAACACGAATGAAAACTGATAATCGTCAAGAGCTTCATCAATGCCATCCGTTAGAAACGCTATGCACTTTCTGAACAACCCAATATTAATAGCATGTGTTTACCGTAATCTTGAGTTGTAGCTCATTCTAGAATAGTTCATGTTTTGTGAATATTTTAGAACTAACACATTAAGAAACATCGTTACCCCACCTACCTTGTGCTCTTAAATGTTTGATAGCGAAACGGGGGCTAAATGTGGGAAAGTTTTGTTCGGTAACAATAATTAACTAACGAACGATACTAATACCAAGTATCTTGTTTACGCCAGAAGTATATTTCTTGAGAAATATTTAACAAAGAGTTGGATACTTTGTCCTATAGCTGCTTAAATAGAGTAGCCAATATCTACCTTTTAAAAATAATCTTCGACGTACCCAGCACGTTGTTAATACAAGCAGCATGTATTTTTTCTTTTTTTTTTCACGTAATATAACATTGTAGTTCTTAATTTAAGTTATATTTGTTAACTATTTTCTCGAACGTTAACAAATAATGGCTGCATGTAAACTTCCTTGGTAATTCAGTTTTAAATAGATACTACATGATGTTTCTTTTGCATGATCACCTACCGGTTATGTTCTTCTTCGACTTTTCGTCTCGACAGATGAACTTCCACGTGTAAACAAAGGTATATACACTACTCTACACTTATCTCTCTTCTCAACACTGGACCTTTCGTTGTAGTAATTCGCATCACAATATTTTTGTACACCACGCTTCCTGTGGCCCCACGGAAGGTTCAGCGTTCCTGAAACGCATGCAAATCAATTACGCTTTGTACTTCTGATGAGTGTTTTACATTATTATTCGCTAAAATTCTTACGAACACACAACGTTGTACGATTTCATTTTTGTTAAAACATTTTCGTCCGAGTGTCTACCATTTCTAAATTCCTGTCTCTCATTTCGTCTTTGGATAACAAAATAACAAAGTAACATTGGCTTTCTCTCGTTCGCCCAATTCGATTTACATAAATTTGTTACGTTACGAAAATGTTCACCAAATAATAGTTTCAACCTGTTACCTGTTACTTAATAATTTTGAAAAAAATTGTGTTATAAAAGTTTTACCAAGGCCATGTTTCTGCATACAGTTAAAGAAAAAGTTGGCAACGCGTTAACGTACGATCAGAGTCCACACTCCAGGCGTGCGTTTCACATTTATTTTTTTTTTTGTTGCGTTCGTCGTTGTATATTTTGTATCACCATCGTCGTTGCGTTACTTGTTTTGCTAATTATTTTGTTTTCTTTCTCGTCTCTCCCTCCCCCTTCGCATCCAAATTTGAGCAGAAGGTGAAGCACCGACCAAAGGTAATACTTTACATTCGTATACGCTTCCTTCCGCTTGCGTTCCGCATGCAGTCACGCTTTACCACGCGCCTCCGGTTTGAATCTTACACACGATCGCTTGGAATTGGATCCGCACAGCGGTGTTTCATGACTGACGTTAAAGAAAAGCACGTGTCCGGTTTATCGCCACGCTTTCAGTACGTATACAAAATTGCGTTTCTCCTTTCAGCGCGGAAGCACACGTTCCAGGAAGCGCAGGACATAATCTCTAACACACGACTCTTGTACGGAAAAGTAATAATATTTTTTTCCTCTTCTCTATTTTAACAGGTGTTTCCTTCGTGAGAGGTCCCTTAGCTTCGAAAAGTATTCACGTCACCGGATACGGACAGTAATCGGATCGATACCGGTACTATCGACGATATTTAATTAATTTAATATCAAAGTACTCGATAGAAAGTGTCGATATGTGTAAAAATTTTATACTTTAGTGTAATATTATTGCTCTTATTAATTTGGTATCGACCCGATCGCTAGTGACCGGGGCTCTCGTAACGTCGATCGCCTATTTTATTAAGATCGCATTCATGTTCGTTAACAATTGTACTTCCTGGTCGCTTTGTTACTATCGTCGTCACGGCCATATAATTTACACGCCGCTGTCGTTCTCGTTTATCGTCATCACACGAATGTTTACTTACGTAACGTCGTCTTTCGATGCAGCCTCTCTTTAGATAGACAAGGTACAACGGACAATCAATAACGTTGCTATTATTTAATGCGAGCGTATCTATAATACGAACATTACTTATCACGTTTTCGGCTAATTTGGTGCGGGGGCTTGTAAAAACAGAAAAAAAAAAAACGGCACGACTCTTCGTGCCATTTTGGTGCATCGGTCACACCTCTTATCCAACGAGTCTACAGTTTTCTCTATAAATTGCTTGTGCAGAGTTTAAACAAGCTCGCGTTTCTAGCCAATCGGCGTTTATTCGATACATCGTTTCCGGCCTGGTCGAGGTCCTCGTAATTCAAAAGAACGAGTTACGATTCTTACCAAAGAGGATCTCTATTAGTCGAAAGCGTAACGATTTCTATCGAATGAGTTCGTTGGATAGAAACGTGACTTTGTTTAGTATTTTTATATTTCAGTTCGATAACCTTCGAACCGAATTCTGTACAATAACGTCGACAATCAATCCGGTGAATGAAAGTATTGAGTAATTGGTGAATATTGCGCTTGGTGTGTATCTTATTGAAATGTGAATTTGTAATATATGTATGCCGCAAAGCAATGGCCGACAACCTTTTTCTATAATAGTAAAAGATCTTTCTTAATTCTACTCGATGACCTAACGACTGTTGTAGTTGGTTGTTAGAACATATCGCGTCATTGCTCGATCCGCGGGGTCATAGGTTGTCGACCACTGATGTAACGTACAGATATTCGTTATACACTTCGACAGTGCGAAAAAGTTAATTTATACTTTTCGATAGACCATCGCCCACACGGCCGCAATGCCGAACTTCCGGTAATACCGCGCAGCGAGAGCACTTCCGAGTTCCAACCCTTGGAGGACAAAGAAGTGGAGTACTTTTTCGCCTCTGACGCCAGCGCTGTGATCGAGCACACGAATCGTGTTATATTTTTGGAGGTAGAACCCTTAGACTCTCGAGTACGATCCTAAGCTTCTGATCTAGAGCAACAACAAATTTGTTATTTGTAATTCTAGGACGATGATGTAGCCGCGGTTAAAGATGGTGCTCTCAGCATCCATCGCGTTCGTCGGTGCTTGGACGATCCTCACGCGAGAGAAATTACCACCCTGAAGATCGAGATCCAACAGATCATGAAAGGCAACTACGAGTACTTCATGCAGAAGGAAATCTTCGAACAGCCCGAGTCGGTGGTGAACACTATGAGAGGACGTTTGAATTTCCGGGACAACTCGGTCACTTTGGGAGGCATCAAAGTGAGTTCGAAACATCTTTGCCATACTCGTTCGTTTCGAAGTGCTGGTCTAATGGAGGTCTGTTATTAGGATTACATTCCTGAGATTAAGAGGTGCAGACGCCTGATGCTTATTGGTTGTGGGACGAGCTATCACTCCGCCATTGCCACCAGACAGCTTTTGGAGGAGCTGACCGAACTGCCAGTTATGGTCGAGCTGGCCTCTGATTTCTTGGACAGAAATACGCCGGTGTTCAGAGACGACGTGTGTTTCTTCATCTCTCAATCAGGTAGGTCTTTAAATTTCATTACTAGATCCTCCAAAGGGGTCAGAGTTTAGGTAACCTTCTGATTTGGAGTTGGATAGAAATATAATGTTCTTTCTAACGTTGAATCCTTGTTATTCTTTTGGCAGGCGAAACAGCAGACACGCTGATGGCTTTGCGTTACTGCAAAGGTCGTGGAGCTCTGATCGTCGGAATCACGAACACCGTAGGCAGCAGCATATGCCGCGAATCGCATTGCGGAGTTCACATAAACGCTGGCCCCGAGATCGGTGTGGCCAGTACCAAGGCCTACACTTCTCAGTTTATTTCTCTAGTGATGTTTGCTCTGGTCATGAGCGAGGACAGAATTTCCCTCGGTACTAGACGTCAACAGGTACTCTCACAATCCTGATCGATTGCTCGAAAATTAAAACTGGGGGGACCATTTATAATGCCTGGCCGTTTTCAATAGATCATCGAAGGACTAAAGAACTTGGACAACCTGATCCGCCAAGTTTTGCAGCTCGACGAAAAGGTGAAAGAGCTTGCTGCGTCTCTGTTCCAACATAAATCTCTATTGATAATGGGCAGAGGTTACAATTTCGCCACATGCATGGAAGGTGCCCTGGTAAGTTGCCAGCGGTTCAAGAATTTAATCATTGATAGCCAGGCTTTAAAATATTGATTATTAATATAGTTTGTCATTCGTTTGTTTCTTAACAGAAAGTTAAAGAGTTGACTTACATGCACAGCGAGGGTATCATGGCCGGTGAATTGAAGCATGGACCCTTGGCACTCGTTGACGACTCCATGCCCGTGTTAATGATCGTTATGAGGGATCCTGTTTACACGGTAAATAGAATAATTAATTAATAAATTACTGTTACTTTAACAGGTATATATAATGGTTTAATTGTTCTGTCCAGAAATGCATGAACGCGTTGCAACAAGTAACCGCGCGAGACGGTAAACCGATCCTCATTTGCGAGGAAGGGGACGAGGAGACCAAATCGTTCGCGGACAAAGTCCTCGAAGTGCCTAAGACAGTCGATTGTTTGCAAGGGATCCTTACAGTCATACCGATGCAATTGCTATCGTTCCACATCGCGGTACTTCGCGGTTGCAACGTGGATTGTCCTAGAAATTTGGCGAAATCGGTCACGACCGAATAAAACACGATCGACAGGGTACATCGGTGATTTATTTCGAACGCAGCATGCACGTGCTAATCGTAGAATTCGATGGAGGACCAGAGAAAATGTGATTTTCAAACTGCGTGGTGGTGTTCCCGCCACGACGAGAAATCGTGTAATTTTTCGTTGACTAACGCGTTTCTAAGTACTTAGCGATTATAGACTCGTATATGTATCAGAGTACGAACGTGATCAGAAACGAATGTTCCTTATGTTCGTACACGAGTATCATGCAGTTCTTTGAGTTAATCATTTGGACCATCTTTAGCCTTTATATCTAATCGTACAATAGGTGGTTAAGTATACCGTTAAAGATCAACGAGAACGTTCCTTGTTTGGGAAAACCATCAAATGGATTTCCCAATAAATGATTACAGTGCATTTAACGGTTGTTCATATTCATATCAATTAGGGTGGAATGAGATTGGTAACGTGACGCTTTTCAAATTACAGGCTGATGTGATGTTTATTTCGTAATTGAGCCGAATACGACTGTGGTGGAAAAGTTGTCATGTACGGAATCATGGAAATTACATAAGTTATTCTAAAATGTGTGCATGTGAATGTGTGTATTATGAATTCTCGATCGGGCGAGGAAATTAGCTACAAATGAACTTATGAATATGGGTGATCGCCATTCCCTTTACCTTCGTGAAATAACGATTATCATACGCTTTCAAAAACTTATATTTTGTACAGTATTTTAAAGGAACAGCCGAAATTTGATACTTTCCTTTTACTTTGTTAAGAACAGAAGTGTATTTATGAATTAAGTTACCGATATGGTATAATCATGTTCAACTTTAAGACTATATAAATACGAACTTTATTTATAAAACAATGCTTAGAATTCATAAAGTGATACATCATTTTTTTTAGTCCATAGATCTTGAAACGTTTTTCGTTTACTACATTGCAGAATAACGTTATTCAAGAAGAAATATGCATTTACTGAGATTAATCAAGGTGTTGGAAAACCCACCACCTGCAATTTTATCCATAAAATCGTGCATATAGGTTTCTGCTATATATCCAAGGATAAACGAACTTTTAATGAACATAAATATTCTATAATTTAAGTTACTATAACGTGTTTTGATGAATTGTGATTGTGTTGAGCAAAAAAAAAAAGAATATGTGTTGAACTTATTTTGATCTAGACAAGCACAAATTAAAAAAGAAAACTAAAGATTAGAATTGGTATGTAATGTAATGAATAAACTGTTCAACAAACAAATAGCAATGCTACTCATTGAAACTCATCAAATTTTGCAATTTTTTTATAGGTTACCATTATTACATACAGATAACCCATTGGCATCATTTACGTATATATACGGGCATATGTATTTTGATTAAATAGTGGTGACTGAGAATAATTTACTGAAATGTTAAGTTTTTTGCTATTTTTCAAATTTAATAAAAAAATATTCGGTGGTGAGGTCATATTTTTCATTTGTTCATATGATGCAAACGAGTTAACTAACAATGGAGAATCGAACGGAAAATATCTTAATTCATTGTTCAGAAATTATTTGGAATTTGAAATCGGATATTTATTTAAACTTACTTGGATTCTTTTGAACGGCACCAGCAAAATTTTGAAACTTCACGTTTAACGGTTTTCGATTGATGCTGTTATAGATAAACACACCCCCTACCGAGTTTTATTATTAGTATAGATTTCTCCAAAAGAGGGCGGTAAACGTCGAGATTGTTAAATAAAATTAATCGTGTTCGACTGTGGTTGCGCATTCTATGACCAAGCAACTACACCCTTGCCGATCAAAGTTACTAGATAATCAGACCAATAAACCCCATTTTTAACAATTAAAAGAATTAGTTTTTCGCAGTGTTGGCGACGCGTGGTAATAAACGTTGAATAAAACCTCATATATCGTGCGTGTATTGTTCGTCTTTTAATTTCTCGAGATCTATGCTCGGTGTATCGTTCTAATTGGACGTGCGCCAAAAAGCCGATCGAAGTGATACCGAAGCTACGTTCGGTCGGCGTATGCGCCAGTAGTAAATCTCGTGTTTATGTCGGACATGCGGAATCGAGTCAGTGCACGGTATCCCTTCTAACCAGGGACGGTTCGTAACTGCTTTCGGTGACCGAGGTCGCGAGGACGCAGGGAGAAACGACGACGACGACGACGCTCGTTAGCTCGATATCCCGAACGATTCGCGAACGAATCACCGTTTCGCGCGGAATATATACGTCGGTCGTTTTTCGATCGAAAGCACGGTACGCCCTTGCAAGAGAGCCCTCGTCGAAAATAAAGAGAACAAGAAAGGAAAAGAAAAGGGGAAAAAAGAGAGGTTAGAAGAAGCTAATAGAAAATACGGAACGGAAAGTAAATTGTACTGTGAAGCGTGATCTTGAAAAGTTTAGCCGCGTGATCGAGCGTAATTCCAGGTGCTAAATTTAAATGCGTTGCCTCGATCCCCTTGGGTTATTTCGCGCAGGTTGGCTGCGCTTGAACGGGTCGGTAGCGGAGCGCTATCGTCAGCCCTGCCGGCGGTGGTATCGGTGTTGACCACCGTTACCAGGTACCTATACGCGTCGTGGTTGTCGTCGACGTCGCCATTGCCGGCGGTAGCGGCACTCGAGAACACCGTCTGCGCCATCGCTAGACCAAAGGGTACCACCACTACGCGAGTCAGTCGACGGTCTGCCGGCGAGCAGTGCGGACGCGTCGTGGAAAGGATACGGTTGTCGTTGCCCGCAAATATTTGCTGGCACGACCGCGATTTGCCCCACCGTCGGTGCCACGGTAACGCGGACGGATCCCGCGGACAGAACCACCTCCCCTCTGCCCGGCCCGACGACCCTCCCTCCCTCGCGACGGTTACCCGGTGTTCTACCAGCGCCGCGGCGGTTCCCCTCTATTGATCGAATTCGACCTGCGAAGTTTCCCCTAGCGTGTGCGGTAGTGGCGGCCGGCAGTGGCTCTCGCGCTTACGTTCCTCGGTTAGTGCGGTAAATAATCGCGATACCTCGGCATGGCTACTCCGACCGCTTGCACGAGGTTCAGTGACAACTATGATCTCAAGGAGGAACTGGGCAAGTAAGTAACAGAAAATCGTTGTATACGCGATCGGACGAAACACGAACGAACGCGGGAGAACGAAAAAACGAAAAAGAGAGATCGGTTAACGCGACCGCGTGTCGCGACCGTTCTTTCGTTTCTCTTGGCTCCGTGTACACACACGTTCCCATCCCTCTCTCTCTGATGTTTCTGTCTGTCGTTCTTTCTCGTTCGCGCGTACTTGTGCACCTGTCCTCTGTCCCGTGTCGTGTTTTTATTACGCGCGAACTCGAGTGTCACGAGAGTTTCGTGCGTCGAGGCGTATCTAGTGTCATCGACGGCTCGTCCCACGTCATGCATTCTTCGTGTCGTGCAACACGAACACGCGTGCGATCGAACGAAAATCCGTTCGGTGGTGTTCCTAGCAGACGACGCCGTGTCGTCGGCCATGATTATTCTCTACGTATGCGGGGCCTCTTTCTTCTCTACCCGTTACCCCACTCTGACGGTTTATCGTTCTCTTTCTATCCGCCTTTCTCGTCGCGATCTCGTCGCCTCGCTCGTTCCCGTCCGTGTCTTTTGCTCACGCGGGAGACACCCCGTTGCATTTCGTCTATATTTAAGCGGCACGGCCTGTCTGCTCGTGGCTCAGCCTCTATATATAAAGCGTCAGGGCGCTTGCTATCCGTGCGTTGTGCCGTCGTGGTGGTCACACCGTCGAAAACGAGGTATCCGCATCGTACGCGGATCTGTCATCAAATCAATACGATGTCGTCGCGCCGCTTTTTACCTTCATCCCCCTCCTTCGACCTCTTTCTCGCACTGTCTCTCTCTCCATCTTTCTCTTCCACCAGCACCTTCGTTCCTTCCGTCTTCCTTACCTCTCGTTTCCCTTTAACGCGGCTTTCTTACGATTTCATCCTTTGCTCGGCCGGCCCCTCGACATTCTCCCATTCCTAGTTCAGCGACGGCAGGTGGTTGCAGCCTTGCATGACGTTCTCCCTAAAAGTCACTAGATCTCGCCAGCGCTTTGTTTTCCTTATGGTACGGTTCTCTACTTTCCCCGATGCGTTTATCGTTCGATCGATTCCGTCGTTTTGATTATACAGGGTCACGAGCCAGAAAGTTGATATCATTTAAGCGAAAAATGCAATTAGAAATACGAAGTTTTCTGACTCTGTGACACGTTTTTATTCGCTCTCGGTGTCACTCGTTCAGTAACCTCGATAACGCTAAATAATTATTATCTGGATGCAAAGTCTTTTCGGTTAAACGTTATCGTTGTAACGGATTTCGATTGTCGTTTGATACGAATCGATTTGCTGGAAATACAACGTCAATAACACACGCGGCTCGCTATTCGTCGCGAGTTTCGTGTTCTATAGGTGTCCTAGGAGGGCATGGATATCGGTCTCGTGTCACCCGTGACCTCGAGTGACCTCGTCTCGGAAACCGAGGAATTTCTTCGGCCGCGAACCCTGCAACACGGGACAGAAGGAAAATTTCTGACCACACCCCGCGTCTTTTTTGGTGAGTTTGTGCCACGGTCGATAAACACGGAGCGTAGAGCACGCGTAGAGCACGCGTAGAGCACGCGTTACACACAGTGTCACCTGCTCGCTACGACCACGGGCCCCCTCATTTGTTTGTTTCTCGTTACTGGCCGCGTTTCCGCATTACGTCATTAGTTCTCTGCTTCCAACGATAAACATCTCGCATATTTCCCCTTTCTCAAAACCTCTTTGTGCTCATTTTTACAACGACAAAGACTTGCGAACCCCACCATACTTTCCAAATGTTTTTAAAAATAATTTTTATAAAATTTGTTGATCGCTCTTTTCGATATTTTCAGTCCTGCGGTGTGGAACGATGAAATTACACGTTCGAATGGAAATCTGTAACCTTCTGTTCCACGTGTTTATTTGATATTGTAAATCTTACACGATAGTTCAATGTCTACCGAGCACGCAATAACATCGCACTTTACAGAGGTCGATGTTTTTACACAACAATCGTTCTCAACCTAGACTTATCTGCTCGCTCAGTTTTCAATCTGAACGTTACTTGCGAATAAATGGATATAAATGTTTGTAGAGATTGTTGCAATTTTTGATCAATAAAAGACTTTCTTTTCTTCTGATTTTAGTCACTCGATCGACGATAGCAGTTCTCCGAATCGTGAAATGGACCATTTTACGAAATGTCAATTTTACAAGGGTGATATTTATAGTGTGTTTCGTTTTATCGACCATTGGGAAGCACCATTGGTCTACCCGATATCTGTTTCCGATTTTTAGTGCTTCCAAACCGGTAGCAATTTATGGAAACTTTAGTTTAAACGGTTGCTCAAGGAGGTCTTCTAATATAGGACGCTGGAAGGAGTCGTCTTTTCCTGAATTTTTCTCCAAACATATTTTTCCCCATAAAGAAATATAAACTCGTATCATTTGTGAATAAAAAACAGGCAGTTTCGCTGATTTTTCCAATTGTACGAACCTAACATTCTCTCCCTGTATGAAATTTTATCTTAAGAATGACTGGTAGTTGATTTTCACAGGATTGCTCTCTTAAGAGGTCCGAGCAAACGGTTATGGTGGAATCGAAGGGGTTAATCGCGAGTAGGTTTGTTTCTCGAGGATGAAAACGGCAAGGACGATTCCGAGGTAACCGTTTCCGGTTGCACGCGCGTTCCATTCAGCCACCGGAACCGACCGAATCTAATTCGAACCACGGACTCGCAATTAGGGTCGTCTGATTTAGAATATTGTTCGCGCTTGTAAACACGCACGGACGATTCCCGTTTGTTTTCGAGCGCACGAAAACGGCACCCGACGTTTGAATTCCGAATAATTTCGGCGCCGTTCGACTATCGAAACGATATTTCCAGCGGTTGTTCCACCGACGGTCACCGCAATTTATAGTTGATCGAATCGAGGGAAGAAAATGAAACACGCAAGTTGACTATCACTTTTCATAGAGATTCCATCGATTCGATGGCAACTCCGCGCTGTGTAAATCGTTCGTGACGCTTCCGTTCCTCTCGGTAAATAAATAAACAAATTCTGGAGTGGTTGAACGGCGGTTGCACGAATTTCCGAGCGCCATTGCTGAATCACCCGACGAGGAAAGCCGCGGCAATAAACCAAAATTAGGAGTAGAACGGTAGCGTCGCTCGGCACGCAAAGTCGCCGTCGATGCTATTTTCGTTAATTATTCGGATATCCGAATAATTTCGGAAGGGCTGGGCAAACCGAGGGGAAAGGTTGCGTACGCGCGAGATCGTAGAACGCACGCGTGTGCGTGTGGCGTCCGTGGCCCGGCATAATCAAAACATTTTCCTCGCCTCCTCGTTGAATAATTCAACGTTCTGCGCTGGCATCTCGCTCGCGGCTCGCAAGGAACCGACGGATCGCCTCTTACCGTCTATCGATTTCGCATCGAACTCCACGAAGATACGACCAAGAACCAGCCGCCCCCGCTCGCCATCTTCCAGCCGGTCGTTTCGCGATGTTGATCGACGCGACGCTACTTCCGGCCCGGATTTGATTAACGATCCTCGCCGCGATACCTCGGAAATTTTCGTCCATGGTCGATGACCGCTCAGTTTCGTTCGTCTAACAGATAATCCTTTACTTATCCACGAGCTTTAACAGGTAGTCTTGCTATAGTTTTATTTCGGTGTTGAGAAAACGGCCAGTTTTAATCTCTTTTAGAAAACCAGCCGTGGATTGTTTCATATCGATGTTTAGAACATTCACAGTATTTTTTTTTTGAGCGAAAATAGCTTCGAATTGATCCCTTCAACAGAAATAAGGTAATTTTTGCTGGCATCGGGGTTCGCGAGGCGTCTGACCCAACGCGACCCTAACTCCTTCCGGGATTGACTTCTCTTTCTCCCCCACAATATATCGGACGACTGGAGAATACTGGAGATTTCAGTTTCCGGGGGATGGGGGATGGGGGATGGGGGGGGGGGCTGGATTTATAGTTAAGCGGGAATCTCGAACGGTTATGGGAAATTCTTGGTTTTCTTGTAACGTTCTAGAGGCGAGACTGGAGAATTTACGATGAGGTCTCTTGCGTGATTTATCGTCGAGGGTGCAGAAGTGTGTTTTCTGTGCGTCACGGCACGACTAAAAATATATGTCGGTTTCAACGCGCGATAAAGTGTCGCTGGAAAATTTATAAAGAAAAATAAAACGGATCGAACGGCGTTGCTCGATAACGGGGTAGCTATCGATTTTATTTTTCAACCCTGGTCGACCGTCGTTCCCTGCACCGCGTTTTGTTGTTATTTTCTAGCTTATTGGTCCTCCTTTGCCCTTGTAATTTAATTACCCCGGACGTTTAATTTAATCTCGTACTCGATAAAGTTTCGCTTCTTTGTCACGCGGCTGTAAACGATCAGCAGCGAAACGAAACGTCCCGGATGACGGTTCGTCGTGTCTACGGTTTAATCTGCCGATTGATCGTAACGTAATTATTCGTCGCGTTGCAACGTAACGTATTACGCTAGTTGTAACTTCTCCCTTCGATTCGATTACCGCGATCGATTCGGTCGCGAAATTAATAAAGTTCTTCGCCGATCGAGGTGTCGGATTGTGAAATCCGCTTTGGACGACCGTTCCTTTCAATTCCTACCGACCTGCTTCTGTGTCTGTCCTATTACGGACATAATCCCGATACACAGGGTTCCGTCAAACTACTAGAATTTAATCTAGAGTCGACGAGGGCAGGGGGCGGGGAATTTTATACAAAGTTCGGCGATTAAACGCTTTGTTACAACGTTACTTGATTTCTACGCGCGGGAGACTTTGAAACGAAACGTTTACTTCGCAGAAGTGACATCACACGAGGAACTAGACTAGTGAAAAAGTCAGATTCGCCTTTCAGTCGGATTAGCTTCGATTTCGTTCGATTCTGGGCCAGCTTGGGGTCGCGACTCGGACAAATCGCGTTCCAAGTCGCGGGTTGTTGCACGGAAGATGACCCGACCGTAGTTCACTCTCTTTCTTTCGTTCGGTCGTTGCGTTGAAAGA